GTTGAAATATTTTTCTGAAGTTTTTAGAGACCTTCAGCTCAATTAAAGGGACCATTTGGCCACTGAGACCCGCTCTCTCGGTGCTACTTTCCCTTTCACATTCAGTATGCTTTCAGTCGCTTTCCAATCCATTTCTAAGTTAGTGCAATAGCATCATTATATATACTTTCACTGACGATAACTTGTATCTCGGAATAATATGGACAGTGCTCTGGCTCTGTGTGAAAGTGAAGTGAAAGCAATTTTGAGAATTTCATATAAACTGCATAACAACATTTTTGTTGCTAAATAGGATATCCACTTGTAAAGCCAATAGCATGAGCCTCTGTTTGTGGATAGGCTGAAACTTGGAAAGTATGCTTCGTGTGTTCTACAAATTCCAGACTGGCTTTTGGACCCACCCGACCTTCTGTCCAACGGATACTGGTGACAAAGCGGCTGGGGCTTGAAGCTATCGCCTCAATCTTGTGCAGAGATGAGGAATGGTGGAGCTACACTCCACTCTCCAGTACTTATTGCATGGTGCGTAATTAATTAGGCACAGGTACAACTTCATCATTATCTCCGATAATGCAAATTTGTAGTGTTACAACACAGCGAACCCAGGTACAGGCACAGGCACAGGCACGACATCATCGTTGTCTCCGATAATGCAAATTTGTAGTGTTACAACACAGCGAACCTAGGCACAGGCACAGGTACAACTTCATCGTTATCTCCGATAATGCAAATTTGTAGTGTTACAACACAGCGAACCTAGGCACAGGCACAGGTACAACTTCATCGTTATCTCCGATAATGCAAATTTGTAGTGTACAACACAGCGAGCCAACCGACGGTTAGAGACTCAGAACATGCATCCTAACGGGATGGACATGTCAGCATAGATGTGCCTGTATTTCCAGAATTTTTCTAGTTGCAGTTATTTTTGAGGAAGTTGTTTTAAGAATTTTTTCATTTGAATTTTAACGAGTTTTATACAAGTTACGTAGCCGTGATAGCGCAGGCGGTATAGCGACTGGCTACGAGCTGGACGACGGAGGGGTCTGGGTTCGAATCCCGATAGGGGCAAGAATTTTCACTTCTCCATGTCGTCCAGACCGACTCTGGGGCCAACCCAGCTTCCTCTCCGATAGGTACCGGGGCCTCTATCCTCGGGGGTAAAGCGGCTGGGGGCTTAAGTTGACCACTCACCTCCAACTAGTGCCGAGGTCAAGAAAACGTGGGTCTATACATCCACTCCCCCATACGTCTTAATGGCGTAGTGCTTAATTAGTTGAGCACAGGGACAACTTTACTTCTTTATACAACTTACGTCGTTGCTGTTCCCTTGTCCAGAGGCAGGCGATGCAGTGCGATTACAGCTTGTTTTTAATTAGGGCCCATCTTGCAGCCATGGTAGAGCGCTTCAGGAGTTCCTATTTCATGTTAAAGCCTTTCATTAATATCGCGTCATCAGCAGCTTGTTCTGATGTATGATAAGCCATACAGAGGTTTCCTCTTTCTCGTAAGTCCGTTTTCTTTTACGTTTTAGTTACGTTCAAGTTTCCATGTTGAATGGGACTCATTCTGCCGATGCACTTTTTGTGTTGTGAAATCATTTTTTGAGCGTGTCTAATGCATTTTATTATGCTGATTAAGTGCTACTAAAACCCGACGTGTTTCCATCACGATTTACCATCTTCACGGAGGATACCAGACATTAAAAGAAGCTTTACACTTTGTAGACGTACGTATGAATAAATATTAAAACGTGTGGAGTCATGATTTTTTATAAAAAGTGAAAATGAATGTTACTTGGAACTTTTCCTAGTATACAAGACAATGCTGAAGCCTATTTGGACTTACGGCGCACCATTATGGGGAACTGCAAGTACATCCAACATAGAAATGTTGCAGAGATTCCAAAATAAAATACTTCCAGCTGTAGCCAACGCACCGTGGTACGTCCCAAACAGACTACTACATGCCGAGCTAGGCATACCCACAGTACGGGAAGAAACCACAAACATCAGCCGTAAATATAAATACAATATTACAGCACACCCAAATAAACTGGCAACCACATTATTAAACAACGCAGACGAGCCAAGAAGACTGAAAAGTCATAAGCCAAATGACCTAACGACGCGCTTCACATAAATGCAATATATACAGTAACAAAGTCATACTAGAAACAGATTCCTAGAGAATGCTCACTGGAGCATTACTCTCCCTGACATGTTCTCTCTTAGTATTTAAGCTTTAGATTAAGTATCACATATGATGTAGATATAGCTCATAATGGACTGATTGTACAAATACATGGCGATACAAAAAAGAAAAAAAAAAACTTGGAACTTTGGTCACGTGAACTGTTAAATGCGCCTTTCTTGGCAATATGTTGTGTATTGCTGCCTCNACCCAACATATCAGTAAATTATATATATATAACCCAATATATATATATATATATATATATATATATTGGACAGGATCACTGGGTTGTTGCGAATGCACGTAATATACAGTTACATTTACGTCACAAGCGGAATGCGAACCCACGATTCCAGTACATGAGCAGGCCGACCGGTTAGAGAGAATCCGCAGAACAAATTTCTAATTAACCCATTCGCCTGCTTTGACGACTAAAATACGTGTACTTCCGGTGCTTAGATTCACATTAACCAGTTTTGTGGCTAGTTTCTAATGCGACTGCATAAAGGTAGAAACATCGAGTGGGTTCGCTTAGCGGTAAAGCCCTAGATTTATATTCTGTAGGTACTCGATTCGAATCCCGGCCGGAACATCGGCTGTCCTGACTGAATCTCTTCGTAGCTTCCTCCAGTCCTTACAGACGAATTCCGGGACAAGGCACGAGCGTTTCCTTCCACATCCTTTCCAATTCATCATTCACCATACCTTTCGAGGCTATGTGAGCGTCGTTAAGTAACGCAAAGCGACACGCTTGCTGGACAACAGATATAGCAATATAGACACGTGTTCTGCGTCGAATTCAGCATGCTAATTTCAAACGCTTTGGTTGGATACGAAAGAAATCATCATCATATTATTATTATTATTATTATTATTGGAGGGGGTGGGTTTCCCCATGCACCGCGACCAGTTGTTGATCTATTGTACGTCTCCCTTTGATATTCTACCAGTCGCCATACTCTACCGGTACTGGTGCGTGCCATCTGCCCCGTTGAGTCAACGAGGTCCGTCCTCGGTACCTTGATGCTTTCCCCATCTACCAGAGGCATTGGAAACTACTTGGGCGGGAAACTTTCCTAATTTAGCTCAGAGGTCTCCTAGAGACAGGAGGATCTTTTACGTGCCGTAAATCTACGACACGGGACCCACGGCTTAAAGTCCCTCCCGGAGGACTTGTTCTCTGAAATTTTCCGCCCTTAAAATTTCCACGACCTCCGCCGGGTTTGAACCTGCGTACCTTGAGTCATGAGGTGGGAACGTTACCCCTAGACTACGGAGGCCGCTAATCATCATATTAATATAAGGCTAAAAATATTTCCACAGTTCTGTGGAACTATGCAGCGCCCACCTGAGCGAACCCCATTAAGCCGGGTCCAGACTTGTTGCGTATCCCCGTATCGTATCTCCGTTGCGTATCAACCGATGCAACGCGACAAAATTTCTCCTCCCAAGATGCAACGAAAAAATGACGAGCCGAATCTCAGTTTCGAGCCAGATTTCAATCAGCAGTGACTACACCCAACCTGACGGTAGCAGCGGCCGCTCACGTCTATCTTCACGATCTTCACTGTGCTATGAAGGAAAGAAGAAAGAAATCACGACGTTTGTGGATATCGCCGATCTATGCCAGTAGGGAAGTGTACAGTGGGGCCCATCTTTTGGCGGACTTAAATTTTCAGTCAGTCAGTCTGTTCAGTTCCTTTCCTATCTCCTCCCATGCGTCCTGCTTTTTTGTTTTATTGTAATGTTCTGTATTTTGTGTATTCCAAATCACGTCCCTCTTATATTCATCAATTAAATATATAATGCTCTTCTTACTCCACTCCATTCAGAGTACAAACAGAGAATCAAAAATACAAGAACGTACACTGGTGATGACTACCCACCAACTGTCTTTTGTGCGGAGCTGATAGGCAAAGCGAGATGCAACCGCCTGCACGTCCAGACTGGCACCACTGTAACGCGTGTCGTCCTTTTGACGCGACGGGAAAAGACCGCCAAGCGAGCGAACTGCCCGTTGCCTACCACCGTATCAACATTTTGCAACGGAAGGATGATACGGGGTACCGTCCACACTGATACGATACGGAGATACGCAACATGTCTGGACCCGGCTGTCCTGTGCTCTTGTGTGGATCCGAATGTTTGGACGTAAGGAGAGAACAGCACTGCGTTGCCTCAGAGCAGTCACAAGATACAAAATGGCGGATCATAAACACAATTAGGATTTAGGGGAAGAACTGGGGATGACAAGTATCAACACAGCGACAGGGACTGTAGAAAGAATGGATAGTGCATCCACAAAGAACAACTGAACACCGAAACACGAAATAAAGAGTTATTTCAGTATTATAATGCCAGCGGTATCATAGAAATCACTCTGCTTGAAAGGCCGAATTTTTGCAGCTGATGTGTACGAGTTGTAGCCAGAAATACTATACTCTTAAGATTAGTGGCGGTAATTGGGACAGAATTCAGAACCTCTTCAGTACTAGACTACTACGCTAACCACTAATCGACCTGGGCTGATATTCGAGCCTACTGTTTGAAATGTCCAGGTTCGATCCTAACCACCGCCACTATAAACAAAACTCCGGAAATATAATAACCAGCCGTCTGAAAGCGAGAACACCAACTTCCAAAACGCTCTCTGTGACATGTACATGGCAGGCAGCTGACAGTGTCAAAGATAATAATATTTTAACGAATGGACCATTGATGTTGTTTTCTTTTGTGGGTTACGTTGCTACACAGCGTCGAATTACGCAAAGACTGATGAATCATGAATTATAAAGAATGTATACAGAGGCAGTCTTGACCTAGCCGATATACTGTTATAGCATTTGCGTGGATGGATTGAGAAAAACCACGAAATATCTCAGGACAGCCGGATAGAGACTCGAACCGAGCACATCTCGAATAAAACGGTCTTTAGAGGATTACGCCATGTTGTGGAGATAAGGCCACCGATGTAACTCTCAGTGGATCGGCGCCAGATTCTGCGGTATAAATGGCTGCTACTGCGTAGTGTTGTGCCTGCGGGGAGCACACGGAGTTCGCTCGCACTGCGATATGTCATTTTGAGGGAAACGTCTGTTGTGCATGGCAGTGGCGACCCAGAGGAGGCAGACGGTATAGTTCGGGAGCCGCGCGTGGCAGTCACCGTCTGCAAGGCGAGGCATGTGTGTCCCAGTGGCAGATCTGAGGTAAGCGACCAGCCCACAATCGGTATGAAGTCCCGACCTGACACTGTTTGTACCGTTCGTGTTTCATAAGACAAATTGTAATAAACAGTGAACAAAGAGACACCATCCATCAATACAATTTACTGATTTGTTTTTGGTGGTGGTGGGGGGGGGGGGCGTAGAACCTTGTGACATTAAAATATTTGCGTCTTCGTATCAGACACAAGTGTGGATGTCTTGACTTTACATTGACACCGATCTTTTCCTTCAACGCCGATTTTGTTAGATATTATGAATTACAATAGCAGCATCTATTTTAATTCATATAATTTAATTTTTTATTTGCTAGAAATTTGATGAAAATGACAAATATTTGTACAACCTTTCGCTTGCACACTGACAGGAACATATCCTGAATGGTATTTGACTCTCCATTAACGCCCTTAGTTCCAACCTAAAATATTAACTCACCACAATATTGTTTAACTTCGACTGAAGGAGAGGAAATATTTTATTTGTTCTGGGGGCTGAAATAAACTACAATGCAGATATTTGGTACATATGCTCACGAAACGAACAACAGCTTAATTAATCTCACAATGCAACAGAAAGAATAAAACAGAAAAGACATTTTTAAAATTATGGTCATCTGGGATGCGAGTCATTCTTATGGGCCAAAGTTGGAGGTAGTAGGGTTCCCTGAAACTTCAGTTCATACATACCGAACTACACGGCGTCATATTCCAGACGATCATTATATTTACACTCACCATTGTGAGAAAATCAAATCACATGTAGATGTTTCTTTGTTTTGTTTTGTTTCTGTATTTTGATCTTATTGTTTTAAATCATTTATGCTGAACTCAACCAGCTCCATAGGGTTACATTTTCGTCATGATTTTACAATGAAATTCTTTACAGTATTTTGGAGTTCAAATGAGGAGCCTTGGAATATTGGAATAACTTTAAATTATGTAATTTTAGGGACACTTTGTCCCCAATAATTTTTGTTAGATAACTCATGTAGCAGCCAGTGATAACTGAGGCTCACCACTTTCCTAAGAAATGCATGTTTTGTTTGAATCTTGGCTGATGTATCATGTCTGGTTTTCTCAGCCCTGACAGACAAATAACTAGGCAGTTCCTTGAAAGAGGGCACTACCATCCCTTTTAACATTATCTATTGAATTTCGGTTTTCCATGTTTTAACCTTCACATCTTTAGAGAAAAAGAGGGGTGACAGAAAGTTGTGAACTAAACTTTAGGGAGCTTTGTTCCAGATATAATGTCTTTGTTATCATTTCAAGAATGTTATTTTTATTTGCTTCAGTCTATCTCGAATATTTCAACATGGACACATTTCATGAAAATCAATTACCCACCTTAATGTTGTATGATTTTGTACTGCATTCTGGCAATGAGACTTTAAAATACTCATACAAGAGTTCTGAGACTTCAGAATGTGATGTAGTGAGCCGGGGTAGCGCAGTCGGTATAGTGACTGCCTACGGGCTGGACAACCGAAGGGTCGGAGTTTGAGTCCCTGTAGGGACAGAATTCTCTCTTCTCCATATTGTCCAGACCGTCTCTGGGGCTCACCCAGCCTCCAATCCAATGGTTACTAGGGGCCCTTTCCCCGGGGGTAAAGTGGAAGGAGCGTGAAACTGACCACTCACCTACAGCTAGTGCCGAGGTTAAGAAAATGTGGATCTATACATCCACTCCCCCATACTGCTTCATGGCGTAGTGCTTAATTAGTTAAGCACAGGAACAACTTTACATTTACCAGAATGTGAAATACTTATTTGGATTCCTCCCTCAACAGTGGACTGTGTTGAGATGGGGCTGTGTTCTTCACAGTGGAACCTGTTGGACTGAGGCATGATGACGGCCGCACTAGCTGACATTGCTAGGTACCTGACATGATCGCAAGCGAGCAGTTCCTGTACATGGTCATACTGTTTACATGGTGAGTTTCGACTATGTGGTTGCATGTAATTACTGTGCATTGGAGAAACAAGAAATGCACAAAAAATTTATCAGAGTATTTGAAGATACATGCATAAATAGAATATAATTCTAAGTCTGATCTTAAAAGTAGGATGGAAGGTTATGGAATGAGTTCAGCTGGTTCAGGAGAGGGTCCTGTGGCCACTTCTTGTTGACATGGTAATGAATCTTCATATGCCATAAAAGGCACAGTTTGTTGACTTAGTGACTTAGAACACTCAAAGAAGACAACACCCTCCCCCAGGGGTTAAAAGTATGTCAGACTTTCCTTATCAGAGTGCTAAAGACTGCATTAAATTTAGCGAGTTACTACTGCCTGGAAATATTTAAGGGCTCCAACCTCCATGACATTCCAGTCAGTGAGAGTAGGAACATTAATTTTCATTATAAAAAAAGAAGTATTGCCTGCCCCCTCCCCAAATTAAATCATATTGCATGATTGAAAAATATGGCCAAAACGTGGCAATGATGCAAAGTGTAAGGTTCCATCTGATAAATTTAGCATACTGCAGATCTGTTCCAGTGGAATTCTTGCACTGATTTGTGTAATTGTTCCTGTGTGCGTCTTACTACGCTCACTTTATTCACCAGAGCACATGAAGGGTTGCAGGCATCATAACTTGTTTTGTAACTAATATTATTTGTTAAAATACAGTCACAAGTTGTCTTTAAATTTCATACCTGCATATTAAAACAACATGTTCTGTTGCCATGTACTTTGTTACTGTCATAAGAAACATTCTCTAGTTTGGAGATGAATTGTTCTGTGCCACACTGGCAAGTTGCTCATACCACATTCCATGTCAGGTATGAAGGTGGGTTTCATTACCTGTCAGCCATGATTGTACCCTGAATTTCTCAAAAATACCTCCAAGGCAATTTAACTACATACTCCTTAAAAAATGTGAGACAAGGAGGTAGGTAACCATCAGCTTAGTGAACTGACAGAAATGCTGTGGAAGGAACATTCATGGCTGGAAGACATTAATATCAGAATTCCTTGGCCATGCAACCTTCTGCCCCATTGGTACCAGTGGCTGTTTCTCTGGGTGTAAAGCGGCCGGTGCATGAAGCTGACCACTCACCTCCGTCTAGTGCTGAGGTCAAGAAAATGTGGATCTATATATCCACTCCCCCATATGCCTTTACTGTGTAGTGCTTAATTAGCTAAGCATGGGGACAACTGCATTCCTTGAGCCTAGCTTAACTAGGACAGGATGATGATCCTGCTGATATCCAAGGCTGACAGAAAATGTGTTAAGATTGAACAGTACCTTCTCATTAAGTGATAGTTTCTCATGAAGCTTTATTCTTCTTTTCCCAATTTTATACAGATACATTTTTTACATAATTTTCAAGTTTTCATATTTTCCTTCATTCTGCTCAAATGTTTCTCAGATTGCAAAATGTGATTACTGTATTTTAATTCTTTGCTATTTGATTTAAGATCTTCATAATGTTTCTGAATATCCTGTCTGCTTGTCACACATACATGTATGTGTTACTAGAGTGCCAGCATTTCAGTTTGTAAACACCAATATATTTTCATCATGTTTGGAACATCAACTTTACATATATTTATAAAGTTTTGCTTTGTACATCCGACTGGCATTTATATGAGTGTTTTACTTTCAGTCTATTATGCTCCACATGCAAAAAGAATTATACCATCAAGCCTCGGGTAGTTCTTCCAGAACATTATGTCAAAGGTAAGGTTCATATCTTCCACAATTGCTTGATATGAGGCACTTTTTGGAATGTGTTAAGTGTTGATGTTTTACTTACTGGAATCACTCTTCATCTCAGAGAATGTAGAAATATTACATATATATGTTGATATTTCTATGTGTGGTTACTGCTTTCACTGAAGAAAGTGCTGTTTCATACAAAATTATCTGACACAATTACATACATACGGATTGCTTATTTCACCATCTGTTGCAAAGAGTGAGTTTATATTGTTTATTATCCTGTGTTCAGTGATTTATTACTAATGGAATAAACTTCACAGACTTAATGGTTTAATAGACTTATTTCGGTGTTACTATTAGCTGCTGTAGCTGCTTCACTTTTTGAAAGTACCCAGTCTGAATATGCAATAATATTTTTTTAATGAATTTCATAGTTTATTCAGCCCAATTTTAAAATATCACATTAAAGTAGCCAAATTGATATATGCATGTTTTCCCTGACCCGCCACATTCTTCTTCACTTCTCAAGTTTGACAGCAATCACTTGAGCATTCTGTTACACTGTCACTAAATGGGCTAAGCAACAAATCACTGGAACTCATTTTGTCACTGATGTTCAGTGCTCATGTGTAAATTAAACATGAACATTGATGGTTTCAGAGATTCGTCCTCCTTCATCGAAAGGAGAACCAGTCACAGTGGACTTCAGCATTTATATTGTCGACATCAATTCCATAAATGTAGAGGATATGGACTTCCGGTAAGTTTACAAGCCACAGCAGGAAATGTGTTAGTATTTGTGTTTCTGCTTCAAGTCTTGTTTGTGCTTAATAACTCTCTTAGTTATAAGAGATTTGAGGTTTAAGAGTGTCTCTTCTGCACTGAAGTTGGAGGCAGTGGGTACTTCTGAATTGTTGGTACTTGTATACCAAACTCAATGGCATCACATCCTAGAGGACTCGTAATCTTAACTCCTATAATTGCTTGCAGTCTATTGCATTACACTTACCATGCTTGGTAAATGTACTAATATCTTTTACTGTCTTTTGTGAATGGTTGATGATGGTGCATTTGTGGTGGTGGCAACAGTGTGGACATGTTTGTAAGACAACGCTGGACTGAATCCCGTCTTGATATGCCTGATGATATCTTTGAAGATGGTGATGATTATGTAACATTGCCACCAGAGTTTTTTGATAACCTATGGCAACCAGATCCATACATTCTCAACTCAAAAGTCTCAGGTATAAAACAGCTTTAAATGTATAATATGTAAAGGAAGTAGAATAAATACACAAAGATCTGAAACACATGATCCACTGAGGAGTCTCTGAATAAAAGTTTACCATATTTCACTGGTTTGATGCTTAAAGGAGCAGTGCATAAAACCGCTTCATTTTACTGCTGTAACAGTTGTTTTAACTGAACTCTTTAGCTGTTTTGCATACAACCAACATTAAAAGCTATAGAAATATAAATATTTGGATGAATGATAAAGATGATGAATAGTCAGTACTAATGTTCCTCTGTGGACCATCAGTGGACTGAGCTGTACCTTCACAAGTAGGTCAAGGCATTTAGAGGGCTACTGGCAGCCCTTAAACTTTTTTACCTGGGTACTCAATTCTACAACAGCTGGTGGAATAGTTTATTAGTTACTGACCACATTGAGTAGTCAGAGGAAGCTGTAATAAGAGAATACTTATTTTAATTGACTTGTCGTTTTCTTTTAATATATTTGCAAATAACTGTAAAATGTTTGTAAATCTAATAATGAGATTAACCAAAGTTTTAATGCTAGATTCTGTTTCTCCCAGCTTCCTACCTTAAATCTCATGAAGTAACTTAAACCTTCGGAAGTAAAAGTAAAAAAGTAAAATAAAGCTATCCCTGCACCAGGCCGTGAAGGCCCATAGGGTTGTGAGACGTTGAGGGTCCCACATTATGTAGACAATCGGCTCAAAGATGGCGGTAAGGATCTCAGCCTTATGTGCTTGCCACGCTTTACTCCCCAGGAAAATTATTTAATTAATTCCTGGTACTCATTTCTGTTAGAGGCTGAGTCAACCCCAGGGCCATAGTGCAGCTGGAATGCAAGTTCAAATGGAAAAAGAAGTTCAGTTTAGCAAACAGATATAGAGTTCCCTTGTGTTAAAATTGTGGTGCCTGATGAAATAAAAATTAAGCATGTCACCAGTTTCTAACATATGGTGTTTGCATTGTGTGACTTCATCCTGCATGCTGTAATCTGTAATGGAAGAGAATCATTATTACAGAATAAAGCTAGAAACAAGAAAAGTGATAAATTCACTAACCAAATATGAGTACAGTAATACTGAAGCAGAAGCTCACCTGTTGCTGGTGTCAGAACACAGTAGGGAAAGTGAGGATCATACTCAGATGACTGTAACATGTGTCAGGGATATCTAAAAAAATTAGTTTACAAAAGCTGAATTTCAATGTCAAGATTCCTGTTCCCACTGTAAACATGCATAAGTGAATAGTGTAACACTAGATTCATTTGCTGTGTATTTCTGAGGCAGATATTATGCTGTATGGGAGAGGAGTTCATTGTGCACAGATTATATAATGCTATGTGTATTTAAGAAAACACAGCATTTTGTAAATATTACTTAATAACACAAATGTGGAATTTAAGTTACTATACTTTAATTTATACTTTTCTTCATTAGCATCTATTAAATATAATTGGACACTTCATAAGATTTCTGCCTAAGTTTGGTTTAATATAATATTAATCCATGCATCTACAGACATGGATATATCTATTACAAGATCTACGTTCTGAAAGTTTTCTATGATAGACACATTATTAGAAACTGGAGCAGCAGTGCCACATGCAGGAAATTCTGAATGGCAAAGGCTTTGTGTTAGACTGTAGTGATTACAGGTTATGTTTCTGTTATAAGATTATAATTTTGATTACAGAGAGGGATATGCTTACAGAATGTTCAGGATAACACTGTTGTACTAAAACAGACAATGTATGTATTGTATGGTAATTATACCATTCATGTGAAGCAGTACATGCAGTAGACTTAATTTTCTGCATGCAGACCCTTTGCTTTGTGTCAGTTTTATGAGAATTTTAATGATTCTCTCCAAAGTCATTTAATTACTATGAGATTGATATTATTAGGAGACCTGGTAGTTTCAGGGTGAAAAGTTCTGACTTCAGTCCTCTGTCAATCTGCATGTGGACTTTGCTTGTACCAAAGGTAATCTTTGTGAATGTAAAGAATACAAAGACCTCCTGTGGTCTGGAGCACACAATGAGCTATAGGTAACCTTTGCTGCCAATTACTATCATATCACCAGCTGCCCTGTAGATGCCTCCACCTCAGAAATGGATCTGTGTACTTACATAGATAGGCACACCATATTGAAAAGGGCTACATATACTGAATGTACTCTGTTTCAGAGATTGCTGTCCTGACACACAAGTTCTCAAGTGTTACGCTGTACCGTAACAAAACTGTGCGCTATGCAGCTCGCATGCATGCTATCCTAGCTTGCCAGATGGAGTTTCAGCTTTACCCCATGGACATCCAGAGCTGTCCAATGTTCATTGAGAGTTGTAAGTATGTTATTCATAGAACTAACATTGTTAATTTTATTAATCTGCTTACTGAGAATAAATATTTTGCAGCATGAATCTTCTGCATCAATAAAACATTTCCAGAAGTCTCCTTATGAGAAATGCATACCATCTAGCACAGTAAAATTAAAAAGTGTCTACAACAGAAGAAGTGTAAGATTCAGTGCCTGTATGAGTGAGATGTCAGGGTATGGACTGGCTCTGAATAGGTTCCAGTGAGAGCCATTTTGAATATACATATTAGTGAATCTTCAGGTTCCATAAAAGGATGGGGATGTCTTAACCAGGTGAACAACAGTCAGCTCCTGAAGAAGGACCCAATTCCATGGAGTTAGTTAAGTCCATTGTGAATGGACACAGGAGAGTTGAGATTGATTTATGAACATTCTTTGTTGAAATTCTGTTAACACTGAATCAGTGAATGTTTTTATGTCTCATCTGCATACAGATTTGTACATAAAAATCATGTCGCCTTTCACAAGTAAATGAATGAGATATTACTGCACACATGCATGCGCACACACACACACACACACACACACACACATGCACAGTTTTTATTTCATTTGTAGTGAACATTGAAAAATGGAATTATTTATATAAACAAAACAAAACAAAATTTGTAAACAGCTAACATGAGTGGTATTAGAGTTAACTGATTTACTTAGTTTTCAGTGAAAATTAAAGCAGTGAAGCTGAAGGAGAAACAAAAATCGTCAATTTACATGATTTTAATTTATACCTCCACTCCTGGGAATGCAACTGTGCAACTTGCATATAAGTCAGTGTTTACCTGTAAGATTTACATACATAAATTTTCATCGTAAGTTTGACAGAGGCATTTGTTTCACAGTTGTAACATCATATTTTTCTGTTTAGCCATTGCCATTTAATTGTCTGCTCATTTGTACTAGCACTGAAATGCCTATCAGTGAATGTGATGAAATTTCCCTCACTCTTTTCTCTCTTCTTGGGAAACTTGATGCACAAAAGGATCATTGGGATAATTAAATTTCCTATGTTTAGAAAATATTCTGTCATGTTGCTTTGCAGTCTCATACAACAACCAGAAACTGAGATTGCGGTGGGCTGAGGATGGGGTCAAGCTGAATCCAGAACTGAAATTGCTCCAGTACAATGTTGGCCAGCCTCTGGAACTCATGGAAACAACAGGGTACATGGTTGAGAGAGAAGGTATGATGTTTGCAGCTTGTGAGAGGGAACTGAATCTATATTGCTAACCATTGATTTGAAGATAGATGCATTCTTCTCTTTGTCTGTAAGTAAATATGCTTCCATTCCTTTTCGGACAAGTGGCATTCCTGCATCACTCCCACCAAGATCTACCATTGATACATTCCCTTCTATTTAATATAAACTGGAAAATACATCTTCCTCTTCTGCCTTGATTAGTCACAATAGTCCCACATATGAGTGTTCAAGAAAGTTTCATTTACTGCGGTACTTAGAAAGTAAAAGCCTTTTGACTAAATGACTAACCAGGGACTTGTTTGAGTGCTCATTTACACAGCCTAACATGAGCCAGTACAAATGACACCTGAGCAACCTCATTTCCTGTACTATGAACATCCCCACATCATGAGGGGTGTCACTCTATCTTGTTAATTATGTAAAGCTGTAATTTTCTTATATCCCTTCTGAAACATTATCGCAGTGAATGCTGTGGCAGAACAAGAGCTACAAAAAGAGATAGTACAATATTAGTGGAAGGCCAGCAGCATAGTTTTCCATAGGTCATGTACGGTTCAGAAATTCTGCTAAGTTCTTTGACCCTGTATATTATTATTATTATCATCATCTCTTGTCACAGGTTTATTTCCTGGTATTCCTTTTCTTGAACCAGTGATGCACCTCACCACTCAGGCTTCAAGCTTCGCACTGTAGCACTTTCCGTAGTATGTGTGATGTTCCCAGGATAGCTGTTTTTTGCGGTGATTCTGTGGAGTGCTTACCAGGAATTAGTTCCAAATTTTTCTCAACCCTCTCGTGACTGTACCCATGGCTCCAATAATTACTGGTATCACAAAACATTTCATGTTCCACATTCGCTGAATTTCGATGCTTAAATTTTTATATTTTAATTTCTTCTCTGCTTCTTTTTGTACTACATTCCTGTCCGATGGTACTGATACATCTATAAGTATGCAAGTTTATTATTATTATTATTATTATTATTATTTCTTCCTTATTCCATTACATCTATAGTAGGCTAAAGCCTTAGATACAGAATTGTGTTAATTTATGTTGCTAATACTATCAAGCAATTGTCAGTATTAAAAAATTATATCTGAAACTTCATAGATCGGAGTCTTTGTTCAAAAGCTGAAAGGCACAGAGGTGGGCAAATTTTTGTGAGCAACGCTAAGGCTGCTTTACATTCATTCAATTTATTTGGCATTCATAATTTCCACAATAGTAACACTTGAACAAGTCACATCATTAAATACATCATTCTTGAAATCCTTTTGCCCAAATGCCTAAAGGATTAAAATTTTTCAACAATAAATAAATAAATAATCACTCTTGATGTGGTTAACCTATAATAAAATATAACACACACTATCAAACCAGATAAATAATAAAATTAGATACAATTGTGTACTGCACATTTGGTCCCCTAGTTGTGTTTAGCAATACATTGCCGAAGCATATGCAACTTCTCTGTAGAATGTAAAACAATAAGGTTGCCATACTGATTCCAGTTTATAACAAGAACCAGTGAATGATTAGAGCTACGTATGTCAAATTCTGTATAGCAGTATAAATATGCTAAAAATTAGAAAGATTGTGGCTGTGTGAATATTTTAGGTTTACACATGAAGAACTTCATTGAGTTGGAATCTGTACTAATGGATATTACCAATAGAAACTGATCAGCAGACTGTACACTTCTCAATTTACTCATCTTGCCAGGCACTCTGTAGAGGGAAACACGTGGAGGAAAATAATATCATGGCTTCTATTTTCCTGATCACAATACATATGTTTAACTGAAGTATGTATTTTCTTTAACTGTTAAAATACTTCCATAAAGTTTTACATCATTCTTGCACAAATCTCTGTGTTTGGTTCTTTGATTTATGTAACTTTGGACTGTCAGTAAATATGATAAATTTATGGGCCCTTGCCTGCCAAATTATTCACAAATAAAACTTGTTCATCCAATCTGAATTATTCATATGCTTGTTCATTTCACTGTTTCAAGCTTACCATTATATATATACCAAGCTATATATTCTTTCAGCAAACTTCTCACGTTTGGTCATGTACTTCCGATTTGAACGGCAGATTGGTCACCACTTGATCCAGACATTTGCTCCCAGCATTCTGGTGGTAATGCTGTCTTGGTTCAGCTTCTGGATTGGTCTAGATGCAATTCCAGGTCGTGTTACGTTACTTGTCACATCCATGCTAACGCTTGTCACCATGTTTACAGGCCTCAAGTCAGACATCCCACCAGTAGCTTATGTGAAGGTAGGACTGTCACGCATAGCAATAAAATACAATGGTACTTCTTTTTCTTAAAACATTTCAGATATTCCATGAATTGAAATTCTTTTATTTGAGTAGGGTCTGGTGGTGATTTCATATTAATGCACTAATAAACGAAAAAGTTAAACAGTTCTGTCCGGTGTGACTGGTTAAGATTTTCTTATTTCCATTATTTATGCATAATATTAGTGTGACGGACCAGAATGAAACATATCAAATGCACTAATAAACTTTTAGATTTCATGAAAGGCAGGAATTATAGTTCCTTCAGAATCCTAAATCTGGCTTCAGAGAACTCAGAATTGTTACTCCATAGCTTTACATTCTCCACATACTATATGATTTATGGAGGCAAGGGGATTTTAAAATTTTTCAGGAAGAAACTATAGCTTATTTTTAGAAATTGCAGTGACATTTGCTTTGTGTGAATTCCATCAAAGCAAGACATCAAAGTTCTAATAATAGCATAGTGTGTTTAGGAATTCAATCTGCTGCCTTTACTTGGTTTTCTGTGTTAAAGGTGGAGCAGTTATAAGAAATACCCCTGAATCCTGTCATTTGTATTTGTGTGGCAGGCCCTGGACCTATGGATGGCTGGATGCATGGTTTTTGTGTTTGCTGCTCTTGGAGAATTTGCAGTTGTTAAGGTCCTAGATGTCCGTTATCAACTACAGAAGAATGCACGAGTGGCCTCTGTTCCTAGAATTCTACCAACGGTAAATACTGTATGACAAATTTCATGAGCAAATATTTTGAAACATTCTTTTAATTTGCAAAATATTTGCAAAACTTGGAAAATTTTAAACCCTTAATATGAAAAATAGACTGCCTCTGTGGTCTAGTGGTCAGAGTTCCTGCCTACAGATCCAGAGGTCCCGGGTTCGATTCCCGGCGCTACCAGATTTTCTGAGAAGTAGTGGGTCTGGAATGGGGTCCACTCAACCTCGTGAGGATAATTGAGGAACTATTTCGAGGAAATAGCAGATCCTGTCTAGAAAACTGAGATTAACAGCTGGGCGGAGGAGTCATTGTGCTGACCACATGACAGCCTCTATCTGCAATAGTTGACACTAACTTCGCTGACTAGCAGCAGTTGCTTTGTTGGTATAGTTTGCCTGTGGACTACAGTCCACGGAGTTTTAATATGAAAAATAACTATGAAGTGAGATGGTTAACTTAGCACCATTTCTTTAGAGTTTTATTCAAGGGGTTCTCACCTTGTATCTCAGCTGAGACACCAGCTATCCTGACTGAGGTTATTTGCGTGTTTCCTCAGTCCCTCCTTGGAAATACAACGGTAATATCCTGATTAAGCCACAACCACCTCCCTACAAATCTTTTCCAATTCATCATTTACCTGTCATCCTATGATTCGATGCTACATAATATTGTTCTGTCTTCAATCTATGTATGGTAGCGTATCCAAGCGGTAGACAAGAAGACCCGCTGTGTTACAGCATGGGATGTGGAGACTCCTGGCATCCGTTGCAGGAAACCCAGCCTTAGTCTTAAGAGTCATCGATTCCTTCAGCTGTCATGGCTTGACCATAAAACTGGTGAAGAAAAGATACTTTGGAAAGAAATTGATCGCCAATCTCGCATATATTTCCCTGTGTTCTTTCTACTATTTGTTGTCTTCTATTGGCCCATTCTGTTATTGAAAAAAGTAGGTTAAATATAATAAAAAAATAAGTGAATACATAATTTTTAACTCATTGCAATCATTTGAAGTGTGACAAATTTATTCTAAGGTTAGATAAATGAACATGCTAACAAAATTATTTCCAGAAAGTCTTATGGCTCTCAAATCTTCCCTAAAATTTGTCCTGTGGAATGCAGCACTACTTCCATTGCTGTATTACAGCTGCCCATACAGTATTCATGTGTCTGTAGTATTTCATATGCTGTTCGTAGCTCCATGTATAAATATTAGTTTCAAGAAAGCTACTGTAGTGTTAGAAGCTTGGTAGATTTTGTATCATATATTTTTTTCCAAGTACTTTACTTTTTTCATTCCTTGACATGATGTATTAATTGTGATGTTTGTAACAGGTATGGAGCTATGCACTTAAAATGTGTAGAATGTGTTCATATATAAATTGAACCAAACTTGAAAATACAAATTTGAGGCTAACAAATTAGTATCAAAGAAGAAAATGAATTGTAGGAAAGAAAGATGCATGTAAATTTCAGACCTTCAAAGAGAAACCTCTTCAGGTATGCTTCACCACATGAAGTTAATTCATACTGACAAAGCATGTATTAATCAGTATATGCAAATTACCTGACTTGATCTAACATTTGACTGAAACATAATTTTACTGTTAGCACATTCGTTCTACAAGAGGATCTGAAGGGACAAGAGCATAAATATTACTGAATGAAATGTGGAGCAAAATTAATCTTTTACAGTCTTCTGTCAAATGTTAATCACAAAACTTAACTGTTTGGTGATGCAGGGAAATGAAGCAGACAGTGTCACTCAAAATAACATATGTCGCTATGTATAGAATTTGTATTTATGTGCAGAAATTGATATGCTAAATCAACTGCAAAATGAAAATGAGAAAATTATATTGTTAGACATAAAGTGAGATAAGAACCTAGATAATTGCATTACACTTTCCATAATCCTTTGTGTACTGTTGTTGTGGTACATGTAACAAATAATTTGTCTGCATATTTATGTGATTCAACATTGAAATTTCCTGTAGCATGCACAGTGAGACTGTAAATATATACATTATCAGACTTTACGTAAATTATGTATCACTGTGGACATAACATTTAATTTGCAGAAAACATATCTCCTACCACGAAGAGAGCGGTAACAGTTTCTTCTAAAATGCTGATTACCACCTGCCAGACTGCAAAGTTTCACAACCAAAATGACCACAGTCTAAAAGTTCACAGATGAAGATATATGCCACTGTGATATTTCTTGTTAATCATTTGCTAGGCGTTATGCAACATGTGGACTCTGGTGTTTTAGAACAATCTTTGTCAAAGCTTCAGCCATCCAAGAGGCCCTGAAAACTGGACCAGTAGCAGGGGTGCTAGAAGTTGACCTTAAATTACAAATATACAATTTAATAGAAAAAATACTTCACAGGTATTGTTAGGGCTACGCTAAAAGCTGGAAGGTCGCGGGTTAAAGTCCCGATGAGGTCATTGGATTTTTTTTCAGTTGACCTAATCCTTCCAGCCGCACTATGGCCCTGGGGTCAACTCAGCCTCTAACAGAAATAAGAACCAGAAATTAATTAAATAATTTTCCTGGGGAGTAAAGCGCGGCCGGCGTGTAAGGCTGACAACCTTACCGCCATCTTTGAGCTGATTGTCTAGATAATGTGGGACCCTCAACATTTCAGAACCTTATGGGCCTTCACGGCCTGTTACAGGGATAGCTTTACTCTTTTTACTTGACTGCAATTATTTTTTTAAATTGTTGAATTACAATTTTGAGTCATTTCTATAGGTTTTACAGTCTCAAACCAAGGCTCAGACTGAAACTGTTGGAAACCACTCTCAGAGAGCAGTTTTGTGTGACAATGGGGTCTGCTGTATGTCAGAACTTATTACCTTTTATGCAGTTTCTGCTGCAGCTTGCACTGTTCTCATTTATAATGTTAATTTGATGCAAAATAATTCTGCAGGTGATTCAGGTTTCTTCCTCATAGAATTGTTGGTAGCTGACAGCTTCAAAGTTAGGGTTAAACATGAATGTATGAGGGGTAGGCCTTTTTTGGCCCTTGCACTGCAACCTATAGTGGTCTATTGTGCTTTAGGGTTAAACATGGTCAGATGTCTGATGTATTTTTAAAAGAGCAGGCTGACTGTTGAGAGAACAGAATGTAATTATAGGTAATTAACTTAAAGAAGCAATAATTTGTTTTTCCTTAAGAGTTGTTGGGGTCATGCGGTAACATAGTTGGTTGAGACACTATGCTACAAGCTGGAAGGTTGTGGGTTCATTTGCCGATGAGGTCATTGGATTTGACTTAATCCTTGTAGCTGCACTATGGCACTGGGTCGACTCAGTCTGTAGCAGAAATGAGAACCAGGAATCTTCTTGGGCGTAAAGGGTGGCCAGCACATAAGGCTGACAACCTCACTGCCCTGTGAGCCCGTTGTATAGAAGATGTGGGAGCCTTGTCATCTCACAATCATATGGGCCCCCATGGCCTGTTACAAGGATAGCTTTATGTTTTGTGAGTTATTTTCATTGAAATTGTCATCAACTAGAAGGACTAGGCTCATATTTGGCCTGTTTTGACTCATTTAAATTTACTTCCTTGGTGCCCAAGCTGTATGGCATCCTCTTGGCTTGCAGCTCCACACAGTTTCAGATGGGTGGGTTCTCCATATTTTTATCTGCTGTTCAGTTGTTGTTTAGCCATGGACACTGGTCTTCTTATTTTATTGGTGCAAGTCCACTGTCTGATGGAATTTACCAGCCACCACCCACAGCACATAATGGTACAATGCTGTAGGGTCCCCATACAGGTTCTTAAGAGTCACTTCTTTGGGCCATCAGCTAATAAGTCTAGACATCTTTAAATTTAAATTATCATTAAAAATAGTGTTTCATCTAGTACTTCGTATCTTTTTTTTTATTTATTAGATTCACATTTGGAAGCTGACAGTTAATCAAAGGGTATCAGAATGAATGTACTAATATATTGTGGAACAGTGATTTTGTAATGGTCTTAGTTCTGATGATCACATAATCTACTCTGATGTTCTGCATCTCACCTTTTTAAGTACTTAACCTGACTTTGTTTGATGGTAATTTGTTCTCACCTGATATAACATCCCATGAGCTGTCAATCAATACTGCTTATTTGCAGTATCTGCATGATTCTGCTTTTGAACTTCTTGTTGGAGGTACAGGACAGTCTGTTGGTCATGATGAAGTAGTGAGCCCACACGATAGGCATGGCCAGAAGATAGTATTAGTATTATTAGCAGTATTTATTCAGTATTCCAGACATCCACAAGATGGATACAGAACTTGTCCTCACTTAGTACATACAGACCAATTACAAAAGTTGTTTACATGGAACATTACAACAGTATAAAATATAAATAGATTAAGACCTTAGATTACATAAATAAAAAGTCAGAAACATGTCATTCTTAGTCATATTGAATAAGAAATCCACAATAAACAAATAATTATGAGTTACAAATAGTAAAAAAATCCTTCAGATTACTGAAAATAAAATTAATTGGCAATGCACAGGTAGAACTCATAATTATAACAAAACAGGCATTATAAAATGAGTTTACAATGAACAAAAAATCATAAATTACAAATATAATACACAAGTGAGCCATAAAATTTACATTCAGATATGTTTATTATAACTACTCTCATTATTGATCAAAGTACTCTTCTAATGAGTAGAATGAATTCGTGTATAAAAATTTTTTTAAAGTGGTTTTGAATTTAACTATGTTACCATTAACATTCTTAATATGAGAGGGTAATTGGTTAAAGATTTTTATCCCCGAATAATAGGCTCCTTTTTGATAAATGGTTAAGTTTGCCTGTGGAATATATAAATTACTTTGCCTAGTTTCTAGGTTGTGACTTTTAATGCTTGTTATAAAAAGGTCTTTATGTTGAACTACAAACATGAATAAAGACAATAAATATTGAGATGTCAGAGGCAAAATATGTAGTTTCTTGAATAAGTCTCTCCACAAAACCCTATTCCCACATCCTTCCATAATTCTAATTGCTTTTTTCTGTAAATGAAAAATTGTGGCTCTATGTGGGGAATTACCCCAAAATATGATTCCGTAGCTCATCACCGAGTGAAAGAAAGCATAAAAAATTATTTTTAATGATATTTATTGGATAAGAATGGTAGATGAAGATGTCCACAGTCACACAAAGGGATGTGCCTGCAGTAACAAGGAGGATATGGTTCTTCCACACTCCTCATGATGTCCTCTTGGTCACCTAGTCTCTCTGCTTTATTAGCTATAGCTGGTTTATCATACAAATTGTTTTCTTTGGACTTTAATGGATGAGAAAAGCAAGGCTTTGAAGATCTTGGAAACTTCCTTTGATGTTCCAACTATTCATTTTTTCCCTGAGCTTATGAATTCTGGATACATAAATACTGCAGTTCAGCATTAATGTCAGCAATTAGGCTGACAGACATATCTGTTGGTATTACATGTGGAGGCAAAGAATTCTTGGTAAGTGCTGAAGCAACAGACTGAACAGGAATCAAACACTGGCCATCCAGCCCATAGTGTGTCTCTATACCGACTGAGCTCATTAAGGCAGGTAAAAAATAATTTCACCTTTCCTTTCTGTAATATAGGGCAGCATAAGATAGGGCCTACAGGCTGATAAAGAACATGCGGATTCAACCTTACAGACTTAATACATTATCAGCAGATAAATTTTAGGGGGTGAAAGTTTTCTAATTTGGAAATGGCATGAAACATTAAAAACGTTTCAGTTTATACTGCTATGACAGAATTTGGTGCAAGTTATTATTTCAGAGCTGTATGCTTATGTTGAGGGCTACCTAATTCTACCATTGTATTTCTTTAAGTACATACCCCACTAAAAATCCACAACTGAATCTAATGACAGATTATGAATCACAGTTTGTTCTCCTCCATGTCATTTCAAATTCTCTGTACTCTTACGTTTGCTTTTAGTTTCCTTCCATTTAGACTGCAATGAGTTCAGAACTCTCCTCAAGCTCCACAGCCCCCATTTAAAATAATAATATTTGTCCAGCCCAATTCCCATAGGTACTGCAAGCACTGCTCTTCCAATGCACTTTGTAATTCATTTATGTGTATTTTCTTTAACGACGCTATCTGTAACTAGGCTCTGTAGTACTCAATAGAAGGATACTTAGTGAATGGTAATTGGAGAGAATGTAAATGGAAGTGGTTATGACCTAAGGTGAGGTACTTAACCGGCATTTGCTTGGATGGCGTGAGGAAAACTCCCATACCCAATGACGAAGGTCCATTTACAGATGGGATTTTCAATGCAGGACCTCCTGAAAATGTAGCAATAGTGCTGCCCACTTGACAGCAGCATGTGCTGCCATGTATGACTGCGATGGGTTTCTCCAGACTTGTAACATTTTGTAATTGTAAATGTACACTGTTCTTTGTGGCGCATTTACAATGGCAAGTTGCAAAAATTCATATATTACAGTTGATCTCTCTCACCATATGAGAATCGCAGAACATATTTTCATGAAATTTTGTTTATAATGGGGAGGTTTACTAAAATCCGTCAAAATATTAAAATCAGCAAACACTAATGGACCCTTGACACAAAAACTGTTTGCTTTTCTGTGCATGTCTCAAGCATAAGTCGTGAATTAATTACTGGAGTGAAAAATGTTTCAAGCAAACGTCACACAGAGAAGTGACACATATTTTATGGACAATGCACCCTTTCTGTAAGTATAATGGTTTTCGAAATGAGTAAATGGGGTTGAGGGAAAGTGCCATAGGGCAATTGTGTACTCTCTGTGTTCATGCATTGTTTCCGTTCTGATCTCCTGGACTGTCCACGTCGTAACAATGGTCCTCTGAACCCACATATGAACCAGAAGAATAGAGCCATCTCACGTCTCACTGTTTGTCTTTTTTTGACTCGGCTCTAGAGCCCTCTATTTGCATTCATTAAATATAACTAAAACTTAATTCACGTTCCCTGGTAAGGAGAATGGCTGGTGATTTGACAGGTTCAGCAGGCAGCTTGTATTTTTGGAAAACATGTTATGGTATCTCACCCCGAATATTGTGCCTGTTGTTATTTTGAATGCTTAAAATTGTCAACAGCTTCAGACCTACAAGTTATATGAAATTTGATGCCATGCGGTTTGGTGGATGGGTGCAGACGTTTTGGAGGAAGCTGCTGCAACCATCTCCAGGGTCTCTTCTACCCAGAAGCCAAAGGTAGCAGATTCCTCTGTAACCTTGGTACCCACATAAAAATTTGCACTACATCGCATCTTGGAAGACCGTGATCCTTATGGAATATGTGTCAGAGCTCTTTCACTAGAAAACATAAGAAGTTTTTTGTTATAAATGGAAAGAACTTTGAAATATACAGTAAGTTCTACATAAGCCTATATAAATCTTTAAGACAGATGGTGATAAGAAACTAAAGTGTTCCTTTGCTGTAGGTATCCAGCACTACTATAATGTCTTGTCACATATCTGTAAATAAGAAGTATTATTTACATAAATATTATAAATTTGAGAAACTAAATAAGCACAGGGACAACTTTATTTTACGAACGATACACAGAAATAAATTCGGCATTGAAAGTATCAAGAGTAGTTGTGTACAGCTAGGTCTACATAGATGAAGACAAAGTTGACTTCATGCACCACACAGTCAGGACAGGCAATGCTCAATTCCTCACATTTGTAATCTCGGTACTGTATAGGTTCCAAAAGACATAAACGCTGCACAAAATCTCGAGGTATTTACAGTAATATTAATATTCTTTTTGTATGTTCTGTTCATCTGCTTCTTGACAATTGCTTAAAAGTATTAGCAAGATAAATTGACACAATTCTGTATCTGAGGCTTTTGCCTACTACAGATGTAATGGAATAAGGAAGAAATAATATTTATTTATTTCTTTTATTTATTTCATATCATATCCATGGATCATTGTACATGATTATAGGACAAGTCAAATACTTTACAATACAATAAGTAATAATAATACATATAGTAATATGTAATAATAATGTAATAATAATGTAATAATGTAATAATAATAAAATGTAATAATAGTAATAGTAATAATAATAGTAATACATATGCCTACACCTTTGATGTGGGGCTTTCTGAATGTGTAATAGTTCTGCCTATTATTTTAACATGTGTTTATGTAGATACACTTTGATTCAGTTGACCTGATTTAAATAACATTATCTTCAAGGGCCATGTAACACCGAAACACATCCCCAGTGTTCTTTGTTGCTCCTTACCTGCTAAATCAATCTTAAAGAATGTCAGCAGTCAATTATATGAGTTAGCAATTCATCATTAGTTAGTTAGTTAATGTAAATAACTTCATGGAGCTGAGCCCTTCTTGAAAAGCCATCAGTTGTGCAGTTATTCAAGAACTTCCCAACAATTTATGGAAACTGAAGGTTTATTACCATGTTCACAAGAGCCTTCTTCTAGGCCTTTGGTAACATTTTGTAACAAGCTTATTTTTTACAGTGAGAAGTTAAGCCCCATGCCCAACCAAGCTGGACCACCCCTTGTTGGCTGTCTGCAGCTGCTTGTTCCAACATATTCGCAGCTACCCTCCATTTTTGGGGGCAGTCTCCTCCATCCACAAACTGAGGACTTCCCATGCCTTGATGATAAGGGATCCAACCGCTCAATATGGAGCGATCCATTACCTTACCCAATCAAAATCCTTGGTCAGAGTTCCAGTGGTGACATGAAGCCGCCATGTGAGTCATATGGTAGGAATTTTGTTATTTTCCCCCTCATTATAAAGTTCTACCCATAGGTTTTTCTTCACACTGTTAATACAAAAAGCACCGTGATACTGGTGCCCCCTTCAGAGGAAGGTAGCTAGCTGCATATGCAGACATTAATACATGTATTTTTCCCCCATAAAAAAATAAGACCATATTTCTTCGATTTTAGGTTCTTAAGTGGTGACCTCGTAGAATAGGCCTATTGCCTTCTGGTATGTGACGCCGTGTATCCTGGTAGCAGGTTACCGATGTTTCGGAGGAATGTGCTGCCACCATCTTCAGGATCGAAGATACGGAGAGCAAGGAGCAAGCTTATAATTGATCCGTATGCCAATTGTTTAGAAAATGTGGGAGTCACGTCGTGTCGCACGGCATCCTACAAGAACAGCTTTACTTTCGGGGGAGGGGAGGTTACTGATGCATTAGGTTCTAGGCCTTCTAGGCTCTCTGTGAATAAACATCCNCTTATATTTTTCCCTCTACCCTGAAGATGGAGGTGATACGTTCCTCCGAAACGTCGGTTAACACCACACATACACAGTGCCAAATCCCAGAAGACTGCTTTCTTCATCCCGTCACTCGTTGGTCAAAGCACCGCCCATAAGCCAAGATCGTGGCGAAGATATTTTAAATTAGTTATACCAAATTTCGTGAGTTGGACGGATATTGCAGTAGGTGAAAGAAATGCACACCGGGTGTAACTGAATCATGTCTGCCTGCTTTTCCTTAAGAATTGAAAAGAGGCTAAAAAAAACTGGACCATTTCTTAGTTGTAGCCTGTTACTTCATCATGGGAATTTAAACAGCATTCTACTAGTGCACTTTCGGTTAAAATATTTAATTATGGTATTTATATTCACACTCTGAACTAAACCTTGTTTCAGCACGTGTAGTATGAAGGTACTTTTTAATTTCTCCGCAGCTATGACGCAAATGTGCCGAATAGATTTGAGGGATGCATTTCACCGAGTCTAATGCAAGCTTATGTTCTATTTTCACATTCCAAACATAATTTATAAATGACGAATTCATATTTACACAGTCGTCCAAATTCATAACCAGTACACTTCCTTTCTAAAAGAAAAGCGCTGTTCTTTCCGTACAACATAGCTAAAATGCAGAAATAACTTTATTTTCTCTTGTGCTATGTGGTAAGATGGCGTTGCCCTAGAAGTATCATGGACAGCGTCGGAATCGAAATAATTTGAAAATTTGAAATTATAAACAAAAGAACTATACTTAAATGCGGGTTAATGTGAATGAGTTTTTATTCTGAATAATCTGTTCCGCTAAATTATTATTTTTGTATGAAACTAAAAATATTATCAAAAATATTGCGATCCCGATTTCGTTATTTCCCTTCATACCTCTGAATTTCCCGTCTGTGGCCGATGTACGTAATAAGTCGTATTGGATGTATGTGAAAAGGCATGAAGTGAAAACGTCAGAAATAGTGGGTAAATGTTTCGCTTACCCATTCAAAACATCTTTCGTGTAACTGGGGAGTGCATGTATTTGTGTACATGGTTTGTGTGGAGTATCTGAGGCTGCAGTTTTAGTGATATTTGCGGAGGACAGTATCACAAAACGCCCGTCACCATTTCAAGATGGCTGAAATTTGAAGGACCTCTTTGTTCCGGATGTTGTCACTATGATACTGGAGTCCTTCGTGGCGGAACAGGAGAGTGAGAGGTAAACATTAAGCTGTAAATATTTCAGTTATAAATTAGAAGAAAACCATATTTGCTTGTTGACTGTAGTTGGCTTTTCATGTCGCCCTTTCCGGACCCGACATCTTGGGAGAATTGTAGATTATTTTTTACTGGTTTTTAGGTAAAGAAATTCCGTAGAGAAGCTGCAAAGTAACACTGTATTAGGATTAAGATAATGTACATTTACCTTACCTAGTGAATAATGTTTTAGGGAAAGTAGACGTTGGGGGGGCTGACTTTGACAGTTCTGTCATGTTCCTGGAGCAGATTTGGTTGTGTTCTTTTAGGGTTCTGTAGTGGATATATTCGTAAACTCAGAGCTTAAGTTATATTGTAATTATATTGTCGCATGCCTTGAATCCGGAAGGGATACTTCCATTGAAACACAGTGGGTCATTGCATACGAGCAGCCCAAACAACAAAAGCGTTTTCCCCTGAGATGAAAGGACAACAGAGGGTTCGTTGCATAACATCGTCGAAGACGAGGTTATGAAACTCCATCTTCGGCAAGAGACGAGTTCAGTTTCTGTTTGACCTTCGAAGAGTTCAGTCAGTAGTAGTCAGTTTGGCTTTGACTATAGCAGAAGCAGTCATTATGATGCTGAAATTGTGAATAAGTGTACATGTAACTGTAAAAATAAGCGTCCAGTAAAAGAATTTGTTTCGATCCGAAGACAGACGCAATTTATTCGTGTCGTGTCACACAGTAGACACGTTACAATATGTTTGTTCACTTTTCAGCGAATGCATGACATGTTCATCCAATCCCAGCATAGCAGCAATAGCAGTAGCGGGGTGGCGTTGCAACAAGGTCACAAGAAACGCAAGGTGGAACATCAGCAACAGGTTAACTATTCTGGTGGGGATAATCTCTACTCTCTGAATGCTGGCAACGTGGTTAATAACGTGAGTCAGTCGGTGGTGCAGCGCCACGCGCATCGCACTCAGAACACTAACAATAATGTGCAACACAAGAGCCCTAGTGGGGGAATGCCACAACAATTCATACGCGCCTCCACCATAAAGCTCTTGGACACATATCAGCGGTGCGGCCAAAAAGTAAGTTTCATTCCGATTGGACCTCGTATCAGTAGTGATTGAGCGCTGTGACTGGCCTGCAGGCTGTATACAGTTCACATCATGTAGCTGAAAGATAAAATGTAAGTTTGTTTTCTGCTGTAAGACATTATCCTTACTAAAGCTGCAGAACAGATTTCAGATAATGTGTGCTTCTCAGGATGCTGTGAAATTTGTTTGTAAATTTATCTGAGATTCACAGGAAAGAAATTCAGCTAAAGTGTAATTACCGGTTCACACCACATTTAGTACTTTTTCATGGAACACTTTGTGCTGTGGTGATCGTTTCTTTAGGATTTTTAATAAACGGTGGTTTTTACATTAATTATCATTCTAGATTTTTTCATATTGTAAAATGGAAACACAAATTTACATACTCAAAAATCAGATGTATTTACTACTAGAAATTAGACAAGTTTGGTATGTGGATGTATTAATGTGTAATGCTATTAGAATATTTGTGTCATATTTTTAATATTCTCTCTCACTAAAGATGCATTTGCTTGTGTGACCTCTTGCTTCCATTTCTGAGGGACCAGTTACAGTATCCCTCTTTTACTGCATTAAAACACTTTGAGTGATTGATCGTAAGTAAAACATTAAACTCAATGAATTAAAGTGATTTCAAATATGGTCACCAAATATTTGAATCTCTTTAGGATGCAGCCACATAACTCCTGCAATACTTGCTATAGAAGTAATTTTTATTTAAGCTTCCTATACCCAAGAAACAAACCTAACAAAAAAACAGTTTCCCTGTAACAGGCTATGGATGCTTGTAGGGCTCTGATTTTCTAGACAGCTGGCTCACAGATATCAGTGACGATGTCAGCCTTATGTGCCAGGAGCCCTTTACTCCCGGGAAGATTCCTGGTGGTACTCTTTTTATGTTAGAGGCTGAGCCCTGCGGCCAGAAAGATTAGGTCAATTGAAAAATCCAGTGCCCCCATCGGAAACGGAAATCATGAACTTCCGGCTTGTAGCATTGTGCCCCCCCTAAATAAACCTAATCTCTTACTAAGTTGAGTAATAAACTGCATTGACTGTTCTGGCATCTGTCAGAAAGTCTACATGGATAACCCCCTGCCAGCCCCAGAAGAACGTTGCCATCACTTTTCCTGCTGAACAGTTCCTCCGCGCTCTCTTGGGTTTGGGAGAACTGGTATGCTGCCACTCGCATGATGACTGCTGGGACTCGGGAATGAAGTAGTGCACCCACGTTTCATCAGTGGTCACTATAGACTTCAAAAGTGCATCACCATCGTCTTCAAACTGCTGTAGGAGACGACTGGGAGCTTGCATGCGTGCCATTTTGTTCACGTCTGTCAAAGTGCGTGGTACCCACCGTACATTCACCTTGTGATAGTGCAGGTGGTATTTCACGATGTCTTCTACACTACGAACACTGATGGACAGCGTTGATCCAAATTCCTTGATAGCGATGTACCTATTCTCACGAATAAGTGTGTCTGCACGATCAGTGTTTGGCTCGGTGACGGATGTTCGCGGCCGACGATCATGCGGTTCATTCTCCATGCGCTCTCTCTGCCCTGTCTGAAGCACTTACACACTCAAACACACGGGTCTGTGAGAGACACTCTTCCCCATACTGTTGTTGAAGTCTGTGGTGAATTTCAGCAGACGGGACTTTTCTCTAATGGGGAATTTGATCACAGTGCATTGTTCCACGCTCTGCCGTATCTTCTGTTTGCTCATCACTCTAGCAACTCCCAGACAGGACTGAACAGGTTCTAACCCGAACAGGAGGGAGGGTGAAGGTTGTGGCTTCACTCTCTCAAGGTCACACAGCTGCTGTGCAGTGCGGCTTGTTTACACACAAATCAGTCCTGGTCATATTTGAACCACCTTGTACATGTAAAATGAGCATCTGTGAATCATCCACTTTGACTTGGGCAGATACCTTCTTTCTCACCCGTACATGTACATTACATCCAGCTGTGATTGTAATGAACTGGTACAAAGTACCATCTGTTTCCAGTTTCACACATAGAAACCTGAAGGTTGTGAATGGCCCCATGTGATGAGAGCTTGGATTCTAATAGTGGTGAGGAAGAAGGGAAAGTGTAGACATAATGTTGCAGTTTTGACTCATACTGTAGTAACACAACTGAACCTAACTAATGTCATACTTACTCACACGGTTTATACAGTAGTGCTTTTCTTTGTTCCATTGCTTAATAAAAGCGTTTATGCTCTTTCTGATAGTATTCTTATTAGGGAGAACTCCTTCCTCTTTGTTGCTCTAATGGGCCCATTGGAAACCATCACTCTTGTTGTCATGTGGCGTAAGTTGTGTCCTGAGGACCCTTGTAACTGCTTGAGAGAGTATTTTCTGCTCTTGAAGGAGCTAGAGAAAATTCTTCTTCATTTCAGCCATGTCTCCTGGCAGGTGGGTGTTGATAACAGTACAAGTAGCGTGGAGCGAACATTGTGCGGTACACTTGCTGCTGGATGTGTTTCATATTTATGCTACAGTGTGAAGTCTTCATTCACATGTTCAGCTTTGAAAGGTGTGCTTTCTGATCTTTGCATCATGTAATATGCAGCAAGTACCCATGTGATTAAGCAGTTGGTCTCTGTAGCGGCTGAGGCTCGTTTCAGCTAACAAAATGATTACGCTGGAGAGAAATAGGCTGCTCCTGAACTGTTGAGCTGTTGATTTCAATGTGCCTTTCGAATACACTCTCTTCTAACTTTATTTCTGTAATATAATTTTCATTGTCCTGTCTGGAGTGTTAAATACAGTTTGTATAGATTGTGAGACATCACAGCATAATGGTGTTTTACAAAAAAGAATGTTTGCGCAGAATTTACTTTGCAGCTAACAGTCTGTCATAGTCAGAAGGCATACAGTTTGAATTGAAGCCAGAAGACCAGCGGGTCTGATCAATTCTGTTAGATCGCATTGCAATGACTGTCAGAAGTACTAAACCACTAACTCCATGACTACTTGACTTCTATCCTGAGCCACATGAATCCATTCTAGACCCGAACATCCCATTTTCTTGAGATCGTATTATGCTTCCATCTAGCTTAGGTCTCATCATTTCAGGATTTCTAATCAGATATTTTCATGCCTGGTTCTCATTTCTCCCATGCATGCTACATGCCCAGCCCATATTATCCTTGATTCGAACACCTTGATAATACCTGATGAAGAGTACAAATTATGAAATTCTTTGTTGCACACTGACCTCCTCTGTGGTCTAGTGGTCAGCCTTCCTGGCTACAGAGCCAGAGGTCCGAGTTCGATTCCCGGCGCTAGTGCGTCTGGAATGGATTCCACTCAGCCTCGTGATGATAATTGAGGAGCTATTTCAACGAATTAGTGGCTCCGGTCTAGAAAACCGAAATTAACGGCTGTGGGGATGCGTTGCGCTGACCACGCGACACCCTCTATCTACAAAAGTTGGCACTAAACTTCGCTGACAAGTGGCCGTCGCTCGGTCGGTAGTTCGTTTGTGAACTAAAATCATGGAGTTTTTGTTGCACACTTCTCTCCACCCCCCTGTTGTCACATAGGCAAAGGGGGTTTATTAGCGCGCTCTGTTATGATTTGGTCCTGCATTCTGGTCATAGGCTATCACATACAGCTTCAACTGTAAACTGGCTACTGGCTTTTCTGTAACATTTCCAGCATTATCAATTGTAAAAAAATTGTGATTTCTGGTGTTCAGGTGATAACAAAAATTTTGAGGACTAGATGGCAGGCATGGTGGGTAAAAAACGAAAGATATTTGCAACATCCTCACGAAGGCATTTATGTACTGATATGTTTTGTTTACCGTACTTGGAATATTCTGTGGAAAAGAAGTGTTAGTAATAGAAGTTCAGCAAATATAACCAGATGTAATGAGAGAAAATATCTTTTTATGTTGTTTGAGCTGCTATCTATAACCACTGTAGGTCGCGGTGCAAGGGCCGAGAAGGCCTACCCTTCATACAATACATTAATGTTCCTCGGCATGGGCTCTTTGGCTGTCATGTAATATTTCTTACTCTACCTGCTGTATGTACACAGTACAGTCTTGAAGTCATGCTTTGGCTGCTTTAGAATATCCATTCATACACTCTTGCTCTTAGAATGTGAACATTATATTGGTATCTGTTCTGTAGTTTTTACTGTTTGTGATATGCAGGTTTTTAACGTGAGACATGCTTGCTTACTGGGAATTAATAATTGTGTACATACAGAGGAAATCGTGCGAGCGTGAGGGTAATGGTGGTAGTGGCGGTACAGATACTACTACTACAGGAGCGCACACCACAGCAGCCAACACGACGTCTCACAGTAAGGCAGCCGCCGGCCCGGCGCCTCAGGGCTCCTCAAGTGCCGATGGTGACTATCAGCTAGTTCAACACGAAGTCCTGTATTCCATGACGACACAGTACGAAGTACTGGAGTTCTTGGGCAGAGGAACCTTTGGTCAGGTAATTGACTTTGGCCCTTTGTGTTTTAACCATTGAAAGTCAGGTCCCATTCAAAATTTTGGTTTCTCACTTCGTAATTGGACTGCTTTTGTTGTGGCCACAGAGCTTCATCTTCTTTTGGTTTTCTGTTAGGCTACTTTTCCTTAGTCAAAAGGCACCAAGGTGCATTGCCTACAGGGCTGGGATGAAGGTAAGAAGGGTGAAATTTTCTGGTAAAGCTGGATTGTCTCTATTAACAACTTCTTCTCTGAAAATGAACCCTACTTTTCTGTTCTCTGTTACCCCATCATAATTTACCCCTTCCTCCATGAGTTGAAAATAATAGTGATGTTTTAATTTTTTTTAGGTTGTGAAGTGCTGGAAGAAAGGCACAAATGAGATTGTTGCAATCAAGATTCTTAAAAACCATCCCTCCTATGCTCGACAAGGACAGATTGAGGTAAGTTCAGTGCACTTTAAAATATCAGTGTTGTCCTTTAATAATTTTAACACACAAAGAGGACCAGATTCCCACTACAAGTGTCCTTCAGTTTACATAGGTAATTTGTTCCATGAAAACTATTTTAAGGTAAAAATTTGTAAACTGAAAATAACATTCCCATAACTTTACTTGTAAAAGTTGCTGACAACTCATTTATGAGTGCCAGACAAATGATGCAGTATTTATAAATATACATTTTAGGAAATAAGCATTCAAATAAGAATAGTATTACTAGTTTATGATTTTGTGACATGAGGGGCTGAGACCAGAAAAGTGAGCAAGAAGAGGTGGCTGTTGCTAGGTAACTGCACGGTAACTGCCTCTCTACCACAACAAATGCACATGCTACAATAGAGGGGCTTTTGGGCCATTGGTAGGCAATGCAGTACTTTCTATGCAGTCTGTGCCAAGATTGTAATGAATCAATCATGAGTTAAGATTTGGAGTAATGGGGTTAGCTGCGAGACAGTCGCCAGCCAGCAAGGACAGGAGCTGTTGATGAACATCGAAACTGAACCATGACCTAGCAAGGGCTAGTGAAGATGAACTGAGAAGAATTAGTATATTCTATAGTGAATTGTAACGAATATAGATTAGTGAAGGCAGTTACTAGTTATGAGTTACAAATGTTCAGTAAATCCAGTTACTAATCTAGGCCCCATGTATAGTCACCGAATTGTGACAGTATGTATTGTTGCAAATAAAACTTGTTTATTCACATATATTTTTTCGTAGCTGGTGCAGTGCAACAATGCAGCTTGTAACCAAGCTATGTTGTGTATGTATGAGGTGGTATCAGAACGTTCCCGGACTGTTATTATTGTAACTACCCTGGTGAAAGAAGATGAGTGGGGAGGTCAAGGTCACACTTCCGCAAGCCTATTGCATCAGTCTGTCATGTGGCACTGAGCTGTGAACACACATTGTTTTTACACAAGTGCTTTTTCGACTTCGTGTTTCGTTTTGTCTGTGATGGATGGCAAACTCAAGCAACATGTCTGCATCAAGTCTTGCGTGAAGCTTGGTAAATCCGCTACCAAAACCCTTAAAATGCTTTGTGCGGCTTTGGGAGAACATTCTTTAAGCTGGACAGTGTTTTTTGAATGGTATTTATGTTTCAAGGCCAGTCAAGTGTCAGTTGAAGATTACAAACTTTCAGGGTAACCAAGCACCAGCAAAACGACAGAAATTGTTGGAAAAATTTGAGATTGTTCACTGTCAATTTGTTCCTCCAAACTATGGTCAACTCCGGGGCTGCACCACAGCTCAAGTTGTTAGTCGCTGGCCTCCCACCATGGCAGCCCGCGTTCGATCCTGGGTCTGGTGAAGTGGGATTTGTGGTGGACAAAGTGGCGCTGGGGCAGGTTTTCTCCGAGGGCTTCGGTTTCCCCTGCGAATCTTCATTCCACCAATTGCTCCACAATCACCCTCACCTATCATCTGGGGCTGGTGCAGTAGGCCAGAAGTGGCCGCAGTACAAGGGACTTAGTCCCACCCCACTAGCAGTAAAAAAATAATGGTCAGCTCCCACTTTTACTGTGACATTTTGAGACACATGAGAGAAAATGTGCAACAAAAAAGACCAGAACTTTGGCACAACCACAACTGGCTCCATCATGACAACGCACATGCCCACACTTCCCTGAAAACCACAGAGTTTGTGACTAACAACAATGTGGTTATCATTTCGTCTTCCATACTTGCCAGACTCAGCCCTGTTTGATTTCACGTAGTTTCCCAAATTAAAAATGAAACTGAAGGGATGATGTTTGGAAACAGTGCCTGACGTCCAAAGGGATTTGCAAGTGGTACTTAACAGCATTAAGGAAAATGACTTGCACGGTGCTTTTGAAGCATAGAGAAAACGATGACATCACTGTATACATTCCCAAGGAGACTATTTTGAAGGGTGTGGCAGCCAAAATTGAGTGAGTTAAGCCAACATTTCTTTTTTGACCTAGTCCAGGAACTTTCTGATACACCTCGTATTTCTCCACCTTAACAAAAAAAAATCTTTTAAGTTGTTCATTGTATAAAAAATGAAGTGCATTAGGTAAAAAATGGGTACAGATTAACATGTTTCAGTGTAGCAGAAATTTTTAAATGAAAAGTTTGTAAATTGAGGGATAAATATATTGCTTCCCATTGAATGTTATGAATGGACGTCCATTTTGTTAATGCTGTGAAGTTCTGTTTCCAACATCCCTCATACAGATGCCATGGGAGAGCAATCTGAAATGGACAACTCTCTTAATATGTATGTCTGAAGGCAGTAAATGAGGAATTAATTACTTGCATACATTCAGCAGTGATTTTAATAGATACAGTGATGCTTGTAGCAAGACGAGCATTTCAAAGTTCTGTTTCATGGTAACTAAGTAACCTTGCTAGTTTCCTTAGCACCATTACTAGGAATTTAGTCAGTTTAATGCATAATTGTGATTGATTTGGTTTTAGGTTAGCATCTTGTCACGTCTTAGCCAGGAAAATGCTGATGAATTCAATTTTGTCCGAGCATATGAGTGCTTCCAGCATAAGAACCACACCTGTCTGGTGTTTGAGATGCTGGAACAAAATTTGTATGACTTTCTCAAACAGAACAAGTTCAGCCCACTGCCACTCAAATATATTAGACCAATCCTTCAGCAGGTCTTGACTGCGCTTCTGAAACTTAAGGTGAGCATGAAGTAAATGTTTTTTCTGATGTGAAGCAGGTGGTGAAAATTCAGATCTGTGAAGAACTCACACTTTGGGTTTTCACAGTGAAGAATGTAATTCTGCTGGTTCATGACATCGTGTAGTCAGGGTAAGTGTTGCCTAGGAACATGCTTCCACAATCTTCATTGTAGAAGTCTACTGTGTCATATGGATAGAGTATGTTCCTCTGATGTATTGGTATCGACCTGCTGATCCAGAAGACAAGTTATGCGCTTGATGAAAGAATGAAACATGCCTTTGTTTTTTGTTTCCAGCAACTGGGTTTGATTCATGCTGACCTGAAACCAGAGAACATCATGTTAGTTGATCCAGTAAGGCAGCCATACCGAGTCAAAGTGATTGACTTTGGCAGTGCGTCCCATGTCAGTAAAGCTGTCTGCAATACATACTTACAGAGTCGGTACTACAGAGCTCCTGAGATTATTCTCGGTGTGTAAAGCATGTGTATTTTATTTTATGTTTCCACTTTTGAACTGAAAGCACCTGTGCTTGTTGCATACAGCATTTGCTGTGACTTGCAATGCTAGCCCAAGATATTGGGGCTATGAAGGAGTGTTCAGGCAGTGTCCTTCACATTCTGCATTGTTCTTGCTGCAGTGCTATGCAGTTGACTGTCAAGCGTTGTCTGTGATAATCATTTTTAAATTTCATGTAGTTGCTTGTGCCTTGATTCTCCTTTTTACTGCACAGTGCCAACATTGTTGTTATGGAATACCAGGCTTATCATGGCTGCTACATGGGTTAGTGTGTATTGTTATTTTCTTATTTCAGCTCATGATATAATGACCTATGGTCTTCGGTTTACTGTGTAAAACTTCGGTAGAGTTTTGGAAATATTTTTTTTGTAGTCGGGGTTAATGCACTGTCATTAGCTAGGCTATACAGTGTCAATTGTAGGGTGACAAGTGACATGGAAAGTACTTGGAAGAAAGCGGGCATGACCTAATTGAGGTACTATCCCAGCATTTTGTTGGAGAGGTTGAAGAAAATGTCAGAATACATGGTGTCTTTGCCAAGATTCAAATTGAGCACCTCCCAGATACAAGTATAAAAGTATTATTGTTAGCCATTTATGAATAAGTAGTGGTAAATTTCTGTGAGATTGCTGTGCGGTTGATATGTATGTCTGGTTAAAGTGTAATTTTGAGCTTTCTGGATGCTGAAAAACAGCTTAGCTGTTACACCAGTGGCACATTGGAAATACTATTGACTTGTGGTTTGCAGGTCTGCCCTTCTGTGAAGCTATTGACATGTGGTCGCTGGGTTGTGTGGTGGCAGAACTGTTCCTTGGCTGGCCCCTCTACCCTGGCTCTTCAGAGTATGATCAGATTCGATACATCAGTCAGACACAAGGCCTTCCGACAGAACACATGCTTAATAATGCATCAAAAACAACAAAGTTCTTCTACAGGGATATGGACAGTACATACCCGTTTTGGAGGTTAAAGGTATGTTATTGCGATGGGGCTTGGGGGGGTGGACTGTCTTCCTTAAATGCCAAGAAAATAACCCATGTCTCTCAGCTCTACCATTCATGATTATCCTTAGATTTTGTTGAATGCATCAGTCTCAAGGAGTGTCTTGACATAGACTTCGCTTATAACACGTTAGTTCTGAGTATCAGAGGTTGCATTTCCCATTTCCTTAGGCAGAATGTCCCCCCAACCACAAGGCAGTTACATCATGGGATACCCAGTGGTCAGATATGCAGTATGAAAAGCAAAAGTTTACCAGAAACTGGACATCTTTGCCCTAGTTTTCAGCCTCTTATATGTAGCGATTTATGTGTTGCTTATCTGAAGAGTGCGGAACATTTTTTAGCCTTCCTTTGTTCAGATCTGAAGAAAGTTTCAATATGCATCATTTTATATAATTTTTGTTGTAATATTCTTATGTTCTGATGCTCATTTTTTTATATAGGATTTGAGTCTTTCATTTTGAGTATGCAGTGAAGTGTGCAAAAGTGAAGTTGCTCTCTCTGTTGGGGTGTTAGTGTTGGAGGCAGAGACGTGTTTAGAGATGTGTATTGACTCCATTTTAAATGACTTATCATGTGAGAAGACTTAAGTGCACATTTTTACCCTGAGAGTTGTATGTATGTACTGCTTCACTGTTCTGTTTTGCTTGTTTGATCAGACCCCAGAAGAACATGAAGCAGAGACTGGTATCAAGTCAAAGGAGGCCAGGAAGTACATCTTCAACTGTCTGGATGACATTGGTCAGGTGAATGTGCCGACAGATCTGGAAGGAGGGGAACTGCTTGCAGAGAAGGCAGATCGGCGAGAGTTCATTGATCTGCTGAAAAGAATGCTGACAATGGACCAGGTAGCAATATTTATGTCACTCTAGATAATTTGTACTCAACAAAAACTTACAATTTCCCTGTGTACTTATATTGGAACTTTGTGCAGATTTTTCTGTACAAATGGAGACATGTTCCATGATACGCCTTTCCGCACCTAAGTTGGTACAAGGACATGCATATTCACAGATGTACTGTTTTCTTTCATTGTGCTCATGATGCACTGCCCTTTGTTTGGAATTGGCAGTGATACATTTGTCATTCTACCCTTCTTGATATTTAAATGCATGGGTGCAGGACCACTTATCAGGGGACTGTGTGCTTATGCATGTCACATGTGGCCTATTGCTCATCTTTATTATGCCTTCAGAATCACTTGTTAGGTTTTGATTAGTTCTACTTTATAGTTCCTGGCTTGAGTATTTGTAAAGTATGAATTTGGGTTGTCAACTAATGACTGCTACGGTGGGGTTGCACGAATGAGGTTGTTCAAAATGTAACCCTTGTGTGTTCTGCCATGCTTAGCAACATCTAGAAAGCACTAAATGCTGTAGATTCAAATTAGACAAAGATGTCGGGGCTGGAGTTGTTCTAGCAGCAGTGAAAGGGAGATCTTTTGGCTTGTGCATCAGTGGGATGCCTCCTTCAGTGCATGTGAGAACAGTTTTTAACAGCCTCAGTTCCTTTGCCCAGAAGAGTCCCAGAGTGGATTTTGTTTGAACCGTATATATATTTTTTATATGTAAAAACCTTCAAATGCAACACCTTTGCCAGTAATAATTTCTTTATATGCGGTTTATTTTTTATCAGTGCTTTCCCCAGCCAGCATCAAATGACAGTGAATAGTGAATAATGAATTTGAAACAGTGAGAGAAGTGGTTAATTTTTTTTAATGCTAGTAGGGTGGGACTAAGTCCCTTGTACTACAGCCACTTCTGGCCTACTGTACCAGCCCCAGTTGATAGGTGAGGGTGATTGTGGAGCAATTGGTGGAATGAAGATTGACAAGGGAAACCGAAGTACTCGGAGAAAACCTGCCCCAGCGCCACTTTTTCCACCACAGATCCCACTTGACCAGACCCAGAATCGAACCCGGGCTGCTGCGGTGGGAAGCCAGCAACTAACCGCTTGAGCTATGGTGCAGCTAAGTGGTTAATTTTAGATTTTGTCGTGGGATTTGTCTGGATGGACTGAGGAAAATCATGAGGAATGTGGGTCAGGGTAATATGTCTCTAGGCTGAGACTTGAACCTGGGACCTTCCAAATACATAACCAGGTGCCAATCATTTGATTGCAGTGTGTTATTTTGTGGTTGTATCCTTGTGGGTTATAGATTGATTTACTGCAAAAAAGACACTGGTAATTCTTGCATGAGTATTGATTTCTGAGGCACCTTTCATTTTTGTTAATGTGCAGTTTCAGATGATCTGGTAATTCCTTAGCATGAATTGTGGAAAGGTTCAGTATTGCAACAGCAGATGCTTGCCAAATTCTGTCATGCATCATCTGATTCTATTCACTGGGTTACTTAATATATATGCAACATTTGTTAAATCAGGGGTGAGAATATTGCATTTGAAAATGTGAATTTACATTACTTATGACCCTGTGTATAATACTGTATTATTATTCCTTCAGGAAAGACGTATTACTCCTGGTGAAGCACTGAATCACGCTTTTGTGACATTGGCTCATCTGGTGGATTATGCACACTGTAACAATGTGAAGGCTAGCGTTCAGATGATGGAGGTGTGTCGACGGAATGGTTACAACAACTCAGGTTCCAGTTCTCATCACCAGGCAGCACAACAGGCACCACCTCTTGTTGCCAACTTTGTCCCAAGTTCCAATGGAAATGTCACATTAACATTCAACAATCAGCTGACGAATCAGGTACAACGCCTGGTCAGAGAGAGAGCTACCACCTATGACAACCTGGTTCGTTATTTTCAAGCTTTTTATGCTCTTGAGTTTGATTTGTTAGTTGTAATTTTGTTTATTCATTACATTAGTTTTATTTGCTAAGTTTTTTGGTTTGTTAAATACACTGCCATCCGTCCAGCTCCTGCTGTGGTCTGAAACTCTTTTACATTCTGATGTTTCCATTTTTTAAGTGGTGAACTGCTTTCAAAAACTTTTGTAACATATGTATGTATTTGGCACCGTGTAGATCTACACAGTGCCACATCCCAGAAGACTGCTTTCTTCATTGTCACTGCCGTGAAAACCTCAAATCTTACATTTTGTAACATACTTTTTTTCTGCTGTTCCATTGTGTGTAATACAAGGACAATGTTAGTTCACTTTTCTCGTCAGACTTTAAAGACACATATCAGATGGTGCGCTCATATTAGTGCTGTTTATGCTCAAGAATAAGGCAGGGTTTTGGGGCTACAAAATAAGTTAAAACTCGTTTGTTTGGACATGAAATCCTAAACAATATGAAGTTGTTCTTGTCAGTCATTATGCAGTATAGTGACTGGGTTGTGTTGAGGTGTTGAAGAAAGTGTGTCAACACAAGACAGGTAAAATTTTAACTTGAAAACTGTGAAAGATGAAACAGTTTTAGTTTGTGGTCACGAATATTGAAGTCTTTTTACTTTGAAGGAAAATTAAAATTTGATTCCTTGCAGTTGCAGTTAGACTAAAGCGTAATACATGGAACTTTAAAATAATGTACATAATATTTACAATTGTGCAGTATCAGCTTTACAATGGTCGATCTGTGGCCCGTCAGTATACAGGAGCTACTCGGGCCGACCCATTCCACCAGCATCAGCTGGTTTCTTCTATCCTGTGCCCACCAGGCTACCAAGGAATGGGCTCACCTGCGAAACATGTGACAGTAGTGGCTCAGCAGCCTCCACCCCAGCTGCAGATCCAGCCTCCAATCATATCACAGCAGGTGAAGTCCATTATACCATAACAGATGTTAAGATTAGCTGAATGATACTGTTACTCAATCAGTTATGTGTGACTGTTGACTTTGCAGTCAGAAAACTGAATAACCAAAAACTTTGTTTTCTGCATGTCTCTAGTGACAGCAGCATGAAATTCTGTTTGTCAGAAGTTTGTTCATTTGTATGCCACTTCATTCCAAAACAGTATCTTATGTGGTAACAGTTAAAGGTTAGAATATCGTGGTTATAGTCTATTTCCCTTTGTCCAGGTTGCTGCACAGCAACAGTATGTACCGGTGTCAATGGTTGAGCAGAGTGGCCGGCAGATGCTGCTTACCGTAAGTGTTGAGTTTCGTTGTATCATCCGACATTATCCCCGTTGCACTTCCTGTGATATTGTTCATATTAAAAATATTAAGCTAAACAAGAAATTACCAGAGAGAGTAAACTTGCGTAAGTGGTATTTGTACAGTAAGTGATGAAAACTGTGGAACTCTTGCAGAGACCCAGTTGAAATCTGGTGGAGTGAGAAGTTTTAAGTAGTTTACATATTTGCTATGGAATATATTCTACATGAATGTTATTAGTCTGACAGGTACTTCTGAACTCTTGAGTTGGAATTTTTAGTAAGTCTTGCAATATTTTAGTTTCTAATTAGTGATGCTGTGTTCGATCAGAATGCAGTGCAGACATCGTGGCCGGGCAGCAGACAGATGGTTGTGCCATCCTGGCAGCAGATCCCACCACAGCATGCAGCGATCCAGCAGCCTCTGCTTTCAGATGCAGGAGACTGGGGCCGCCCACTTATTGTTGACTCTAGTACTATACTGCAGGTACGTAAACAACTTATACTCTGAAGATGGAGGCTCTTAAAAAAAAATTGTATAAGATATTTTCCACTATACATTTTAAAACCTTGATGTATTTTGACCATAGATTGCATCACATCAGTTGTTCAGTTTGAAATGTCGTTAACTTTCAGTTCATGAGTGGACTTGGGATGGTTTCCTCTACCAATTCTCATTCTAGTGAATGCTCCACACATCATCATCATCATCTGTCATGTGGGGCTGGTACAATAGGCAAAATAGTGGTCAGTTTCACCCTACACCAAGAAACTAAAACTAAACTAACAACGGAAATGAATGCCTTCATCATCTTGCCTGGCACGTAGAGGGCCCAGCTGCATTTACTGCAATAGCAGCGTTAGCATGTTAATTGTGTATGTCTAATTATTAATGTGGATCATTGTTTCAGGAGCACCGACCTGTTTTTCCTGTAGATGTTGCCACAGAAGTGTATGATCCTTCACTAGTGGATCATCATCCTAATCATCATCCGTCAGCCACTGTGGTAAATGCAAGTGGGTCATGGACTAACAAGCGAGGAGTCTCAAAGACCATGCATCATCATACGAACAGTCAGCATAATCTGGCATGTCCTCCCCAGCCCCAGCACCAGCCTCAGCTGCAGCCAGCCCATCACCATCACCACCATCACCACCATCACCTTACTGTCCCCAATCACCGCTCACAGCAGGATGCCAAGAAGGAGCCTACACAGCTCAGTCCAGTCAAAAAGAGAGTGAAGGAAGGCACTCCACCTTCAGGTAGGTTTGGCCTGGGGATTGAAACCATGCTACAGTCCAGAGGTGATTTTCACAAGTCAGTGTTTCAGTGTGTGTTTAAATTGCATCTGAGGATGTATTGTGTCATGTTGAAATTCCAAGCATACCAGATCTGTGTGTTTTAATTTGTCTTGCCAGTTAGGCAGATTACTGAGTAGAATAAAATTATATTGCCATTAAATAATTTTATTAGATGTTAAAAGTTGGAAATTAGAATAAAGTTTTGTAAAAGTAAGAGCTGGTAAAGGGAAATGAATTTCAGATGCTATGTATGTAAATACTGTGTGGTGTTTTACATGCCCGCCTTACATAATTTTACCCATTTTGGTTTTTGAAATTGTGGGTTAAATCTCTTGCTTGAGGTAGTAGTTTGTTTTCGTGATGCTTTGTCTCTCATTATCACTGATTTGCCATTAAGTAAATGATGTTAATGCATTTCAGATTCAGTTAATGGGTACAACACAAACAGTAGCAGTAGACGGCGACATTCACCTGTTGCAAGCAATAGCACACATTGGCAGCATCACCAGGGCCAGAGTTCGGTGGTCCAACAAACGGGCAAACATCACAGCCACGCCATTCAGCAGCAACTAGATCAGCATCCACACCAAGCCATTCAGCAGACTCCACAGGTATGCCAGAGTGAAAGCGGGTGTGTCCCACAGTTTCTTCTGCGGCTGCTGCTTCGTCTTAGTTTGATGATCTGTTCCCAGAGTCCACTAATCTTTTTACATTGTTATACTGTGTATTATAAAGAAAGAATTATAGTGGTGGTGAATAATCTGAGTGTTTTAAGAAATAAATATATTTTATAATTTTTTAGTGTTATTTTGTACATCATCCCAATGTTGGATGTTGTGTTTTCTTCTTCATATGAAAGGCTAAGGATAGGATTCCTAATCCTTCGGGGCTCTTGACAGAAGTAGTCCCTTATTTGGCATGTATTGTCTAAAAATAACTTGTAGCAGTACTCTTGTGTATATTGGTAAGATATCTTAAATTCTGGTAATGTTTTCATCCTGTTATTCGAAGACATGGGTGACTCTTGTTCATATATCTGTTATTGTTGGCATTCTTTGTCAGTTTTTTTACTCTGCATTAAATTGTAGTTGTCACGTGTTGGGTATGTCACGCGACAAATAACTTCACGTGGATCTCGGATTTAGCGGATCTTTGTTGGACAATCACTCTTACACACCTTACAATTATTATCGCTTGCCGTATCACTCGACTTCTGGCCCAATACTCTAATACTCAACTATCCTTGGCTGTGGCTGGATCCCAACTGTAGCGGCGGCTATCTCGAGACTGTCCTGTTCTCAATACTCTGTATGAAGTCTCTACCTCTGCTTATATAGGGGTTATGCAGACTGAATACCAGACTCCATTCCTCACGGTTCCGTTAACGCTGTTCAGACAGTCCGTTGTTACGGGAATGCTTCTTATAGCATACACTGGTACCGTGTTTCATCTCATCCGTTGTTACTCAACGACAATTTGTTGCTGCGGGAACTCCTCAATTTCCACATATTCGTTGCCGCGGAAGTGTCTGTTTCAATTGTAGTGGATGTCGCGACGATGGACATAAGATAACGCGTCATAATATATAACATGAACATTACTTCCAGTACATTCTGTTACTGTTTGTGCTTAACTACCTTCATGGAAATGAGCCCTTCATGAGAAGTCCCTGTTGTTCACGTATTCCGGAACTTCCCCAACTTTTTATGGAACCTGATGGTTTATTACCATGTTCACAAGAGCCCTCCACTGGTCTGTTCCTGTCCTGAACTAGATCAATCCTGTCCATACCACCCAATCCTATCTCTTTNCCCCTTTTAATTATCCCGTCAGCAATCCTGCACTTTGAATGAAGCGTAGGTTTTGTATGTGGGGGCGTCGAAATAGTTACTTGGTTCCATAAAGTATTGACCCAAGTGACGTAGTCTTAGATTAGCTAAGGTCTCACATTTACGCAGGATATGTGTGGCTGTTTCATTTTCTTCTTGACACCTCTCACAAGTGGGACTATCACTTAGTCCCAGTTTGAAGAGGTGTCCTTTAAGGTGACAGTGTCCTGTAAGTAGTCTCACCACCCATTGTAGCTGGTTCCTGTTTAACTTCAACAGTTCCTTCGCTCTCTTAGCTGAGGGTCCTCAAATGAGTCCATTTGCTTGCCTGAGTCCCCAATATTTCTTGTACTTCATGTTTGTCCAGTCCCTGATTGCCTGTCTGGCAACTCCAGTAGAGATGCCACAGGCTGGTTCAGGTCGTATGAACGGATGTTCAGCTCCAGTCTTGGCTAATTGGTCTGCTGTTTCGTTTCCAGCAATACCCCCATGCCCCGGCACCCATATCAGTTGTGCCCTGTTATGTTTGGCCAGTTCCATGAGGGTTTGGTGGCAATCCCAGACCAATTTTGAGTTGATCTGGTGTTTGTCAAGTGCTTTAAGTGCACCTTGGCCGTCAGATAGAATGTAGATGTTACTATTTCTATAGTTCCTATCTAAATTCTCCATAATACATGCCATAATGGCATATATGTCTGCCTGGAATACTGTCGTTTACTGAAATTAAGTTTCCACCTCGTGTCATAGCAGTACACACAAGCTCCAGTGCCCTTATTTATCTTGGAACCATCTGTGAAAATTCTAAGGAATAATATGGTTGCATTGTTGACGGAACCATAATATAAATATCCATTGAAACATGGTATTACACATTGTCGCTCCCCAGAATGCAGTGATGTTCATTCGCAGTGTCATTAGAACTTCATATTTCGTATTTTTTGCAGCAATCTGTGCAGGTGGTGTCTGGGCGGCAACAGACCATTACGATACATGATACCCCATCACCTGCTGTGTCCGTTATTACTATATCAGATAGTGAAGATGAGGCTCCAGGCAAATGGTAAGGGATTGTTCGGCATGCATGGGCCCATGTACAGTAACTTTCATGTATAGTGATTTGAGAACCCTTGCACTGTGGGGTTGGAATTTGTACAAGGGAAATCAAGTTCACTCATGTTATCTTATAGTTTATACTAAACCCCATACTTATCCTTCATAAGCAGTACTTCATGAGTATGGTTGTAATGAACTTATAAAGTAGGAAAGACAAGTTCATAAGAAGTCATTTCATTCTGCTGTATGGAATGAATAATTTGCATGGCCATAGTTTTATTTTGTTGCTTTTTTTTTCAAAGCTGTTTGCTTCCAATTATATATATATATAGGAGTTACATTTTGTTTTTGTTTCTTTAATTAAATGTTATGTGATTGTGATGTTTACATTCTCAGGCCAACTTTTGATCCATTATTGTGTGAAAATATAATTTTTCAGTGGAGCTGAAACCTCACAAGGTAAAGTTCTTATGCTGCAATGCAGTTACTGATGCTTTTACACGTAACACATCCAATGCTTGACGAAGAAGCATTTATGGTCACGTGATTAATCTTGCAGGTAGAACACCAAGAAGGTCTAAGTTCTCAGTGTAGCGTGATTGACCTCGTTCATTTTACAGTTTTCACATGTTAGCTCTTCTCAATAGAAGTCGCCATTTTGTGTATTATTGAATCTCTCCTCACATCTGTTCATTGCTATAGTGAAATACAGCAATCCTAGGAACTTTATTACCATATAGCACTGTATAATCTGCTCTATTAATAGAATCATCAATGAAACCACATGTAAATAAAGAAACATCCATTAGTGTACAGTCACATTTTTCACTTTTTGTCTGAAGATAATTTCTGAAGTTGGAGTTAGATCAAGGTATGTGGCGCCATTTAGATATTGTGTTAACCGACATTCCTCCGAAACCTCGGTTAATACAATATCTACATGGTGCCACATCCCAGAAGACTTCTTTCTTCATAGTCACCGCCGTGAAAACCTCAAATCTTACATGGGAGTTAGTTTATTAAATTTTAATGTCTACTTTTGTCTCGGATCCATGTCCTCTGTATGCCTTCATTTTTTGTCAAATTCACAATTACAACGTTACCTTTGTCTACTGTGTAACACATTTTGCAATACAGTATTTATCCTGAAATCTTTTCTTTTTTCTTTTTGGTGGTAGTTACCATGGAAGATTGCAGCAGTTCACTCGGTGAACATTCATATATTTGTGTTGGATCACACGTTTGTCTGAGAATGGAACATTGGAATCAGGTTTGTTAAGAAACTGTGCTGTTCCTGCCAGTTAGGCCACCTGGATGCTGAATGTGCTGGCATCATGTTGCATAGGTTCAAGCATAATCCCCAGTTTGAGAAAGGAGATTATGTTGAACTCTGGACCCTTATGTGGATTTAATGCAGTTCATAAAGTTTTAATTATGTGACAAATTCCTGTTGGAATATGTTTGGGAAATTGTAGATATTAATTCATTTTTGTGAGTGATTGTAATATATTTTCTTCTTCATGTCTTCTGCTGAGTTTCCTGGAGTTCATAAATTTGTCATAGAATCTTCTAATGCATTTTTGGAACATGATCAGTACAATAATGTTTGCACCACTGGTTTTGGCACGTTCGCAATGAAAAATGTAAAAAAAATATGTCTATTGATTTAATTCACCACGTTTGTCTGTGTGCATGTAAAAACTCAGGAACCGATGAGTGTTTCATGAAATATACAGGGAAGGTTTACTAAAATTTGCTCAGACATGGAAATTTTGGCTACAGTAATGGGTACTATATGAAGATGTTCATGTGTTTCTGCATGCATCCCAAGCATAATGCACTAAATATTGATTACAGCAAACAAACTTTTGACAGAAGTGATTTGTTTTTCAACAAAGTGAGAAATTGGTACCAGACGTTGTGTTGTACAAGAGGAGTTATGGCAGGGTGATGCTGGTGCATACAGTATGTGCACTCCCTTATTTTTGTTTATTCTGACTCCCTGTTCCCCCCTCGTAGCTGTAAGGATAGGAACTGCAGTGCGTGTCACACCTCAGGCTTGGGTCTTGCGTGCCACATCAGCTCCAACTGCTCTTCCGTGTTGACAGTTGCGTCTCAAGACGAAGCATATCACAGGTACAGAATGCACCCACACCAACCTATGTGCTGCTTTTGGGTGCTATATGTTGACTTTTTTAAGTTTTGGTTGGAGTTGGGAGGCAAATGGGCTAATCTGTCACAGGAGATAAGCATGGCCTGGGTCAGTTTACCACTGTTGTGTGACAGGACACAGAAACATGTGACTGTGTGACACGTATACAAATTACATACATACATACATACACTTTCCACAAGTGAGGTCACTTGACATATTCAGTGAGGGATCAGCTCCATTTGTTAGCAATTTTCAAAATTACAAACATAATTACTTTTTTTTCTGATAGCAGTAACTAGCTGAAGTTACCATTGTTTCAGGTAAGATGATGAAGCAGTGTTCTGTTCTGCTTCATGTTTTCTGTGGCACTGTGGTGCATGTTGTACTTTTACAGGAACCTGGTGCTAGCAGATTGCTCAAACAATAATTTGGGCACTAGTAATATGGATCTGTTTTTCTACCCAGATGCTAAAAAGTTGAACCAGAAATTAGTTGGATTAGGTAGCAGATAAAGTACATAAAATTTGTAGAGGCTTTTAATAAAATTAATGATGAAACTAATTTTGATTTTACATGTACAGCGAAAGGTATTCACAGTATAAACAGTCTGAGATTTATTCTTTCTTTTTCACCATATCAGACATGACAGTTGCTGTGTGATAAGCTTTTTTTTTTTTTTTGACAAAATTTGTGCAGTTGAATTAGAGCTTTGTGTAAACAAGAGGTTCAGTTTGATTAACATTCCATTCATGTAACTCCTACAGATACCACATTTCATCAAAATCAATTAATTAGTTCAAGTGGATAGATGCCAGATTCCCCATGTGTGTCCACGTTACGTGCAGTTGTGTCACACACATACATAGTCACATATTTTTGTTATAAACACCTTGAGCAACTATGCCCTTTAAGAGTTTGTAGGTATATGGGAACCATTTATTGTTTTTGATTTTGGGTGTTTGTAGAATTTCCATTTGCAGTCATCTGCAGGACTAACAAGTGTGGAGTGATGGTTTTTCTTTGCTGTTTTTTGTAAACAGCTTAGTATATTTTATGGTAATTTTCTGTCATAGCATGTTTGATAGAAAGTAGTTTTGTTGCATGTTGGAATGGTAAGAAGTTGGGTACTTTTATGGTGCAGTTTATTTTATTTTGCTTGATGAGCTGTTTATATTGTTGTCACAGCATTGTTGAGAAACATATTACAAATGAAGACAGCATTTTTATTGATACTAGCAGGATATTGTCGAGTTTTAATCTGTGGACCACTTGTGCCCTGTCTCAGTAGGTAACTAGCATTTGTTTGTTGTGCTACTCGGGCTTGCCTGTATTCCACTAATGCTGCACATGATATTGAGCCATCAAGCATGATTGTGGTCCAGATTGAAAAGCAGATTGGCTAACTTTATAACTCTTTGACTTCAGTTTGGGACATTATTTTTTTGTTAGGTTTTCTGTGGTTGTCCTCAGTCCCCCCAAGTAAATGATAGTGCTCTACTGCACACTTTTCCCATTCACTCCTCACTAATCATCCTTCCATTCGATGCTGTGTATTTGGGCAGCAGGCAATATCGTTATGTGTGCCATGAAGGAAATGAAAGTTAAACCTCTTGACATCCCCAAGGCATGAATCCTACAGGATTGTGTGTTTAACTGGCAGTCTGAGGAGGTGAATTTAACCTAATGCTCATTAAAGATGTCTCTCTGCATGCTTAAGTAAGCAACACCATGAAGGTGTGGGGGGAGGAGCAGATGTTTAGATTCACATTTTATTGACCTTGGAACTATTTGGAGATGAGTGGTCAGCTGGTTACTGTACCACCGAGGAAAGACCCCCAGGTACCCATTGGATAGGAGGCTGGGTGGAGCCCCAGAACTGGTCTGGACAACATGGACAAGAGAAAATTCTTGGCCATGCTAAGATTCTAACTCTGACCCCTTGGCCATCCACCTCATAGCCAGTCTTTATACTGACTGTTCTATCGGGACTTTCCTAATGCCTGTAAGCTTTTATTCAGATTTGTGTTAACACCAACTAATGAATAACCCAAAGAATACGGTGAATTGGGTGTATGAACTGACCAAAATAGTTCCCCGTCTAATATTAATGCTTGCCGTAGAAGTTGAGAGATTGATTTTTGTTGGGTAAACTGACAGTGGTTCGAGTCTGGCCGGGTGTATATTTTGTACCCTTCATTCGCTCTTGATCCCACTTTCATCACTGCAGTTTTTTATCGTTACTGTTTATTTCACTGTTCTTAGTAAAGCTGGAACCTTGAGCAGTGATCTGTTTATTTGTATTACATGTGTTGCCTGTAGTTGGTTGCTGATGCATTTTATGTTGCTGTCACTTGACCACATTAATGTTCTGTGAGCATGTCATACTTCATACAGACACCAGGTTTACTGCTACATGGACTACACAAATTTGCACTAATTGTGGCACCCAAACTTCTAACGAAGAATGTCTATACACTGTCCACATGCTGTTCTGGGTTATACTTTGTTCCCATCCTCTTATGGGGTTGCTGTGACATTTCTTTTTAGTCTCAGATTTCAGTGCAAAAACGTCTCTGTTTTCCAGAGTTTATCAGAAACTTGATATCACAGTAGAGACCTGGTGCTCACATTTGTGGATCTGATAATCATGGTATGACTGCCAAGATCTGTGCTGCATTACTTAAATTTGCAAACATCGAATCAGCTGTGGAGTCAGTTCTGTACTAACAACCCTTTACTGTGCAATTAAAATTAGGACAGTTTTCTGTATTAAGATACGTGATTGTCCAGAAATATTTCATGTGTGACACGAGTTCCATGAAGTGAAATAGTNCTGAAGATGGAGGCGATACGTTCCTCCGAAACGTCGATTAACACCACATATACATGGTGCAAAGTCCCAGAAGACTGCTTTCTTCATAGTCACCGCATGAAAACGTCAAATCTTACATATGAGATCTGTGTTTTCCACAGTGGATGTTTTCCGGGATGTTGCACTATGTAGTGTTTAGAGCACATCCCAAAAGACAGTAATCTTCATGGTCATTACTGGGAGAATGTTAAATGAATCTCACATCATAAATTTTTTTATTTCATCATGATGACCGGGTTATGTTAATAAGTCATGTTCATGAAGATTCCAAGATGGTCTTTGCCTCTCCATTATGTTGGTCATCCTGAGTTTCCTCACCTTGTCAGTTGGTAAAGCCACTCGTGTAAAGTTGCGAGTAGGAACCAAATTGACAGTATGGTCATTTTCAGGATTACGGAGCAGAATCCTTTTCAAGTAGATCTCTGCCACTGTGGCATGTCCCCGCATTGCGGATGGAGGAAACAGCCTCCAGGTGTGGAGACTGTCCACAAATATAGTAGATAGGTAGTTGTGGACAGCTGATGGTATTGTCGTGTAGCTCGGGTTGGACATGGGGCTAACATCTCCTCACCATAAAGAAATTATGTTATGAAATGTTATGCAGGGCCTTGGATCTGGATGGATTCTTTGGACAAATATACCTGCTAGGGAAACTGGACTTGCTGTTCACCAAATATAATGGTCAAGTCAAGGAAGATAAGGGCAGAGCATGTATCACGTGGGAACGAAGCGCAATGAATATAGGATTTCTGTGAGAAAACCATAAGGATACAGACCAGTATGAAGTAACAGGTTGTAACTGATTGGAAGTTGCAAGAAATGTTGTTTGTAATGTGTTTGTGTGGACTTCTGTGTCACTCTTGTATGCGTGTATGGTGTTATTCATTTTGTTAGCTGCAGTAAAGGGGCCAAGAAGGCAACTTCAAAGCATAGTGTGCTTTGACATATGGGTATTCTTGCTGTATGCACTGTAGCTCTCAGTCAACACCGTCCAGAGGGATGCCTGCAAGGCAGCGGAAGAATGTCATATCGTGTGTGACGGTTGCTGATAGCGACGGAGAGGAACATAGAAGTCCAGCCAAGCAACAGATGCAACAAATGTATCACCATCATCATCAGCCACCCCCACCACCACCTCCGCCACCACCGCTGCCGCAACAACAGCCACCACAAGTATCTGTATGCGTTCATACACCAGGACACACTGTCAGGGAGATTAAGCATGAGCCACAACACAGGTGTGTAACAGTACTGATTTGTTCTTGGGCAGTCATGTTTATAAAAACAAAAAACTCCACATCTTTTGCAGTAAGTATCATGAGGTAGCTAAGATCACCCTTGTAAGGGGGCTTTAGATGTCCCAGTACTGTGGGGTTGGTGAGCAGATTATGACAGTTTATCATTCATGAACAGAAGTTTCAGTCTTTCAGTAGTACAGAATTGGCCGCCAGGTTAATAGCTCATTAAGGAATTTCAAATCTTGAGAGCCCACTCGCCCTAGGATGAAATAGCAGACATGAATAACTGTACTCTTACTGTGGCTGTCATTAGCACATGGAGGACTTGTGATTAGTGTGTGTTGCGTGGTGGACATTGCAGGTCATACATTTATTCCAGTTCTAGCTATTCTAGTGGGGCATCACAGTCGCAAAAGAAGCGGTTGCTTGCAAAGGCTCAGTCAGAATGCATGCTTGGTGTGGCAACCAAACGAGAACCAGGCCTCGGTGATTATCATCCTTCTACTGATTATGCACACCACTCGGCTTGCCATGGTGCCACCTCCTGCAGCAAGGAGCCAAGCTTAGTTGCTAGCAGTTCAGCCAATGCGGTGGTGGCTGGATATCATTATGTGACCACTTCTTCAGCTGGTGGGCATGCCACGATGCCAGGGCAGGAGCAGCACATTGTGTATACTGGGTAAGGAAATGTCCGTTTTAACAAGTTGTATGTATATTTTTTCTTTAGAAGTTAGAAGTGTCATCTGAATATTTCTGTTTCTCACATTGTACATCCTGTTTGAGTAATGAAGTTTGTTAGTGATATATGCCATGTATTATATATGATTTTAAATGCTGGTAAATCTTAAACCTAATTATTTGATTCTGTTAAGTTGTAGTGGAGACAAGCGTGGATCATGGGCCCCACCTGCAGCGCATACAGGACGAGAAATGCTTGCTCCCCCATCGGCTCATAAACGAGATTCTGTGGCTCGGGACCACTTAGCAGTGCCTGTCGGCTCTCACCGAGAGTATCACATCCCTCAGCAAGGTCAGCAGCCGCAACTCATACATGGTACGTCCAGTTCACAGAACGGAATTAATTCATTTATGGCATGAACTTTGCTTTCATCTCCAACCAAGGTAGCACCTGTCTTTAAGTTGCATGAGAAAACTCTTTTTAACAGAAACCAAAGCAAAAGTCAAAACAGTGCATTTTACTTTAGTTAGATGGGTGAAAGATTTTTAATGTACTGTAATGCAGTCACAAATTTGGCTGTCCTTTTGCTGGAATGATGATACTTGGGGGGGGGGGACTTTGCTTTTAAGTAACTTTATAAAAATGGTAATTTCTTTGAAGTTTTTGCCAGTTGTTCGAGAATTCCATGTGCTTGGATACTGGATAAACAGGAGTTGGCTCTGTTTGTGTTCTTAAATATTCTAAGCTTTGAATTAGTTGATGTGAACATTTGCACTATGCCATGCTGACTGACAGCTTAGCAAAAAAGAGAGTGAGAGAGAGAGAAATATGTTGCAAGGTCATGAGCCACAGAAAGAGTTGTCTGATGTAATGCTGGAACTGTGAATTTAATGCAGTAATTCCCCACGAAGAGATATTGTAGGGAAGGCGAAATATTTGAAGGGGGGGGGGAGCAAATATGAGAAAGATAGGACTGTCTTAATAAATGTAATGTATACCATATTTTGAAATGAATGAATATATAAAATCACTTTATGTTCATACTATGTATGTTAGTGGGGGTGGTGTTGCATTTGGAGTCATCTTCCATTCAGGTGAGTTTGGTAATATACGGAAGTTTCAATCTCAAAAAAACCCTGCTTGTAAATTGATGTGTGATATGAATGCTGAGAGATTCATGCCTTTAGTGTGATACGGTTCATGTTTGAACATTTAGCTCTGCCTTCTTCAGTTCTCTAATGTGCATGTTTTGCTGGTTGTGCTGTCTGGTTCCTTTACAGCAGCAAGTGTTCACAAAGAGTACATCCAGCCTCCTGCTGCTCACACAACACGTGAGGGGATGGCCGTGTCAACACGGGAGCAACATTTGTTAGCAGTAGCGCAGGCCAAGACTTGGACCACAGCGGCTGCCTCGGCTTCCCACCCTGCCCTCCATCAAGGATATCGCCATAGCAGTGCACATTTGTCTCCTCAGCCTCTTGCACATGCAGCTGCAGCCAGTCGTCTGTCCCCTCAGCATCACCTTGCTGCAGCTGGACAGCCCTTGTATCAACAGCCCGAACTGTACCGCCGACCTGCTGTGTATGTAACCACCACACAGCCTGCCTACTTGCCTGCTAGCCATCAAGTGGCTCCTTTCACTGCGGGGTGAGTAAAGGGTGTCTCTGACAATCCTGTTGTTCACAGTGAATTACAGTACATTTCATGCCTACATATTGGTGAAAATATCCTTGGAAGACACCATTGTTTGGGTAGTAAATTACTCCGTTGTCTGAATGCATCAAAGGGATAATTGTTACCTAATTGATATGAATGTTGAAATGTTTCTTTGTTGAAATAAAATTGGCTAGAGCCTGACATCATGTGGAATGTACAAATTTTACAGCTGATTCACTGTGAGGATCATAAGCACAAGATTATGGACCACTGCTCTAGCAGGTTTTGTTGCATGTGTTTCAGCAGGGCATTGCCCCCTCCAGCACATCATGCCAGTACTCGACCAGTACTGGCAACACATCCTTCACACCCCCTCCCTGCACATATGCAACCAGCAGCTGTGTTTCCAGCCCACCCCCAGGTGGCAGCATCATATGGATTTGCTCCTCTCAGCCCAGCGAAATCACACCAGTATCAGCCTAGTCTGTGGTTCACAGAGTAAGAAGGTAATGTTGCTCTCATTGTCCGCGTGTTTGGGTATGAACACACATGGAGCAACTGCTGCTAGATTTTCACTGAAGTTACTCTCTTCATGATTTGAGACTATCAGAAACTCAGTTCCTGGTCAAAGGAGGAGAATATAATGTTTCCTTAGCATGTACTTCTTGATATTTGCCAGTTTACTTTGAAAACTGGGTTTCTTGGTATGTACCACAACGAACGAAAGAAAATATGTTGTGATCTCTGAAACGAAGGGTCTCCTATGAAACATGATAATTAAGGTTTATGAGAGAGAAAGAAATACATTTTGGGGTTGCCCTGACGACGCTTTTGAGAGGAGAACAAAGTGTTTTTGGATGATTGAAGTTGATTCCCTGATATTTAAAGGGACTTTTTTTCTTTTTCTTTGACAAGAACCTGGGTATAGAAGGAAATAAAAGAAAGGATGAAATAATAAAATTTGATTGGATATGTCCATTAATTGAGGCGTTCTTGTATTACCTGTTATAGTTCCATTATTTGTTGTTTCTTCTGGAATAAGCTTTTTGTGTATGTATGTGTGTATATATAGGTATGTGTGTGTTTATGAAAGTCCTTTGGACATTTCTTTTCGATTTGTGTATTTATTGTTTGTTGATGTTTAATTATTTTTGCATGAATTAAATGTACTTGATGTACATTACACAATTCTGAATTTGCTATTTTGCATTTTTAAAACTGTCCTTAGGACTGTATGGGATCGAAAGTCTTGTCTGTGTATATTAAGTATCCAACATGGGAAAGAAGCAACCAACTAGAGATATAACATGTGCTTCTTTGTGTTTAGTTGCTTGCGTATTGTAATTATTTATCAATCATTCCTGCCTGCAAGTTACCATATGAATTAAATGTTGGTAACAAGAAATGTCCATTGCAATCTGTACATAGTGTAAGAAAACTGTCAGCAATTTTTATGAAAGTCGTGAACAAGTTGTACATAGTAGCAGTGAGATGCTATCAGCCTTGTTTTAAAATGTGATGCTGTTAGATATTTATATTTTATCCTTTGTGACAAGCGCATTTTAAGGAGAGTTTACAGTGATCAGGAAGTGAGGTTCTCAAGGACTGTTTTAGAGGGATAAACTTTGAATGTGATGTTGTAGGTACGTTTTTAAGGAAAATCCCAAATCAATGTGCCTATTTAAATTATGATTGTATGCTTTTAATTTGAGATAATGTTCCCCGTCCCCCATGCTACCATTATTGAATCATAATAGAATTAAATTACTTGTAACTTATGATATGGTGATTCATTTGTTATTTTGAAAATTTTAGCCAAGCCACTCTGTTGAACTGCTGTTATTGATGTGAATTGCCTAGTTCCCTTGGCAGAGAATATTGGGGTCATGCCAACTGGCCATGTGTTATAACCAGGTCATACAACTTGTCTGAAAAGAGTATGAAGCGCATTCGGGATTTGTAGCACTTGACAGGATGTCAGAGTACATGTATACAAATGTATATGATCCTTTGACATCCTCCTACTTTGCAGAATTTCTTCGTTACAGACAGAATTGTGGCTAAGTGTGTTGCACATTATTTAGTTCACTAATGATTTGGCAGTGCCTTGAATCTTCTATCATAAATTAGTGCTTAATTTGTCTGATCTCCCCCACCGATATTGCACAGAAAATTCAGATAAATTCAGGTATAGTACTACTGTGTACTCACACAGAAAGGCACTCTTACTCCAAACAATTCCTGTTTTTCATAAAGCTTTTAAATTCACGTAAAATATTGAATGTTTACATATTCTGGTCAGAAATATGACCCACAAAAATGATAGGCTCTTCCTGCATGACCCCTGCCTGATATCAAAAGGTAGTTTATATAAAATGTGTTTATTGTGATGTAACAATCTGCTGAATATGCATGTGCATATATAATTGTGATAATTAGGCACAGCTGATGAGAATGCCAAAGTTGGCAAAGTGTAAGGGCCAGCAGTAGGGATATAGTATAAGCCCTCTGAGTACAGAGTAAGGTATGCCAGCCAGGAGAGAGCATGGGATGATGGTCCTTGGTAGAAAAATGATGGTGTTATCAAATTGACTTTCTGTTTGTCAGCAGTTGCTCAGACAAAACAGCGTACAGCTGCAGTTGCAACACCTGCCTGCACTGCATTTGATGTGTATATAGTTTGTTAGCAGATATGATTTGAGGTAGAGATAGAGGCTCGTAGTTTTCCAAGTTTCAAGATGTAATTTTGTGGGGTTTCTTTAAACTCCTATGGCAGGTGCTTGAGGACATAAACACTGCATAATGCTAATTAGTCTGAAGAATTGGTGGAATTTTTGCATTATCTGGTTTATGACAGCATATATTATGGTGGGGTATTCATCTGCTAGATTACACACAACATAATCCAGAATCCACCATAAGAATCTTCTCAATGGTTAAAACATCAAGTTACATAATTTCATGGAAATTGTTAAATTATCTGGGTAATGCAAGATCAAAAAGAGCCCTGAAGGTGTGATTACTTTGTCTTCTCTGCAGAATTCTTCAGCTAAATTATTTCAAATTAGCTTTCATATGCCGCTGCATTCAGTGCATTTCACTCATTTATATAACCTCAGATGTTTGAAAGGAAAGTATGTCATCGTCATATTGTCTGTAACTGGCCTGAATCTGTGGTCATTGATCTGGTAACTTTAAAATGAGGCGCTTCATCTCCCTCGTTAACAGCGGTGTTCGACATCACAATCTTGTGTATTGGCAGTGACAGTAACGTACAAGGGAGCCAGTCAAGATTGTGTCTGAGCAACTCATATATTGCTTTAAGCTGCCTCTCAGTATTTGAAGCCTTCTGATCAAACCAGAGCTTTATTGAGACTGGCTGAACTCCATCCTCCTTGGTAGAGCACATATTTATTATTGTATCCTTTAGTCATTGGTTCAGTGTTACACATATGCATGTTTGTATGTTTTAAGATATTGGGTGATTATTAGTACAGGTAAACTGGTAATAGTTGTGATATATGAAAGTGCAAAAGCACTGACTTTTATTGTAGATAGATAGTGTTTAGACATGACTGATCAAATTATGGATCCGTAGAGCACAACTGATCCCTAGTGTGGATTATTCCAAATGTTCTGTGTACTTTAGAAGAATAACATGGTACATGTGTTGCTCCACAGGTTGTTAATCCTGACATATTGACCATGGTGTGTTGACTGGTTAGCAATCCTAACATATTAACCATGGAGAGCACACTCAGTGATAACATGAATGTTGTAGTGAATAGAATTTAATTATGGAAGAATAACCATATTTTTGGAGCTAAAACTAAGATATTGATAAATGAAGGTTTTGGGAGGTGAAGCTTACCTCATCCTCCCTCTTATATTGTTGTGTGTAGTGTTGATGTGTGACATTTCATAATCACAGTAGCCTTATAAATTGTGTGTAGAAATTAAAACTTTGTTAATGTAATTTCCCCATTTAATTTCCTCATATTTTTATTTTTATCATTTGCTTGCAATTACGTAATGTGGATTGAAGGGTGGATACACTTTGCACGCTTTTTCATGTAATAAATTTTCAGTGCATAATTTTCATTTTCTATAAAATCAGTAACTAATAGATAATTTTTGTATATGTATGTGTGTGTGAGCTTGGGTGAGCCTTCCATGTATTACAAGTACACGAATATTTACACACTATTTTTTTTAATAGTTTGAGGGATTGTAGAGACACTGTTGTATTATAAATGCACGGTTTATAACATGAATTGCCTTATTAATATACATTGTAATGTATATGTAGGTCTTTGGCTCCATCACTGAAGTGTATATGTGTTTATAAATTGGTGATTGAAGTCATGTGTACTGCACTCTCCACATGGTTCACTATGTTCTTGAACAAATTTTGTAGTTTCTACCAAAGACACAAAATAATGTTCCTGCCTACTTACAGTTTAGTTTAGCCCTGTGGTAAATTGCATAAGACTCAGCATTGGTAATGCCTTTTTATACTTTGTGAAATAAAAACTACAGTTCCTTTAGAATTAAATTTCTAGTTAATATGTAACTTGGCTCTTGGGTTTGACTGTATCTTGTGTTGAAGATGAGTAACCTCCCCCCAACCTGTACTCCAACTGTGAGAACTTAGTGCCGGTCCTTGACCTTTTCCCACCCTCATTCATCCTGAAAAGGGTGACTACAAAATGCCCTGAAATGTGAGAACAGCTTTGACACGGTGTGGGTAAACTCTGAAAGTTTAAGTTACACATTAGATAGAGACCACAAAAGCCTAAGGATGAAAATCAATTTGTAGTTGTTGGATCTCTGGTTATGTGATGCTTGAAACACTTAAATTGGGATATAATGAGTATGAAATTCCCTCTTCTCCTCGTCCCAGTGTGATTCGTAGCAGACATGGTTTAAAAGTACAATGCTGGGTGTTGAAAGTTGGAACTAATACAGTGTGTAGTGCCCTCCATTCAGCAACCTCAAGTGTCTGTTCCATGTATGTGAGCTGCATTATATCAATTTTCTTCTTGATGTTTTTCTCGTTCTTAAAGATGGGTGTTGTATTAAGAACTGAATCATTGCAGTCCAAGTGTGTTCTCTGTTTTACTGTATTCTGTATTAGAACAGTCTTGTGTCAAGAATAATAACCACATGACATATATAACTCAGAATTGTATAATTGGCTATGAGCTTAGGCTGCAAATTTGAAATAAGAACAAACCTGTAAATAGTGTATTTTTAAATGTGGTTGGGGAGGAAAGGACTGGTTCACTGTGGAAGACGTGCAGGGACTTCTCATGTAACACCCTTTGCTCATACATGTTGTACATGCAGACTGAGAGAGAGTTGAGGGTTTGTTCTTACTTCAGACATACTTTCTGTCCACAATGTGAGCATTTTAGTTTGGTGTAAATAGTGTAGTGGAGTTTACAATACCTCATTGCTTTCTGTATTGAGAACGGGATGTTGATTGGCGTCGTGCTGTATTGAGCTTCATAAATTGAGCACAAGCCGAGATATGGTGTCAGAATACCTTGTTTTTAAGTATCTTTTTTTATTTTATTACCTTTTTCTTTGTATAATGATTACTTGTATCAGGTAACAAACTAGTGTTTCACTGTGGTAGTCTAAAACACAATTATGGGATTGATTAGTGTTTAAATATTTACTGCCTTGGGTTGAGTATTATTTTGTATATTTATTTAGAATACTGTGGTGTAATGCAAAACATTAATGTTCAGTTACCAACTTAACAGTGTGCACTGTGGTTTATAATTTATGTTCTTTAATCAGCATCTCTGAAGTGGGGGTGTCATTCTTAAGGTCTGCTTGGCTCCATCTGTTGTCCATTCATCTTTTGTGTGTTATTATTATCATTATTTAGGCTTTATAATCGTTTGGTTCATGGAAGTGCTCCTGCACTAGTATTGATCTTCTGTTAACACAGGTGTTGTTCATTAGCACACAGGACACACATGACACAGAAGTCTCACGAGTAGTAAGGATGATATCACTCAGAGACTCAAGTTATATTCCGCATCTGTGAACTAGCTCAAAATGCATGTTGGCAAAGATTATTGCTAGTAACATTCGTGCGAACAGAATGGCTAGTTGACTAGGAGAGTATCAGGCATGCTGGAGGAAGTACTGAGTGAGTTTTTCATTGTTTTTCTTTGTGATCTGAGTGTAGTTCAGGAGACTGTTGCTACCTCAGACACAAATTGCTGTACATTTTCCTGGCCATATGGAAATTGTGTAGTTACACATATAAGGTCGGCCTAAAAATTAACAAGGGCAATATTGGCTCTGCAGGCCATATGTTTTGACACCCCTGGCATGTAAATTTTAAGAAACTTGGTTATTACAGAGTTCAAAGAAAATATGTAACATTACCCCATGAAGTCAAATTAATATCATAAAGTGTATGTATGTATTGGAGTGAATGCATGTATGTGTGTGTGTGTGTGGTTTATGTCTGTTCAGTTTGTGGCTGTTGTTGAGTTTAACTGTGTAATGGCCTGACATTTTTGTGTCCATGTCATCTTGAACTGAAGTCAACAGTATATGTTAATACCAAATTTAAGTTGAAGAAGATATGGATTTTGGCTCTTGTGATCCAATCAGTGGCCACAAATTTATACATAGATATATTGTATGCAAGGAATGTTACCTGTGCCAATTTTAAGGTGTAAGTATCTAGTTTTCTACTGACAATGTAACAATATTTAGTGGACAATCTTCAAATTTGTCACCGCCAATTTTCTCACAACTTAAAAAAAAAAGCTTAGAAAATTTCTGAATAAAAAAACGGTTATTCACATTTAAATCAAATCTAAATGTTTGTATGAAGAGAAACATATCAATTTGAAGTGAAGTGTCCCTGCGATGCATGAGGCACTCACTGTTGTATTAGGATTGAGTGAGTGGTGTGGGCGGAACGCTTACCACTGTTGCATCTCTATTTGGTCATCAGGTTATGGTGTTTTAGATTGTATTTGAATGGGAAAGTAATTAGTTTTTCATGTGAAGAAGCTTCTCCCGTTTCTCTGTCAATAGTTTCATGTGATATGCTCTTATAAATTTGCAGTGTATCGTTCCATGTAGCTCTTTGTGGACATTGGATGTTACCTTATTTGGCGAATCTCTCATCTGCTTTATCTATCATATTTTATATTGTCTTAACCCAAGTATATTTATTTTGTATCAAATTAGTAGCTTGTTTAATGTGAAAAAATGAGTGTGGCTTAGAGAGCATCGTTCAGTTTTATGTTCCATAACAAATGAGATCTGATTAAGGGGAGATACCACTGTTGTACACAATTTTCAAGCTGATTACAGGAAGTCTTCTAGTGCGAATTACATAAAATCCATGACAGATTGGAGGCTTGAGTTTAATACATCAGGATATGAAGGCCAGTGGATAACTTTATGATGCAGTTACAGGTTGTATGATTTTGCCAAACATATGATTCTCTGCTGTGGTTGATTTATTGTATGAAATGTGTTGGATATTGCATGTTGTCTGAAGTATATTTGCTACATGAGGCTTTTAGGAGCTGGCCTACTTCTGTTGTGTGGTTACTACTACTACTACTACTACTACCACTACTACTACTGCTATTTGTGTAAGCGGTGTTAATTGGAACTGAGCTATGGACCCTTCTGAATACATAGTATTCAAAAGTCCCCAGGTTCAGTGACAACTAATATCGAAATAAGGTATAATAAAAATCTTTCACAATGACAACCAGTCGCACCTGGAGACAGGAGTGCTGCCAGCTTTAAAATGTGTCGAATATACCTCAAATAATGGACAGTGTCCAACGGAATATTCGTATAGCATAATGTAGAGCACCAAAAATTGTATATTTTAGACTTTTGAGCAACCAGAATTGTATAGAAATATTTTTTTTTGTGTTGAGTATGGACCATATTTTTTTGCTTCAGAACCCTGTTACAAGTGTAATTTTTTGTCCAGCTTCATGGGGTTAGCCTTAGTTGTAAGAGTTCAGACTGTGGGGTACCTTTGTGCCATGTACATTTCTGACACAGCCTTCTTTTTAAGCCCCAACATCCTTCCACCCTCATATCACTCATATTGAGTGTTGTAAACAGTATACAGATTATACCAACATTCAGAGGTAAAGCAAAATTTATTTAGATATGTGACCAATTTGAGTTAATATTTTCTTACGTACATCTTCAAAATGACCACAAATTTTGGATTATCTGCAATATATCTTGTCTCTTCTTCATTATCTACAGGACAGCGCTCTTCATGAAATATGCAGCACCAGTCAGTTCAAACACAGTACATGCATGCAACAGTAAAGATAGAATTGTGTATGTTTTCCCATTTTCTCAGGTAAAATTTCTAAAAGTCTTAGTTGTTCATAGGTTTTCATTTGATGTAGACCATCTGCTTATTGTCCTGCCAAAGCAGGGAGGCTCCAGGCTTGTGCATTATCAGTGGTTCCTCCTCATATGTAAGATACATAATTTTCAAAATTTACATAAATATCTGTAATCTTCATAAATAAGCTTATAAAAAAGTACAATGATTAGTTGGACCAATATGCTTTTCCTCAACTACATATTTTGTAATATTGGGTCTTGGTGGTGATAATACTTTAAAAATGTATCATTAGAAAAGTGTGTATTTAAAAGCTTACATATGTTTTACAAGTATTTTATGGTATTTAGGTCCTGTTATATAATATTTAATGTTGCCTTTTTGTCATGAAATGGTAAAGGTCATATGTAAAGGAAATTTAAAATGAATCATTGGTATATAATTTTTTTTGAAGAGGGTAAAAGAACGCTTGCTTTGTATCCGTCTCCTAGTCAGTAGAAGGGGAAAGGTTGTACATTTGGCATAATTAAATTTAATTAGCTGAAATGTGAGTTGTAATTTTATATTAATGGAACAGGGACTCAGTTGAGATGAAAATATAGTGAATTGTTCTTGCAAGGTACAAATAATGAATTAATTTTCCACTCTCTCCTGTAAATGAAAGCATCCCTAAATATAATGTTCAGCAATATGTAAGAAGAATATGCGATGTTCAGTGACATGCTATTGCAGTGAGCCTTTTTACAAAACTGCTGTACTGCACTGGTGTGGTGATCTCTTTAACCGTGCAGTTACATGCAATATGTTACGTGCTTTTTTGTTGGTAGGTAAACTTGAAGGGCCTTGTCCTTACAAAAGAAGCAGGCAAATTATCCAGGTAAGATGAGAGTGTTCATGTTGTCTGCTGACTTGTGACATCATGTGGTCTAGTAGTGGATGGTAACCACCATAATTGAAGAACTGCAATGTGAAAGTCTGAAATCAGAAGATAGCTTTTTCTTGTTGCATCTGTTGTGCTTTGGTAAAGCAGCCTTATTTATTTATGCATAGTTAGGTTAATGAAGGTATCAGTAACTTGAGAATTAACATGTAACAATTAAATGCCACTGAGATAGGAGTGTGGAAGGAAGTGGTCATGACCTAAGTTGAGGTATTACGTTCAAATTTTCCTTGAGTGACTGAAAAAATCGTGATAAAAAAGTTGAGAGGCAGAATGCAAGTCTGAGAATGCCACTAGGGCTGTCTTGCCCCATGTGTGTGACGTATAAGTGTTATACATAGGTTGTATAAAAAGTAGTGGCAACGCCTCTATAGTTCTGAAATTACTTTATTACCTGAGGTAAACATACATACATTCCTTCAATATAATCGCCCCCCCCCATGTGTACCACCACCTGCCAAATTTGTGGAAGACGTCACACCATCAGCGCATTCACTTCTTTTGATGTTCAGCAGTGACTGCCCTACAGCATGAATAATCTCTCTTGTGTTTTAATGTAACCCTAGCAGTGGATCTTTCATTTTGGCAAAGATATCATAATCGCATGGACTCATATTGGGTGAGTATGGCAGATGTTGAAGGATCTCCCATCGCGAGAGGGGAAGGAGAACCTTGACAGCATCAGCAGTATGAGCCCTTGCATTGTCATGAAGGATGATGGGGTTTGTTGCCAGCAAGTGTCATCGCTTTCTCAGGAGTGCTGAATGAAGATGATTACGCAGGAAATTGCAGGAGTAAGCAGGGTTTAGTGTCTGTTGAGGTACAGTTTGGTGCAGTATCACTCCATCGATGTTGCATGCCACAAGGAACATCGCCTTCACATTACTCTGTGTAGGGCTCACGTTCTTTGAGCGAGGAGAGCTAGGATGCTACAGACGGTGCTAGTGCCACCTGAAGCACATCTTTCATGTTACAGCAGTGTTGCCACTACTTTTTATCCAACCCATGTATTAAAAGATGTACCGTGAACACGTGTTAGTTTGTCCAAAATAGTGTTCTTGAAGTTTCAGTTATAATTTTTGCATGAATGTTCACGTGAAGAAAGTAGTATTGAAGAATGGTTGTCTAGGTTGTAATAAATGCCTTGTGGTTCAGACAGAGCCCCACATTTTGGAGGAACATATTGCAGCCACCCACAGGGTCAAAGAGTAAGTTGAGCAAGAAACTTGCAGAAGGCGGTAAGGTGGTTGGAAGGCATTCTCTCTTTCTGTTTTGTTGCTCTGAAGTTTCAGGCTCTCTGGACTGCATATTTCTCGTATGCACCAAAAAATTTTTTTTTAAATAATACAGGGAGGATAGTTGCTGCAGGCTGGTGCTGCTATGGTACAAAAACATATTGAGTAGATGAACGTGTAACATCAAAAATAAAGTTGTAACGGATGCCAATGGGAAGAATGCACTCTTTTCGTTTGGTACTAACATTTTGGAGGGCCCGAGTACCTGAATCATCTGCCCCAGCCTATCCTGTCCGCCAGATTACATACACAGAACTCTTGAAACCGGTTAAGGACAGGTAAATTCTGACGCTTGCCACGCGTGGCAGCACTAGCTAACAACATCGCGCAGTCAGTGTCGTCAGTGTTTTGGGGGATGGCAATTGTGTACTGTGGTAGGGCGCGTAGGGTTTGTGGTATTCAAGTCATGTCGGGTGGTAGTGGGGGAAGCGTTATATTGTTCGGAATTCAGAAATGTAGCCAGGAAGGAATATATGAGCTGTGGTAGTATTTGACATTCGTCCTCCCTTCGTGATGATCCCACGGTGTGGGGTCACATGTGAGACTGATAGTGTACTGACGGTACTGACCATTTGTCTTACCGAGAATTTGGCTAGATAGCCTTTGTGTTTCAAAAGTGACGTTATGGTTCTCGGGGACTATAGTAGCCCCAACAGAGGGTGCAGTTTTCGCAAGGTTCAGCTGTAGTTCTGGCAATGTTGCCATCTGATACAGATAGTGAAATTAGAGTAAACGGGCGCAGAATCCGGTTCTTAGTTGAACTAGTGTAAGGGAGGAGTATTTTAACTTCATTAAATGGTTCTAATTGCACGTAACCTACATCAACCGGTATGTTAGGCAATTTCGAAACACTATTTAGACCATCAAAATCCTTACGAATTTCGCGACATAAAGCAATTAATTGTAGGAAACTACAAAATTACGTGTACGCTTTCATTTTAGCAAACAAAAAAAATTGAATTGTGGAATTTCGAGAAGCGAAGAGATAATGAAGATGCACTTTGCGTGGAATGAAACAACCTGATGTCTCATTATCTGGTCAGATATCCAAATGGAAATAAGATTTTAAAAATTATCTTGTTATTGTGTTGCAAATTTAACTCCTAAGATAATTTCTATCCTGTGTTAATCTTGCTCTTCTTTTATCGCGATTAGCCAACGGGGCATCGACCGCCTTAGCGCGTCGCTAGCTCGCCAGGGAGTGGTAGTTTGGTAGCCAACAGCACCAATGTACTGCTCGGCCTTCCGTTGTATGGTTGGTGATTCGCCGACCATTGGTGTACAATTTGCCGACCAATCATTGGGAAAGTGCTGTCGAAAATATCCAATGTAAGTCCACAAATTATCTAAGAACTTCTGTGATCATGTATTCGTCTGCAGGCCGGCAAAATTTGATTGTTTTCATTATAAATCCGTGTGGAGAGCTTAGATTAATTTTCGCTTCTTGATAAACATAGCAAGGAAGCCATGTTTGTAGCAACGATTCTCATATTCGCTTAGTTGGTGGCGTATTTCTCAGTTTTAAAGTAGGTCATATAAATTAAAGTGCATTACATTTTCCTTGCGTTAAAAGGAAAATTTATTTGATCTCGGATAAAGTTATATGACAATAAATTACATTGCGTCGTTTGTTGAAGGAATGGGAATCATTCATGAGAGTCCTTTGTGTTCACGAGTAGAGAAATATGAACAAACAGGTTCTGTAAATTAATTACGTGTATAGCCATATTAAAAGTAAGGATATAGTAGTTGATCCATGTATAATACTGCGTCCATTGCATAAAAATGCATTTCTATAATTCATTGTTTTAAATAGGTTGTGCCTGATGTAGAATTGTTATTATGGTATTGGTTTTACCACGTAATATTCATATGCTATATCATACTTGTGGGTCTTCATAAACTTTTACCAGTAGTGAATATGCTATTCTGCGGTGCTCTTGTGAATGAAGGAGTGTGGTTAAATGTGGAGTACTCGTATTTATCTTATTATCTGCTATTATGCAGCTTGATTAAATTAAGAAGTGAGGTTAAGTACAACGAGTACACGTTTTTATAATAAATGGTTGGTTACTTGGATACAAAACTTCTGAATTACATTTGCTTTTACCTGCGCTATTATATCCCCATATTGACTTAATGTAGAATAATATCTCAAAACCCTGAACACATTGCATCTTCACAAGTTTGAAATGTTTTGGAAGAAGATTTTTTCCAACCTGGAATTGGAATGAAATAACTCTGTTATGTATAGTGTATGTTTGTAGTTGTCCCTTTGCTTTCTCAGTATTGTACTCCCATTTAAGTGGTCATGTATGTAGGTTTTCAATTCTACTTAATGCTGCAGGTAATTATTTCATTCTAATGGCTATTTGTAGAAATATAATGAATGTTTTGTTGAAATTCACATTGAAAATTGTTAGTGCGAAGGAAGTCTTGTTTGTAATCTAGCATTGTCGCCTTGTCATTTGAGAATATGCTCAAGGCCTAAGTTTATTTTCTGATATCATCCTTACCTTTCATAGATTTTTTCTTAGGGTTGGTTATTTGGCAATGTTGAAGCAAGTACTGAAGGTAGATAGTGACAGTGATAATAAGTAGAAGGTTTACGGGGGGAACATATGCCTGCTACTGCTGCACCAGCTTGGGTACTATCCTGATGTTGTGTGAGAGACTGAGGGAAGTGACAGGAACTGCTGACATATTTGCTTATCTTCAGCATGACATTTTGACCCAGGACCTCGTGAAAACAAAGCTTGAGTGCCACCCACATGACAGTGATGTTCAGTAGAATGTTGACTGTGTATCGAATTATAGGGGATAGATGAAGTTTCCTTTTACAGATTTGAAGATATTTTTAATTTGTGAGTTGTGAAACTGAGGCAACTTGTAGTTAGTTGATCATGAGTAAAGGTCAGTATATAAGATTTGGGGCTTTCACTGTGGTGAAGATTTGTAATGTCTTTTGAGCTGTGACACTGTGTTTAAGTTCTGGTAGATGGGTACCTGCATTTCTGAGGAACAACATACTGCCTACTTACTTCTTCAGGGTGTATGAAGGCTGAGGCAATAGCTTCCCTTGAAATGATAATACCCACCTACCAGACCAAACCATGATGAATATAGTCTCATCTCTTCCTGATGTAGCAAAGAGGTGTGACACATTTGAATTTGCTGTTTTCTCAACAGTGTTTATAGTCAAAGCTGAATTAGGACCAACACTGTGGATTCTGGCTTCAAGCCAATTACGATGGAGCAGCAGTTGGCTAGTGATGGGCAGGTGACAGTGATGCAGGCTGTCCCAGCTGGAGCGGGCGGACAGCAAGTTCAGGTGAGCAATTTTTTTTTAGCTGCTGAATGAACTTAGAAAGAAACTATTAATTGGAATGAACCAATTTCATCTATTTTTCATCATGAAAACCTGTGTCTCAATAAACATTTTAAATATCTTCCCAGTTCCCTAACATTCTTGGGAACTAAGCAGATAATTGGAAGGGGAAACATAATAGGCAAAGAGAGAGGTGAAAGGGCCGATACACGAGGCTTCTTACCATGTCCTCTGTCACACGGTAGTTAGAATTAAGGTAGTTCTTGAGAATGTAGTTAGTAGTAGAAATGTCAGTTGTGCACATTTGCTGCCAACTAGATAGAATGTGTCCTGTGGCAGGAATATAAGCGTCAGTTTGTGTGGGTCCAGGCACTCTCAAACTACTGCTGTTCTCACCACTGAACAAATGGATGTACTAAACTTCCATTCATTGTGAGCATCGAGTTTTGAATTTTTCCCAGGTTTTCATTTGTTTCTCAGTCTCTCTTACTGAGGGTTAGAATGTTACATGGACTCCTTACATCATAACAACTTGTGGGATGTCATATGAAGAGACAACCACTAGTTGAACTGTCATATAGTATTTATTGCAGTTGCACCGTATACACAGACGCACTTGCGTTTGAAGAATTGAAGAATAATAATAAGAATAATGAACACACTGAACCAGAATTGTAGAACTGTAGAATCTAGAACTGTGAGTCAGAGTCAGAGTCACGTTACCACTGACGGTCAGTCAGTCTGTCTGTCTTGGTGTCGAGCCCCAGCTGGGGCTCATGACCAGATATTTCTTTTGTATGAAAGTTACTGTCCTGTCCATGTGTAGCGCCCTCTCTGACGAGAGGTCGGGTCTGTCATTTGTTAGTCAGTCTGTAGTAATTTGTCCATTGTCTGTATTTACACATATTTGCAATACATACTTATATAAATGTACAATATTTACACGGCCTCCGTCAGTCCAGGCTAGGTACAGAAGATTATGCCCTTTTATATATATATAAATAAATATCCTAATAGTATTAGCTATCACGGCAGTCTAGTCATTTGAACGGTCGTATGCCTGACCGCCGCCAAATTTAAGCCTCTTATACTTTCTGTGTCGGGCTTCGCCTAGAACTGTGACTGTAACTGTATCTTCCTATGTAACCTAGAGTCGGACATATAGAAAACCAGTCACTCTCCGTATTGTTGTGGGCTTTGCCTAGCAACCGCTGTTTACGTGTCGTTGCTAAGCAATGAAGCTTGTGTTGTCACGCTTGCTTGAATGTTGGCAGTTCCCACAAACTCATTAGCATCTCTGTGTAGAGTGTCAACTAATCTTAAACATAGTTGTCAGTTGTTAGTGTCCCTTGTGTTTTGCAGGTGTTGCAAGTGAATCAGGCTGGCCAGATGCTACATAGTGGCGGGCAGCAGATAATGCTGCATGCAGTTCCACAGGGGGCACAGGCTATACAAGTAGCAACGCAGAGTGGCCAAGCGCTTCAGCAGATACAAGTGGTGCCTGTTTCAAGTCTGCAGGTTCGTGAACTCTTACACTTACTTACTCATGGAGCTGAGCCCTTCGTGAGGAACTGTCAATTGTGCAGCTACTCAAGAATTTCCCAGCATTTTATGGAACCCAAAGGTTCATTACTGTGTCCACAAGAGCCCCCACTGGTCCCTATCCTGAGCCAAATCAATCCAATCCATACCATCCCATCCCATCTTATCTCTGTCTGAGATCCATTTTAATATTGTCCGAACTCTTACATACCAGACAAAAATATTCTTAATTCTTGCACTTGTACAGTGCAGATGGCTGTTGGTTAAATTAAAATGTTACTGGAAACACAGTTGGTATAGTGATTTCCAGAATTATTTGGCAACATTTTAAGTTATTAATCTGAAGTGTTTAGCAGCAGCAGACTGCCCTCTTTTTTGAGGTAAAACCAGATAAAATCCCTTAAAGTTTCTATTATACCCACATTTTGTTTTTACCTCAAAAAGAGGAGTACAGCGTGTGATTTTAACATGAACTAAGACACTGTAGCAGTTTAACACAGTTTAATAAAAATATTTGTAACATATGATGGCTGTTTGGGGCCGAAACATGTAGTGTCGAGGTGTATAAGGTTAAACTAAATTGAGTGGCGAATGGAAGAGTGTTGCAATATCGACGGATGATAAATAATTGACGTTAAGTCAAGTACAATGTTTAATCATCAATTATGGCCCAAAATTTGAGAAACATTTGTAAAGCCATACATAACAACTTTCACTTGTAGAGCAGCAGTGCACAGCAGATAGTGATCCAACAGCCACAACAAGCACAGATCATCCAGACTTCGGATGGACAGACGTTCATCTACCAGCCCATGCAACTAGATGGTGTCCAGCAAGCACAGCCCACAGGTATCTCAACTAAAATGTACTTGTCGTCAGAATACTAGCAAACTTTGTGCCTCTGGTAGAATTGGAGGATGAGATAGCAGGAGAGTATTCAGGTGCAACAAAAATGTTTTGGTGGGATATATAGGAATTTTTGTGAAAACGTGTTGTTTGCATGAAGTTCTCTTGCCTTTTGTTCATCATCATCATTGTTGGCATCATTTACCATGATGATGACAGTAATATTAATATTATTATTATTATTAGAGGGGGTGGGTTTCCCCATGCACCGCGACTAATAGTCTATTGTACATCCCCTTTGATATTCTACCAGTCGCCATACCCTGCTGGTACTGGTGCTCGCTATCAGCCCCGTTCAGGCAGCGAAGCTGGCAGTGGTTCCCGATACTTCCCCATCTACTGGAGGCATTGGAAACTACTTGGGCGGGAAACTTTGCCTAATTTTGCTCAGAGGTCTCCTACAGACATGAGGATCTTTTATGTGCTGTAAATCTACGACACGGGACCCACGGCTTAAAGTCTTTCCCGGAGGACTTCTTCCCTGAATTTTTCTGCCCTTAAAAATTCCACGACCTCTGCCAGGTTTGAACCCGCATAACTTGAGTCATGAGGTGGGAACATTACCCCTAGACTACGGAGGCCGCTACAGTAATACTAAATACACTCTGTATTGTAAGTCATTTGATGCCCATTTTTAATGGCGATGAGCACTGATGGTGACGATGACAACCACAGTAGTAAGGGTAACAGCAACTGTGATGAATTGAATGTAAGACGACAGAAATAGGAATCATGGAGGTGGAAATGTTACATCTGCATATTTGTAAACTGCACTTCTTATTCCAGTTATCAACTTAAATGGAAATTTAGTTCAGTTGGCTGGAACAAACCCCACAGCCGCCACAACTGCAGGCACACCCGCTGCCACCCCCCAGGCCGCAGTCACCAGCCCCAGTGCAACCAGTGTTGCAGCTGCAGTGCCCCAGGCGATGGCTGTCAATGGTGGAAACATCGTCATGGTGAGTATTGTATCATTACAGTCAGATGTGAGTATTACAGCTACAGGATGATACTGAAAGTGTGTCATTGTACAAACAGATGGTGCCCGGTACTGGTGGCGTTCCACAGTTCCAACGAATTCCCCTTCCTGGAACTGAGTTCCTTGAGGAGGAGCCGTTGTATGTAAATGCAAAACAGTACAGGCGGATCCTGAAGAGAAGACAGGCCCGTGCGAAACTGGAGGCAGAAGGAAGGATACCAAAAGAAAGACCGGTAAGAATATTTGTCATTATTGTGGTTGATGTTAATGGTGCAGAAATCTGAGGTGAACAGTGTTCATAAGCTTTGATCTGTGAATAATATTCAGTGGGTAGTGGCAGCTGTTGTTCTATATCTTCACTCCCACCCAGTTCGTCTCCATGGTGCGGTGCTTCATTAAGCACAGGGACACCTTTACATAAAGTTAAATCATCTTCTTTCAGAAATACCTCCACGAGTCCCGCCATCGCCACGCAATGAACCGTATCAGAGGAGAAGGAGGGAGATTTCATTCTGGATCAGTTAAGAAACGAAATTCGTAAGTAAACTCAAATTTGGTTGTTTTGATTATCATGGAAAAGATTCATTGTTGAAGCAGAACTGAGTTGCAGAACTGCTGGCACTCTTACAGCACAGAGTATTCGATATGATGTGAAAGGTCATGTACAACTTTTGTTGAGAAGTTAATGATCAGTAAAATGGATACCAACTTTGCTTGACTGTTTATTTTTTAAAGTCGTTTGAAAGTTGTTTTGTGCTGTGATCCGAAAATCCTACTACGTTTCTTAATTCTGTGGCTCCTTCTTAGTCCCATTTATTCTTGCTGTTCACTTCTTTGTATCTTCACTTGATACTCATTATGGTGGCTTATCAGACGATGCTCTTAATCCTTGATTTATACAAGTAATTAACGCAGTGTACAGTATGATAGTCTAAGGAGAAGCATGGCAGGACTCAGAATGTTGTGTATGGGTAGGTACGGCATGACTGGGGGCCCACAGACACTTGACGTTGGGGTGAATGTGAATCAGAGAGGTACGACTTCCAGTCCTCATGTGGTTACTTATTTTAAGCAGTGATGAGCTATTAAACAGAACTTAAAAATCCACTGTGGGCCTATCAGCGATTAGAATGTTATGACTACCAGTAATATTTAAAAATTGTTGGTTGAGGGGCTATGCTACAAGCCGGAAGGTTGCGGGTTCAAGTCCCGATGAGGTCATTGGATTTTTTTTTTCAATTGACTCAATCCTTACAGCCACACTATGTCCCTGGGGAGTAAAGCGTGGCCGGCGCGTAAGGCTGACAACCTTACCGCCATCTTTGAGCCGATTGTCTAGATAATGTGGGAGCCTCAACTTCTCACAACCCTATGGGCCTTCACGGTCTCTTACAGGGATCGCTTTACTTTTTTACCCGGGTCATGAAATGTATAGTTTTGATACGGTGGTCTGTAATGTGATACCGTGCATTTGGTATAGAGGCAAAAATGTTTCGGAGAAGTCTGCTACCTCTGTCTTCAGGATCTTGAACACAAAGCCTGCAGGTTCCTTTGAAACTCTTGTATCTGTCTGCCAAGTATGAGGTGGCATCCCAGATGACAGTAATCTTGAACCTTATTTCTACTGTCTCAGAGTCATTACTTAGTTATCTGATGGATATAGAACATGTCAGTATTTACTGCAGGATTTTATTCTTCTTAAATACATACATACAGTGAGTACGTTTCAGTGAATAGGACACAAATTGATATATGTAATTTTAAGAGAATAATTTTAAAAACCATTGCTCGTGTAATGTTTTGTGTTAGTCTCCTTCACCACAACAGTCACAATGTAAGAAGTGGACTAAATATTCCTGTTACATCCACCAGCTCACAGGTTGATACGGACAACATTGGCTCAGCACTTGTTATGGAGGTGAGATACCAGCGTTTTGTGATGTAGTTTGTAGAGCAGTTGTCTTCATTGGGCATTTATGTTTGCTGAAGGAAATTGCTTCCTGCATACATTCTGTGGTTCAAAGTTAGCAGCAGCAAAATAGAGACTGTTGGTTTATTTCATTTGAATTTCTAGGGATAATGAAGTGAGAAGGGATTGTCTGATCCTGTGACGGGTATCTGCACCATTTGTAGTGAAAAAGAATGTGTAAGTTCTCTTTGGCATCCAAAAGAACAAAACCCTGAGTGTTTTGTGTTCTGCTGGGTCCATGTATTGTTCACTCAGTTGTTGCCTTTATTTTGTGAGCACCTTACCAGATTTTCTTTTCAAACTGTTTCCGTTGTTGAGGTCTTGAGGACTCAGGTCTGACCACTGTACACTGCCTGCATTATGTATTTGTAGACAGCAGGGATTGTTCAGTATTCTGATCAGGCTGCAGCTACAGTGAGGACCCNCCCCCCCCCGAAGCACATGTAGAAAAGCAAATACATGGCTTTTGGCTAATGTGGCTAGTGTTAAGCCTGACTTTTTTTTTGTTCAGAATTGTTACCAAGTTATACGCTGAAGATCATTGAATTTGTCAATAAGTTACATATCAGATTTTAGGATTCATTACACAAATCAGTTTATCTCCTGTTTCAATTTGAAACCATAGTATTTTACCAAATTGGGATTTGTGTTGTTGAGTGCATGAAAATTTTACAAGGCCCTGAAGATGGAGGCAGCATGTTCCTCAGAAACCTACCGGACTACACGAGGCTGCAACACAGAAGACCACAGCATGAATGAATGCTGTTTTGATACAAATTTATAAAGATGTGTGATACTTTGTAAGTTTTGAGGTTTTCATGGCGATGACTATGAAGAAAGTCGTCTTCTGGGTTTAGGCGCCGTGTATTCTTCGTTTTGGCCAATGTTCCTCCGAAACGTCAGCCAAAACGAAGAATACACGGCGCCTAAACCCAGAAGACGACTTTCTTCATGTGTGATACTTGTTTGAAATCCTGGTAGCATCATGGAGAGAGAAATATATCTGATAGTGACTAACATTTTTAATTTATTATGAATTTATGATGAATCACTGTGTTTCAGGGCGGAGGCACAGCGTTGCCAGACATGATGTCTGACCCTTTATCTGTGGTGGCTTCAGAAAGCCAGTAGGACGAACAAGAAATGTATGAGTGTGAAGATACGTAAAAATACTGCCATGTCTGTAAGTGCACTGGTGAGGTGGAGCTATGTAATACAACAGTACACTCTACCTGAAGTGCTGTGCCTGTGTCGCTGTATCACAAACTGAAGGAGGGCATTACGCCAGACAGATATGAGTGTTTAAACCTGAGTGTATAAAAGAAGCAAGCAGAAGTGTGTATCTGAGATAACTGGAGGAGACATTTTGCGTTGTTCTACTGATCTGTTTGTGAAGTTCCTTTTCTTATTGCTTATTATATTCTGCTGTAAATATTAGCACAGTTCTGCATTAATATACATATATTTATGTATATTTTTTCTAGATTCTTACTGTCGAAAGTACAAGAACATTTCTATGTAATTGTCACCGTACACCTCTGTTTGACGCTGACTTTGAATTTGAATGTTGTCAGAATTTTTTAAGACCCCTGACTCACTTGTCAATGTAAAGGTTACAGTACTGCTGGGTAAATTTTATGTCGTTTGTTTGAATATTTGGTGTCATATTACAATAAACCAGTTTTGATACTGAGGTCATACCATTCAGTCCTGAGACCTGTACGGAACATATCCCGTCAGGTGTGGTCTGACATAACCGTTATGATGCTACATGAGGGTTGGAAAGATAATGTTGGTAGTGAGGGTAGTTTGTTGGCATCCGAGATGAATTACAGTTTCTCAGTATCATCCGTGGCTTACATTTGTGGCCGATGATGGATGCTATCACCAGAATGATTTCTTTTTGTGCCAACGAAGAAGTCACCTTGCTGCTTTGCTTATGTTTTCTGTCCAGCAGAAGAACCTTACTGATAGAGTGTCTTTATGTTTGAGGCAAGATCACAATCATAAGAAGGATTTGGTGTTTTTCAAGATTTTCCCGCTGCTGTTGTGCCATTACATCATCGATACTGATGGTCACATGTGTACATACCTTGCAGCATGTGAAAGCACACAGTGAGGTGACAGTGCATGGCTGCAGTATCCGCTGTACACGTGCAGCATTGACTGAATAAGCCCATCACACCTGTTCGGGATGATCTTGCTTATCCCCATCCCTGTGCTGACCATCAGAAATGCAACTTTCATCATGTAACCATCCCATATGCTTTTGTTCCTTGCAGCCAACCATCCTCTGCGTATGTTCTGGTGGAGCCCGGATTTGTATCGAGGAATCTTGAACCAACTGCATAAACATATTTTCGGACGGCTAGTTGTTGTGACAGCCTGACTTAACTGTACGACTTTCACGTGCATCACATTGCGTGTTGTTCTTGTTGCAATTTTCTTCATCCCTTATGCAACCACTTTCCCCTAGTCTTGTATGATAATGTTTAATTTTTCATAGATGTGCTGTTGGAACATAAAGAAACCAATATATATTTTGATTTTGAAAGAAGACGGAGGCTTTAAAATTTGTGACTGAATTCGTGAAGAAGAAGGCTAAAATTTCAGGTTATTGAGATCATTATCGGCAGAATATTGCACAATGGAATAAGAGTGATTCTGCATATATTGTACTTAAGAGTGATGTTAAATTTACAGACATTTATTTAAAAAAAAAACATTTTGAGCTTAACAGGATGTTCACAGATGATAATTAAATGATTTTTAGTTTAAAATATTGTTTGCTCCACACAAATAACCTGTAACATTGACAGATGTAATGTAGCAATAAAAGTACAAAGCTGTAATAGTAGTCAGTCTTCTTACTGGTGTGAAAACAGTTTCAATTTTGGCTGTCGTGGTGGTGGTGTTGATGGTGGTGGTGTTTCAGTACAGTGCTTAAAGTGGGGCAGGATGCTCTTGTCACAATAACAACTGCTCACTTATCTGTACCAGAGTTTCTAAACATTGTCCTGCTAATCGCCCACAAATTGACTTCGTTCCACTTTCTTTTCATTTCCACTTCAAGCACTGTTCAGACGTTTAAATATCTTCTATTCAAGTAAACAGGTACTTGTTTTATATTTGAATTTTATTAGTGTTGGTATGCCTCGTACATTTGTATGTTATGTTGTCCTGCCTTTGACAGAAATAAGCTGATTTCTAAAATGTTTGTATAATGTAATTAAAGTACATAAATCATTTTTATATGGTTGTGGTTTTTGCAGGAGGCAATTGTGTATTTATGAAGTCCGTTCCTTATTTTTAGATCTGTCATACAGAATAAAATTTGAGAAGGGGGGGGATCCTGTAAGCAAGAAATTTGTGTGTAGGGTTTGAGGTTCTCACATTGGTGATTATGAAGAGTTCTGTCTTCTGGGATATCACGTCATGCAGTCCGTTGGAAGTCCACCAATGTTTTGGAGGAACATACCACTTCCATCATCAGGGTTGAAGAATAAGCCCAGGTGGCAAGCAGACTACATGGTGTTATATCCCAGAAGATAGAGCTCTTTGAGAAATTTGTGTGGTTCAGTGTTTCCCGAGTCTCTCTCTCTGAGGGCCCTCCAGATCAGTTTTTTATTTTCTATTTTTGACATTTTAGTTCATTAAAATTGCACTGGCCAGTGTACTGAATTAATTTCTTATGTAGGGTGTGGATTTTAAAACGTGTATTTAATACATATGAAGTACATTATAGAAGGCAAGTTTCTTATTCTGTTGTATTAAATCAGAGATATCCAACTGGTGGCATTTGGCCCAGGGGAGTGCCCTGTAGTTCCCCCAAAATATATTAATGCTATGTATGACACAAACTCCGTCCTAAGTGCAACAATTTATTGTAGTTCTTTTGTCTCCTTTTCCTCTACACTACATGTTTCGGCCTCAAATGGCCATCATCAGGTGTATACTCTCACGTAGCTGTTACACTGCACGTACTTTAAAATTTAAAAACATCAGCTTTCTTAATTGTTCATTTCTCTGTTGTTAATAGGTCCCGATATATCAGAATCCCCTTTCTGATATCTGTCAGATATGTATAAAATCTTTGTTATTTTACATACGTCAATTTGATTTTTGAATTTTGGTATTTTTAAAATCTTCAATTTAAATTTAAAATTCGCAGGGATACCTGCCCATACCTGCTTAAATATAATATTACTGCTTTCCATGTTAAAATCTGTGCCAATTCTTGTAAAAGAAATACAAAAAGCACTTGCTAAATATTCGATGTAATTTATCAGTTGACTTAACATTATGCAAGATAAATAACTTGGAGAAGTATGGAATTAGTATGCCACCTACTGCATTAGCAGTATCGATGCAGTCTAGCAAGATTTTTAAACTTCATCAACCAGCCAACATTTAATTTAAATAAACGTTTTTGAGCGTTTTGTGCCCAAATCTTATTTGCCTGCATATATTTCATAGGTATGATCAGTGCAGAGTATACTCATATATTCTCATTTGTGACTAACCATCTCTGTGGAACAAAGGCCTTGAAAAGCTGCCAGTCACTTTGCTACTAAAGTATTTCCCAGCGTTTTATGGACTCAGGAGGTTTATTACCATGTTCACAAGAGCCTGTTGCTGATCCTTATCCTGAGCCAGATGAATCCAGTCCATACCATCCCATCCTGTTTCTCTGAGATCCATTTTAATATCACCCACCTGCGCCTACGAGCCATGGTAGCGTAGTCAGTATAGCGACTGGCTATGGGCTGGACGACTGAGAGGTTGGAGTTTGAATCCCAGTAGGGTCAGATTTTTCTCCATGTCGTCCAGACCGGCTCTGGGACCCACCCAGCCTCCTATGCAATGGGTACCAGGAGCTCTTTCCCCGGAGGTAAAGCGGCAGGAGCGTGAAGCTGACCAGTGACCTTGAACTAGTACCGAGGTCAAGAAAACGTGGATCTATACATGCACTCCCCCATACGTCTTCATGGCGTAGTGCATAATTAGTTAAGCACAGGGACAACTTTACCTTTTTTTTTACCTACGCCTAGTCTTTCTCTGGCTTTCCCACCAAAACGCATTCGCCTTCTCGCCATTCCGTGCTCCATGGACTGCCTATTTCATTCTGATTAGTTTAGTGGGAGAACTCTTGTTAAAAACCATTTAAAGGAAACTCGAATTTTATGGCATGCAACTTGTGAACCCGGCTGATACCAATGGCAGAACAAGTTTTACGTTAGAAAAGTTCAAATTATGTTCATCTCTCGAAGAATGCTGTGATATGTAGTCCATGTTACCGAACGTTGTGAGTGACTTGATTCTGGAGGTCTCGAGCTCGACTCCAAACGTGGGGACTGGCCATACTGTCTGAGGTTTTCGCGGTTTTCCTCAGGCCCACCATGCGAATACTTGAATAATTCTGTAGCTGACATTCGGCCACGACCGCTTCTTTTCACGTTCCTTCTCACTCATTATTGACAAATCCAACGCCGTAAGCCTCTCTATTGACAGCGTCGTTAAATGAAGGTCATTTGGTATTTCAGAACAGACCCCCTGGCAGTGGGTGTCGTTGGACGGTTGGTTTAATGTTGCGTTTGTTGCGTGAATGATGGTTAAGCCAATCTGCATTTGCCTCAGCAATAGAGCAGGTGCGGTGGTGTGAATATCACAGAGTTCAGTGGAGCAGTGAACCGGAAATAAGCAGGCATGCAACAACAAACCGTTGTACTGCGTAGAAGGTACAGATCGAAGGTGGCCGTTGGCAGTGCGGGATCCTATAATTTGCTACTCTTGTGACGATGTAAACTGCGGAAGGAAGACCAACTTGAAACTGATTGCCTCCCAGCTCGTGTCTATTCCTTCTGTAACTATAAAAACAAACTTATCGATGGGGTTTAACGAGCTGCAGTGTTTCCCGTGCGCTTGTACACATACGGAATTTTGTCCGGTAATCGATTGGGAAGTGTTTGTGAATATTGCCGCTAGATGGACGACTTGACATCATGGTTACAGCAGTGAATTGTGTGACTGCACGCGGAACACAACAATATGGCTTCTACCACATCATTCGCGGCTGTTATAATAGGTCTTCTGACAACGTATTGCTATCGAGTCCCATCCGTCCTCGCCATTCCTGACAGGAAAGGTGAGTATTTCACACTGTTTTTTTTTTACAGCCGTTCCCCATCATGTGTTCCTTACTTTGACGCTTCGGCAGTATGGCGCGAAGCGGGTGTAACGAACAATCACATTTGGTTTTTACATGACCACAGTCGTACCTCTTCGCGAGAGAACGTATTTAGAAATGGACACATGAGGAAGAGGCGAAGTGAAGAGAAGGTGAGATGGCTTGGGAACAATTTGACGTTTTGCCCAGGCCTGCCAGACGAGTGCACGTGTCTGCCTTGTTTGGCAGCACATCCCAACAGCTATCCATAATCTGTTTCTCATTAGAGTAAGGGACGTGGTATTTGAGAAACGCTAGTGCATGTTTTTGTTTTTTAGGTATGTTTACAGTAAGATTTTCACCGTGGTATGTGTTCAGATTGTGGCATTCCAGGTTATGTCATCTTTAGTTTTGTCGGTGGATGGATACACGATTTCAACCCACAGGACCGTACCCTGAAGCAAATGACAGTTATCAGCCCTGGCAACACTCCGGGCCACATTGTAAGCTTAAGTAATGGACTGTGTTGTACTGAAACTGCGGAGAAGTGCAGCTTGTAGATTTGCAACAGACTGCAGCAGTATGAAGAGGCCACTTCAGTTTATGTTGCAGAATAATGTCAGGTCGGTCTGTTCATAAGTTAGTTGTCAGTGGTGGAGCAAACCTAGCGTGGACGTAATATTGCGCCGAAGGGCTGATCACACTGGCTAACTAAAGATACTAAGACATAATTTAAAGCAGTGCCATAGCTCAGGCGGTTAGTCACTGGCTTTCTATCTCGGTGGCCTGGGTTCGAGCCCGGGTCAGGTCATGTGGGATTTGTGGTGGACATAGCAGCACTGGGGCAGGTTTTCTCAGAGTACTTCGGTTTCCCCTGCCAATCTTCATTCCACCCATTGCCAGTAGTGGCCGCAGTACCAAGCGGACTCAGTCTCACCCCACTAAGAATAAAAAAAGTAAGACATAACTTTACGTGTTCATCTGTAGATGAACTCCACAGTTTCGAAATGAAACGTTGGGCCCTCTTCGTATTGTCGCCCTTCTTGGCTCTCAGCTGCTGACGCTTTGACTAATTGTGCAGAGGTTTTATTTCAGTTAATGCTTTATGTAGAGCATGTGTAGTAGAATTCCTTAAATGAGAGATCAGTCCCCGCAAGGCCTCTCTCCCTGCACAGGATATAGCGGGATTTGAACCCACGACACCAGTGTTCGAGTGTACGCCGCTGCGATCGGGTGTAAATATAAAACGAAGCCGTAATTACGAATTTTCCCTCCGTAAGTGAACCTACTTGTGTTAGGAAGGAAAAGTCGGTTTATGTGACGGAGGAATTTAACAGCAGGAATGGATACGATTTATGGCAGCAAATCTTGTTAAGAGTTCCAGTCGCAGGCCGGCACTATTTTGCGTGGCACAATCGTTATTTGTGCTGTTCGATCGCCTGCGTGCGTTCTGAGATGTGCTGTCACCGCCACGCGCAGCCATTCACCTTCCAATGCCCATTGACCAGCGCCATCTTGGTGATGTCGTTCCTTTGAATGCCCTGGTCTAAAACAAGGGCTGATTGATGTTCTGAAGTTCACCGCGAAATTAAGAACAAATTATATTCCGGGAAAACTTGCTACCATCGTGTTTTGTGTTCTATAGGGACCAACGTGGTTCAGATATGGCGGCTGGCTATGGGCTGGACACCCAAGTGGTCAGGGTTCGATTCCTGTCAGTGCAAGAGAGTTATCTCTGCTTCACAGCGACCAGACCGGGTCTGGGACCCACCCAGCCTCGTATGTAATGGGTACCGGGGAACGTTTCCCTGTGCGTAACGCGGCAAGAGCGTAAAGCTAATGATTAAACTGCATCTAGTGCCGAGACCAAGAATTGTGGACCCATACCTCCACTCCCCATATGCCTTCACGTCGTGGTGTTTAATTAAACTAAATTTACTTTTATTCAGTATATAAAGAACTTAAGATTCTCTCTTATGGAATATAATGCCGGGCAGTCCGGTAGAAGTTCGACGTCGTTTCGGGAGACGCACTGCCTCCATCTTCAGGGTCAAAGATATGCTAAGTTGTTTCTGCTCACGCCTTGTTGGTTTCTTGCTTAGTATAGCTTTGACCCTGATGATGACAGCACGTTCCTCTAAAACGTCAGCGAAATTCTGACATACTAGTCACTTCTGTGAGAACCTCAACTAAGGTCTATAAAACTACAGTTTTGTTTGTTGTATCGTGTGGTGTATTGTCCTGAGAGATTATAGTCAGAATAATCAAATATCAGAAACTTCAAGGTAAAATATCTACGGTCGTTTGGTGACTTACAGACGTAGCTGTAGCGGGAAAGCAAAAGTTATTTTCACCATACATTAAAAAAAGCCCAGCCTATGAAACCTCACCGCCATCTGTTAGCCTGAGTGTCTGGATAATGTGGGAGCCTCGACGTCTCACAACCCTATGGGCCTCCACGGCCTGTTACAGGGAGAGCTTTACATAAACATGAAATCGCCATTGTGATAGGATATGTTGATCTTGTGTTGGAGATAAGAAGAAAACTGTGTTATTCTTCAGTCCCTCCAGGCAAACACCAGAGTAGTATCTGTATCAGGCCACGAACTGTGTTATTCTTCAGTCCCTCCAGGCAAACACCAGAGTAGTATCTGTATCAGGCCACGAACTGTGTTATTCTTCAGTCCCTCTAGGCAAACACCAGAGTAGTATCTGTATCAGGCCACGAAGTGTGTTATTCTTCAGTCCCTGCAGGCAAACACCAGAGTAGTATCTGTATCAGGCCACGAACTGTGTTATTCTTCTGTCCCTCCAGGCAAACACCAGAGCAGTATCTGTATCAGGCCACGACCGCTCGCTTCCAAATAATTTCCAGATCATGAGGCATCCAAGTGTTCGATGCTATAGAGTCTAGTTGCTGACATCACCATGAAACAAGCCCCAAAAGGATGCAGACTCCATGAAACGAACACGTTACACACCAAGCCTTCGATTTCCCTGGAAGTTTCGCCTTGTTTTCCTTCGTAATGAGGGTCGTTACTTTGTAGCCTGAATACTTATAGGTGAGCTATACCTCCACTCCCCCGTACGCCTCCATGGTATGGTGCGTAATTAATTAAGCACAAGGTCAACTTCACATTTACGTTTTGTTGGTGTCGCCGCCAGATGGCGAGCCGGATAGTCGCTGTGCTTTCATTACGTTACCTAAAAACATTGGCCAGCCCAGAGCATGGCATAGTGCTACCGGTACCGATCACGTTGGCTGGCAACCCGCGGGTTGGGTAGTATACCTCACTGAGCCAGAACCAAGCGCGCAGACTGGCTTCTGCGCTAATTACGACATTAAACAGCGTCACGGACCAAACGAGAAGTTTTCTGCTCGGGATTTCCATAGCGTATGCAGTTCGTGGCTAACCGCCCCGTGTAACTCGTATGCCGGAAGCGAACCTACCAATTAATTGTGCGTACGAGTTACCCGGCCGTGACGTCACGGGTTGTCATGTGATCTGCTGAGGTGCGTTGATCTATTATTATTATTGGAGGCGGTGGGTTTCCCCATGCACCGCAACCAGTTTGATTTATTGTGCGTCCCCCTATGATCTTCTACCAGCCTCTATACCCTACCGGTACTGGTGCTTACCATCAGCCCCTACTCAGCCAGCGAGGTCGGCCTCTACTGGCTCAGAGGTATCTCAATGTTTCCCCCATCTACCAGAGGCGTTAGAGACTACTGTTGGGCGGGAAATGTCCTTAATTTAGCTCAGTGGCCTTCTTTGGAGACATTAGGTTCTTTTACGTGCCGTACAGCTACGACACGGGACCCACGCCTTAAAGTCCCTCCCGGAGGACTTGTTCCCTGAATTTTTCCGCCCTTAAAAATTCCACGACTTCCCCCGGGTTTGAACCCGCGTACCTTGAGTCATGAGGTGGGAACGTTACCCCTAGACTGCGGAGGCCGCTTGCGTTGATTTATGTTCCGACGGCACGAGAAAGAGTCGTGCTCCTAAGGGGTGAACTCTAGGGTTCTTCATTGAAGTACATAACCTGTCATGTGACGTCACGTAATCCGATGGAAGTTTGCCGATGTTTCGTAGGACCGTACTGCCTGTGTCTTCAGGGTTGAAAATACTCTAAGTAAGTAATGATTAATCAGAGCAGCCCTGCGCATTGCTTGCATAGCGTATTTTCGACCCTGAGTTTAGAGGAAATATATTCTTTCGAAACGTCGTTCATCAGCCGGACTTCATGCCGTCATATCCTACAGGTAGAAGACGGTACTCGTAATTTTGTTCAAGTCTGTATCGAAGACTTGCCATGAACTACAAAACAGACAATTTTACTCCACTTAGGACTGTTTCTTCTTCTTTTTTTTATTTCTAGTGGGGTAGGACCAAGTCCCTTGTACTGCGGCCACTTCTGGCCTATTGTACCAGCCCCAGATGATAGGTGAGGGTGATTGTGGAGCATTTGTGGAATGAAGATTGGCAGGGGAAACCGAAGTACTCGGAGAAAACCTGCCCCAGCGCCATTTTGTCCACCACAAATCCCACTTTACCAGACCCCGGGATCGAACCCGGACCGCCGCGGTGGGAAGCCAGCGACTAACCGCTTGAGCTATGGCGCGGCGACTTAGGACTGTTAGTTCAAAGTGAAATTTCAAAGTGAAAAGTGACTATCGTGAATGTACAATACGTAAGGTAGCCGGTTCGAATCTCGGCCAGGAAATAAGCCACGATGTTTCGTGTCCACACCAGCATTTCCCAGTCTTATTAACCTATGTAGCACAGTTTGTTAGTTACATAGTTCTGGGTGTGGAGGGGGTCAGGGTGGCTGGAGCAACGCTCCCTCCACATGAGACGGGATCCAGGAGTCTTGCACCGGAAATGTTTTAAAAAAGAGAGATAGCTGTCAAACAGTTTAAACTTTAAAAGGCACATGTCATTTAGGAAGGCAGATGAGTCGCTTGCTTGTCCGTTCAGAACAAAAAAAAAATTAACGGTTTCTTCAAACCTGCATTATTGCGTTCAAAATGAACGTAAGATTTCTGTGTCTTCTGAAGATGATGATGTATTGCCCTTTTATAATTTTTAATAAAGGTTGTATATTGATATTTTTATTCAGTTTCATCAGCACTACTTATATCATTAAATTTTCTATTTATTTATGTTTTAAGTCATTTTTTGTCCTTTAGGACTACCTTTTTGCTTCACTAATCCGGATTACCCCCCCCCATTTCTCCGGATTAGCGAGGGTTTACTATATATACACAATTACACCGGCAGATCGAGCGGGTGGCGTATGGATTTAGTGTCACGTTACTGCGTACTTCTGTGCGACATGCGAAAGGGAAGTCCGTGCGGTCCGTGCGCTGTGACCGAGATTGCGTTCCGAACGGGCGGAGTGAGCACGAGAGAGCAGTGACCGGACAGCAGCTGCAGGTCTTACAAAATGGGGAGAACACGTAGCCTAGTGGGGCCTGCCAGTTCGCTCTGCAAGAGTAGGCCTGTGTGGCTTGTTTAACGATGCTGTATTAGTGTTGTGTGGCAAGTGAATAATGAACCGGGACGGTTATGAACCAAGCGGTCATTACATCATTACAAGTACTGTCCCGGCATTTTCCCAGATAGACTGAGGAAAACCATGGAAAATCTCAGCCACGATAGTCGCAATCTGGGCCGATGCCTGAACCTGGGGTGTCCTCAGTAATGAAGCAGGAATTACTGTCGACTTGCCCATGACGTTCCCAGGAACGCAGTTCTTGTTCGTTCTCGTTCTGTGTGGTTTCTTTTACGGCGCTTCCACAGCGTCGAAAGGCAGGATGATGTTGGAGAGGATTTGGAAGGAGGAAGTCGTCCCTGCTAGGAAAGACAGGGTCTCTCCCGACCGAAATTCGGCCTACAGATGCGTTGCGTAATGCAGGACGCCTTACATATGTGGGCATCGTACGAGGGTTGGAACTTTAATAGTGGCAGCACTGCTGTAGAAACGCCATGCAACGGAACCAAATAATGTCGCTTATACCACACGTTAGTTACATACCTACCTTACCTCAGAGCGAATGGACTCTCCCTTCCCACATCACGCGCATGCGCAGTGACCAGAAGAACAGAGACTCATGTTACCTGGCGGTCTAATGTAGTGTTGTCACGATGTTATCGAAACAGGAACAACGGAGTTGGATAAAGATTGAATATTCCAGAGGCCGTACAGCACGACAGTGTCATCAAGGTCTTCAAGAGGCTTGCGGGGAATCTGCATTGCCTTACAGAACAGTGGCAAGGTGGAACCACCACGAAAATCAAAAGTTCGTCAGAACCCCAGCAGTGTGAGAGTTATGGTGATTCTCGTGTACGACTGTGATGGTGTTACCCTAACGCATACCGTTCCCCGACAGCAGACCGTCAATGCGCAGTATTACTGTTCATTTTTGGAACACAGCCTGCGACCAGCTTTGAGAAAGAAGCGGCGACACTTTCTGCAGAACCCACCCATCATTTTGCAGGACAATGCTCGGCCGCATGCAGCGCAAGCTGTGGCTGATTTGTTCGGTCTATGGGGCTGGGAAGTGCTGTACCATACTCCCCGGACTTAAGCCCTTGTGACTTCGACTTGATTCCCAAGATGAAGGAACCGCTTCGTGGCATTCGCTTCAGAACTGTTCCAGAGGTTCTTCAGGCAGGAGACCTCTCCATTCGAACTATCAACACAACAGGCGCTGCTAAAGGTATCCTACGACTTCCACATCGCTGGCAACGGGCTGTACACAATGCTGGTTACTGCGTTGAGGGACAGTAAAACTTCGAAACATGCATCTATTTTGTATCAGTTGTAAATAAATAGTTGCCACTATTAAAGTTCCAAACCTCGTATTTGGGGGCTCAGCTCCCCAGATCTCGGTTTGCTGTCCAGTGTTCATTAGACTCCTAATTGGAAATCTGTTATTTCGTAAGGATCCTCGAGAGCTCAGTAGGTATAGTAACTAGGCTACTGGCTGGATGAGCGGACTTCGATCCCCGGAAATGGCAGTGATTTCACCATCAAGTCCAGACCGACTCTGATCGGTATCGGAAGTATTTGTCCAGAACAAATCGACCCGAGCATGAAGCTGATTCATCCCCACTAGTGCCATGGCTAAGATTGTGTGCAACTCTACCGCTAGTCCCCATATACTCGTATCTTCATGCCATGGTGTTTGCTTACGTACAGGGACAGCTTTGCCTATTGTTTTATAAAGGGGGTAATTAATTTTTAAAAATGGCTTTAATTTGGATTAAGTTAGACTCGGCATTCTTGCAGTGGAAGGGAGGGGTTCGAGCTAAGTACCAAGATATGAGTTCTAATCAACATCAGCTCTAATACAGACATATGATAAAGATCTGCTTAGTCAGTTAAGCACTGTGCGATGAAGACATGTGGGGGAGTGGAGGTGTATCTCCGTCATTCTTGACATCAGCACTAGATGGAGGTGAGTTGTCAGCTTCACTCCAGGCCACTTTACCCCCAGGGAAATGGCTCCCAGTACCCATTGGACAGGAGTCTGGGTGGGCCCCAAAGCTGGTCTGGACTCTGTGGAGCAGGTAAAAATCTTGTATCCTTGTGGTAATCGAACTCCGGACGTCCAGCCTATAGCCCATCGCTATACCGACTGAGATATCTCGATTCCCAAAGAGACATATACATATAAATAAAATGCTTATTTTTAACATCCAAATGGAAAATATTTTCCTGTATAACAAGCCAACCAAACTGAATACATTTTTAATACACAAACTTCAATATGCTCTACTCAAGTTACATGTGTTTCATTAAAATCCATAGAATCATCCACTTCAGTAGTCAGTCTTTCATCATGCAGTGTTTAGACACTGTTTCCACACTGAAGCATGTAATGCAATATTTTGCAGACTATAAGTGCTATCTCTGTTACATTTGTTTGCATTCTGAATTTCACTTCATTTACCAAGGCTTTCAGAAAATTACAGGGCCTTTGAGGTAGTGATTCGACTTTGTGTTGAAATATTGCTGTCAAATCCATCACCATATCAAGAGTTTTGTGCTAGTGAGACTATGGTTGAGGCTGAACCCTCAGAGCCGTTGTAAAGTTACAACATTTGCACTTGTAATGATTCTGTGCATCTCACCCTCAGATATTTATGTGGAGGACGAGTGGCCTCTGAGACGCTCCTACCGTGTTGAGGACTTCCTGTGGTCAGGATCTGGAGATGGTCAACAGGACAGAAGCTCTGGAAATGGAGAAGATCCAGGAGGGGGTCGTTCTACTTGGCGAACCACGACCATTGTCCATACTACTACTATCCTTACAACAGTGTACCCAACCCCCATTTACACAACAACACTTGTACAAGAATACCCCCCTCAGACTCCATCACCATGTTCTGCAGGGAAGTGTACCCCAGAGGTTAGTCCACCTTGGTCACAAGAATCCCACAGCATGCCATCCGGTTCAATTCAGCCCACACCAACAATCATTCTGCCATCCACAACAGTGTGGCCCACGTTCATACCAACTGGAGCAGACAGAAATGTCAGCATTATCACCCCAGACCAACGTTTCTGGCTGTTAACTGTGCTCAGAGTGAATGCTTCTCTTCCAGCGCCTTCTACTGCCATGCTGGAAACCAGACTGGCCCAGCTGTACAAGGTTGCATTCAGGAGGTTAGCTCAAAAGAATGTCTCTTTGCTGTGGCTACATTTTTCACAGTTACAGTTAAATCTTAGTTATTTTTCAAGATATTTGCCAGTTAAATATATTTAGTAATTAATGCAGGAATTATCAAAAATGTATTTTAATTTGGATATTTTCAGATGGTTGTGATTACTAAAAAGTAAACAGGTTTTTAACCATGTAAGTTTTGAGGTTTTCATGGCAATGACTATAAAGAAAGTTGTCTTCTGGGTTTTGGCGCCGTGTATTATTCGTTTTGGCCGACGTTACGCTACTGCTCTCTGCATTCACAAGCCATTCACCTGCTCTGAAGATGGAGGCGATATGTTCCTCCGAAACGTCGGCCAAAACGAATAATACATGGTGCCAAAACCCAGAAGACGACTTTCTTCAGGTTTTTAACCATTTATTGAATTATTACATTGCTGTTATATTTGATATCATTGTAGAGTTCTTTAGGCATCACACTGTGTCAAAGTGGTAAAAGTGACTAGAATTTTAGACAGAATATCTGCTTCCTTCTTCACAGTCAATGTGCCATGTACATTTTAACAAACTGTCACAAATTGTGATTAGTGGGAAAATTTCTGTAATTTGTATGATGACACAAGACTTGAATAAATATGGAACGATGTGGAAACCTCAAGCCTCAGGTTCTGTATTTAAGAATTTGTCTCTGTGCAACGGAAGACATGTAGAGCTGTGGATGATGTTTCAGGCAGCAGGAACATCACTTCGGGATTAACGGTGTTACAGCTCCAGCAGAGTTGAAGTCACGTCAGGCACGAGATCACCGGGCTCCTGATCACGTTGCTGTGCATGTGCACAACAAGACATCCAAACCTGCAGATGAGCTTGCATTACTGTATACAGTGCACGTTGCAGGACAACCTGTGCTAGCTCTTGCCGCTGCCGAAGACATGAAGCTCGTGTCCAGTGAAGAGGTTACTGCTGAACTTGGCTATCCCGTCATCACCAAGGCAGAGCGTGAGTACATGCTGAGAATTATGTGGTTTTGAGGGATGGTACAGCCATCATTTTATTGACATATTCACATTTAATTAAAAGTTTGTTTGTATTAGTGAGACTGACACTTGTAGTGGAGAGTCTGTTGGGGAAAGCTAGCGGTGAAGGAGAATATGGATGCATTAGCCAGTTTATTAGAGGGAGCTTGGTATCCTAGATTGATATCTTCTTTCAAGAAATGATCAGTTTTTCAGTAGAGGCAAATCATGATTACCGCCTTCCAGGTCAAGGCCCCAGTTATCAGTCTCCCTATATTCACACTGTTCTGTGACACTAGCCTTACTCTTCTGCCTTGAAGATGGATGCAGCAGATTCCTCCGAAACATTGGTACCTACCTATAAAACTATGTGGCATCACATGCCAGAAGACAGTAACCTTTGAATAAAGCTTGTTTCTATACCTTGTGGAGCATTTCCTTTGTACCTAGACTAATTTGAATTATGTGCAAAGTACATGTATGTTTCCCCCTCCCCATCATTTGAATGTCTAGTTCAATTAAGGACAACAGGATGTTGAAGATGGCAGATCCCACCCAGTGACAATACCTGGGTGTGTCACCATACACTAACCAAATGGTTGGCCTGACACGGAGAAAAAGGAAGCACAGTTATCAGTGACCATTAGTTCCTCTCTTCAGAAGCAATTGTGGCATCATATTGAGTGTGTCATAGTCACAAGTCCATCAGTGTTAGCCTTGTCTTTTGTTCAATACTCACATTAATGTAAGTAGAAATAAAAGTAGTATAATTGGCAATGCAATATTCACATAGTTCTTAAATATGGAACTTACTGAATCAAGCTGTAACTTTCTCAGTATGAAATTTATGTATAGAGAGTATCACATTTAAATCAGAGTTTTAACTGGAGAACTTGGCAGCAACATCTGTGATCATCAGATCATTCTAGTGGGAAACTATTTATTTTTATTTAAAAATTCCTTACTGGTACTTTTTATGTTTTTCTTGTGAGTTGTTTAACAATGATTTTAGTATTGAGACTATGTATTGATGGATGATAGGGTGATAGATGAATTGGGAAGGTCTTGAAAGGAAATGCTCCTGGCAGCTTCCTGGACAGACTGAGGAAGACCATGAAAATTCTGAGTCAGTGTCCCGGCCAAAGTTTTTTAAAAAAATTATGACAGGAAGTACTGCTATTTAAGGGTATGTGGAAAGTGATCACTGTACCTGCAGTGTGACACTAGCTTGCAGCTTGGCCCATCTTTGTTCATACCATTTCTGATAGTCATGTCAACTTGCAGCTTACCTGAAGGGTCCATTGCCGTTGGACAGAGGCTGGAGGCAAGGTCGTGCCAGGGACACGTGGCTGCTGGTTGGGGCAGGCCTTGCAGCCGTCTCTCTATTGCTGCTTCTCATAGCCCTGTTTGGCCTCAGTCTGAGTAAAAGGAAACGCAACAAGAGGCGTGTCCTGGCGGGCCATATTCAGCAGAAGGGCGGGACAGCTAACCTTGGATATGAGGATGAAGTTGATATAGAGGTACTGTAGCGGCCTCCATAGTCTAGAGGTAACGTTCCCACCTCATGACTCGTACGTGGGTTCAAATACCTGGCGGAGGTCGTCAAATTTTTAAGGGTGGAAAAATTCAGGGAACAAGTCCTCCGGGAGGGACTTTAAGCTGTGGGTCCCGTGTTGTAGCTTTACGGCACGTAAAAGAACCTCATACCTCCAAAGGAGGTCACTGAGCAAAATTGCGGACGTTTGCCGCCCAACAGCAGTCACTAATACCTCCGGTAGATGGGGGAAGCATTATAGATACTTCTCAGCCAGTAGAGCCGGTCTCGCTGTCTGGGCGGGACTGATGGTAAGCACCAATACCGGTAGGATATAGAGACTGGTAGAAATCATAGAGGGAAGCACAATGGACCACTACAGGTCTAAGTGCATGGGGAAACCCACCCTCTCTAATAACTAACTAACTAACTAACTAGAGGTACTGTGGTTTGATTAGCAAGGGGCTCTGGCCAAACATTCTCATATCTTATTATAAAGAATTAAAAATGTAAGTGTACTTGATGTCTGAATTTAAACTATTTTGTGATGTACTGATTGAATAAACTACTTAACGTTGGGTGTGGGATGCCATCTGGCTTTTAGAAGTTGTCACAGCAAGGTGAGCAGTTGACACCAGCTGGTAAAACAGACAAGAGAGTTCAGAAAAATTTTGAATGCTATTTGATTCGTAATAAATAATGGAGGCTCTATGGTAACTGTGAAATTGAGACTGTTCTGTGAGAGAAACCAAGAAAGAAACAATTTTACAGAATAGAAATTAAATATATAATAGTAAGGTGTATTTCACCTAAGAATTTAAATTATATAGTTTCAGATAAGTGCAGTAAGCTCCCTGTTATCTGGAATCCAAGCATCTGAATTCTCATCTAACCAGCAAAAATTTAAAAGAAGAATTATGATTTTTTGAACTATTAAATAAAGACTACTTTAATTTCTGCCCCTTTTACAGCATATATATCTGAAATCTTTCACTCATCCATTTGCTGTGTCACCTAGAAAAACTTCCACACAAGAGCTAAAGCAAAAACCTTGATTGATTGATTGATTGATTGATTGATTTAACATCCATAACTGTTACATTATGTACAATTGGACAAGTCAGTTTTTAAAAAAATATATGAGATTAAACATCACATCAAATGACCAATAATATAAAAAACCATAGAAAAATAACATAATAAGTTCTTTAAACCTTCTGGTTTGATTTCTGTAAGAGGGTTTCTGGTGCAACTGGCAGATTCATATAACTGGTACACTCCAGGGGAGTTTGCTGTATAAAGAACATTTCTACAATCATGAGTAACAGAATGATCATTTCCTGCAGCTTCAAACATGTTCATTATTATTACAGGATCAAGGTAAGACAGGAACTTCCGGTTTCTTGCCTGTACCTTCATCAACTGCTGTCACTTTCAGAGATGACATTATAGCAAGTCAGAAGCGCAAGGGTTCAAGTACAAGTAACAGCAGTGAAGAGTCCTCAGGAACATCGCTAGTGAGACGAAGACCAGGAAACGGGAAAAAAAGTACAAAAATCCATGAGCCCAGCAAAAGGCAAGGTGGAAGTAGCACAGAGCAGGAAGTGGGCACAGACCTAGAGAATTCTCAGCCACGGATGTCAACTAGGTCAACAAAGGCAATGGTGAGCAACACATCATTGTGGCTACAAGTGTATGTAGACACTTGCCCTGTGGTCCATCAGCCAGTACACAACTGTCCGCTACATGTCCTTGTCATAGAATGCATCTCCTTCTAAATTTCATCTGCCTTTTCTAAAGTTCCTGACACATTGAAACTACCAATGATATGAATAACATCTTAACACATTTATATAAGAAATGCTCTGCCCTATGGCATTCATGATAGGTGAGCATTTTTTATTATTGAAGCACTATGCTGCAAGCCAGGTCTGGGGTTCGAGTCCTAATGAGGTTAATTTTTTTCAGTTTACCTAATCCTTCCAGCTGCACTGTGGCCCTGGGGTCGACTCAGTCTCTAACATAAANTAACCTTATCACCATCTGTGAGCTGATTGTCTAGAGAAAATATGAGATCCTGAACGTCTGACAACCATATGGGCCTCCACAGCCTGTTACAGGGATAGCTTTACCTTTTTTACTTGTAATTTTTGACGTTATTTGATATATTTCCCTGTTCTTTCAATTTTTATGTAGCTTTTAATAAATTGGAGGGGTGAGGTAGATCCACTCCCACAATTCCATGGTTTTCACTGTAATCGTAAGACACATTTGTGATGAGAACAAGCAACATTTTGTTAACCATTCAACACATAATGCTGTGACTTTAGACTACCCTCTGTTAGTTTTTGTCAGAACTACCTGCAAAAGACAAATGAAGCTCCACAGTGTGTGCATGTAATGATCAGAAGAATACAGTAGAAATGTGAAATACTGGAGTGATGCTAGTGCGCAGTCAGTGTAATGGATCCGGTTATCAATTGCAGCATCCTTCACATGCACCTACGCTGAGTAAGGAGCATGATGTAAGACATCGGGAGCCAGAGGATGTGGACAGTAATGATGAACTGCATCCCAGGAACTCGCCTCCAGTCAGACCCAAGGCTGGGACAGCCATCAGTCCAAACTCATTCCTCTCAATGCCTTCAATCAAAGCATTTCCAAGGTAGAACATGTGTCATAATTAGGTTTTTCATATTTACTGAAATTCAGTGTATGTCTGTGGAGATTGCTTGCTCTGCCTTGACTCTATATGTAAATATTTTACTGCTGATTAAGATATGGTGGTGTCTGTGTTTAACTACTGTTCTTGGCTAGTATTTTATTTATTTGGAAACCTGAGATGAAGGAACACTCAATCTGAACCTGGTATCAGTCCTCCACCTCATGTACAGGAACCTTGAATTTCTTGCAGAGGTGCCAACATACCAGAACCTCTGGCAAGAGTTCTGGAACCTGTGAGTGTGAGACATCTCGACTCTGAGGGAGGTGGCATAATTGTGGAGCCGGTGCGACGGCTTGCAAGACATGGCAGCATGGAAGGAGAAGATCCTGGAGTGATTGGGCCCCTGGTGTGGGATGTACATTGTCACAGGGTCCATCATCAAGGTTCAGAATTATGATGTGCCAGTATGTCTTGTATAAAATTCAGTAGTCAGCACTGTGATGGAAACCAAATAGTGTCACTGTCAACTCCAGAGCTGCCATTTAGTTCTAGTTCAGTCAAATTCTAATTTTCCTGCATGAACCATGTATTTGAAATACATCACTGAACTGTATAATTATGAATTTTGTATTATGCACAAATTTCTTTAAAAAATGGAATTTCTCTGTAAAGAAAGCGGGCATCATTAACTGTTCATGGTAGTTTTTGTTATTTTGTATGTGATGTACACACTTTGGTTCAGGTATTTTGGGTGAGAGTGTAGACAATCTGGTTGCGGAAGCAACGCAGGATGATATGTCTCGACCAGACACTTCAGGCAGCAGTGTTGGGCGTATGAGGCGACGCTTCCACGAATTATTGGATGATGCATTCAGCTTGTTTGGAAGTCGAAGTGAGAGTCCTGGGGCAGAAGAAGATAGCTGTAGTCCCCCAACTCTGCACAGAGTCCATTCTGCAATTGTCAGGTGTGTATATATGTTCTGCAATGTTGCACTTTCATAGTACAGTCTGTAACAAGTAACCGTGGTGTTTAGTTAGTTAGTTAGTTATTGGAGAGGGTGGGTTTCCCCATGCACTGGGACCAGTATTGGTCCATTGTGCTTCCCTCTATGATATTCTACCAGTCTCTATACCCTACCGATATTGGTGCGTACCATCAGTCCTGACCGAGCCAGCGAGTTCGGCCTCTGCTGGCTTGGCGGTATCTATAATGCTTCCCCCATCTATCAGAGGCGTTAGAGACTACTGTGGTGTTAAAGTGGAGGCAAACATACACGTATTGGGACTTCTCTCTGTGGTTGTGTCCAGTAGAGGTTTAAGACCAAACGAAAATTCTAACCTTTGGGCACTGGGGGCTCCTTCCTCTTTTAATGACTTTAAGAACATATGTTTTGTTAACTAGAAATTAGATTTATATATAGTGGAGAAGTGTTTACACACACAAACACACAAGTTAATAGTAATGATTTGGATATTTTAATGTATTACTTTCTGTGCAGTGGTATATTTCACAGAATATTGTGAAACTTGATGAATATAAGCCAAGTATAATTATTTCTGGTAATTAGCTAAGTCATTGTTTCTGATGGTAGTGGGTTAAAGTAAGCCTGACAATTAATTTGGATCCTCAAGACAGTTTACAGTCTGAATATATACATTACATATAAACAGTTGTGTTCGTGGTATAAATTTCTGACTTTAATTTGCAAACAATTTGGATATTTTGAAGTTTCTGCTGACCAAGTGGCAACATGTTGTATAGCACCCAAGAATATGCTACAATATTTTCTGTTCATACGTCATGCATGAACCTAAATCACAGGAACAGACACATCCACTGGTATTTCAGAATTTCATATTACTGCTGTGTCTACATGTCTGTTGTTGGTGGGTCCATGAACATGTTAATGCTACCTTATATTTGTACTTTACATTTCCTTGCTGAAGTCCCGGTAAGAGAAGATGAAATTATTTGCATAGATTTACATCTGAGTTGCCCATATCTCTGCAGACCAGTAGGTGAGCCTTTGTTGGGTCCTTCGGAATCTGTTCCTCGGCCACGAACATCAGACCCACGACGTCCAGCCACTGCATCGGCAGGCGTAGCGAGACCCCGCGGTGCCTGGGGAACCTGCAATCCTTCTCCACATTCAGGAATATCTGGAACGCTGCCCAGACCGCTCAGTGCTGGCCCATTTCATCGCCCACAACTGCCTGGTCCTCTTGAAATAACTATTGACAGAACACTCGTACTTTCTGACGGCCAGCTTCCCCCAACAGATCCAGCAATACCACTTATAGCGGCTATAAAGGAAGAGCTTAGAAAGTTTCAAGGAACAAATATACATCCTGCAATCTCTTTGCCAGGGAGCACATCTCAGAAGCCTTAGGTTTATTGCAGTTCTAGGAGAGCTTCGAGCAGTAACTGCCTTCTGATCTGGGATCTTAACAAGTGTAAGCTTTTCATTATCATAAAATGGTTTTAATAAAACCTACAAGGNAATTTTATATGAATATTATGCTGCAGGAGGGTAGCCAGACCTAGCGGGTTCTAATTCCCTGTTATTGATGATGATGATGATGTAGCTGATACACAAACTTGTGAGGTGGGACTGACTAACCTCAGTACAACTTACATTTGGTAGCATACCTTCAAAGGTATGCAGATTTTGTTAATCTGGTTTACGTAGCAGGGATGTGTGCTGAGGAAATAGATCACCAGATCATACAGTTAGTAATTTGTAATTTCTTATGATCATGTATGCAGAATAAAGCATTTAGACAAAAGTTAGTTTCAGAGTTCTCCTCCAAATATGTCTTTTCAGTTTCAATAGGTAATTAACTGCAACTCCTGAATTTTATAAAAAGGAATCATTGCTATACCAGCAGTTAGTCATCAGACTCTGTTTCAGTGCCAGTCACGTAGGCAAAAAATTAATAATAATTTGTTAATGTTCAGCCGTAACACATGTATTAATATTAATACAGAGTGCCATCAGCATACATATATTATATGTAATGTGACAGTTTTTTATTGGCAGCTTGGAATGTGATATTCAGTCTTATATACAACATTCTATCAGAGCCACTAATATTATAACTTTCAAAATTAATTTACCAATAGCAGATGTGTTCGTTATCATTGTAGATGGAAAATAACATTTTATACTTTTCTGGGAATGTTAGAATTGAACATGTGGTTGAGTTTTAGAACTGCATTCTTCTAGGTATAATCTACAGTATGTAACTAGTGAATTGCTACTTAATATCATTATAACGTTTTTTGATATACAAATTTTAGAAATATATGTAGTTAATTTGCTAGGATAAATGTACTCATTAAAAGATTGTGCCTAGCAAAGGTAAAACCAAGTATCTTAACTTATAACAATCTGTCTTCAAATCAGATAATCTCAGAGATTTCTTTGTTAAGAAGTTTCAAAATAATACATAAACAATTCAATGTTGAAAACTGTGTTACTGAAATATATAGAATTTTGCTCAGGGCTGTACAATGTGGTGTCTTGTGAAGCACATTCATCAACTGACCAAATATGTGAGCCTGATTTCATCTGTTCTTAATTTCAAACAGTGCATTGAGTTGTGTTACCTGAATGTGACTTCAGAGTGCTCTGCTTAACGTGTGGTAACTTCTTGCTCCTACTAATTTCAAGGTTATGCTACTGGCATTAATCTGTAAAAGTGAGTCAGTCAACAGGTTGAAGATGCACACTGCAACTGTATATATGTATGTACTGCTGTAAATTAATTTGAATAAATTTTACTTTACATTTAAACCCATCCCAGACACAGCCTTCATATTCCCAGACTGACATTTGATGGTGTGTATGAATGTTGTCATGTTGCACAGAGGGGAAACTTCTTTGCAGGACCATGTTCGATGCCTCTAGATTCAGGAGCACTGAGTCACTGGATGCCTGACTTCACGTTTCTTGAGGACTGGATGAAACCTGAAGGTGATATTTTGTCCTTCTGGGTACAGACTGTTGGGAAAGTTGACAGTGGAGCATGATAAAGTTGGTACACTTGGACTTGGTCTGTTGTGCTTGTAGCAAAGAGAGTTATGAAACCATGAAATCATTTCCATATGTGTGCGATAAGTATTTGGACATGTAGCATATATGTATAACAATCATGGAAAATTATGCTGCTCAGTGAATTGTGGGTACCCAAATGTGGATGTTTGCTTCATTTTCACAGAGAATTGCAGGAAGTTTCTGCTGTTTGATGGTTTTGTTATGTAATAATTTCTTGTATCATGATTATATAGTAGACCCTTGACGCAAAATTGGCGTCAGGAGGACAGCTCAAGTACCTGTGTTAAAAGTGAAACTATCATTTGCCTAATTTTAGCGTCTGTGTTATTATGTACAGGCTATGGTCTTGATAAGTGAGTAGACTGGCCTGTTTGCTACAGCAAGGAATGTTGCAATACAATTTTATAACTAACTGAAATATTTTATGGAAGTTTGTAGAACTTAAAATATGTAATTATAATGGAAGGCATTATCAAAGCCAAAGCATATCCAAATCTACTGCACAACAAGGGCCTCACACATAGTGGTAGAGACTTCGAAAAGAATCCCAATTTTGTTTGCATTGTACATGTGGTTCAACACAGTTCGCACTCTTATGGTGTTAAGAGCCTGTCTGCGTGGATCAGTGTTTAATCACAAATGTTCTTATTACATGCCTGAGACAAGGAAACCAACTCTCAGGTGAACTGTAGCTAGCATCCCCCAGACCACTTTCTTTTACACTTTCCTTCATTTTAACTGTGAATTCGAGGTTTCTTAGTTTCCCTGAATTGGTTCCTGAAACAGTCTCCTTATTAGTGTCTTCTTGAAGTTTTGTGTTTTTGTTCTGCTGTATCAGTCTGAAACTTATTATTGTTAGTGTATTATTATAGCACAAATGGGGAGACGAATGCATATAGGATATTGGGGAAAGCCAGAAGGAAGGAGACCGCAGGGAAGACCAAGGCATAGGTGGGTGGACAATATTAGAATGGATCTTAGAGAGATAGGATGGGATGGTATGGATTGGATAGATCTGCCTCAGAATAGGGACCAGTGGAGGGCTCTTGTGAACATGGTAATGAATCTTCAGGTTCCATAAAATGCTGGGAAATTCTTGAGTAGCTGCAGAATTGGCAGCTCCTCGAGAAGGGCTCAGCTCCATGAGTAAGTAAGTAGGTATTATTATTATCATTATTAATTGTACTCCTTGGGTCAAACAGTAGCGTTGCTGGTTGAGGCACTATGCTACAAGCCAGAAGGTCATGGTTTCTATTCTCAATGAAGTCTTTGGGTTTTTTCAATTGACCTAATCCTTCCAGCCACACTATGGTCCTGGAGTTGACTTGACCTCTACCAGAATTGAGTACCAGGAATCTTCCTGGGGGGGGGGTAAAGGGCAACCAGCGTGAAAGGCTGAAAACCTCACCACCATCTGTGAGTCAGTTGTCTAGAAAATATGGGAGTCTCAACGTCTCACAACCCTATGGGCCTCCACGGCCTGTTACAGGGATTGTTTTACATTTTCTTATTTCTACAAGTGTGTGTCAGTTTGTCTCTCTATGTTTATGAAGTAAGAACAATGATTGAATGCATTTACAAAGCAAGACGACGAGATCCTTCACTGAAGAAGGCAAGGTCTCAGCAAGGGATATATAAAACTGCCCTACCTTAGAAGTTGCACTTTTCACCTGTCTGTGATTTGCTCGGTTAAATCAGAGACAATATGATGGGGGAAGCAGGAAGTGTTTCGATATTTTTTGTTAGAAATATGATGGAAATAGACGGAGGATGAGGATGATAATATTAAAATTGAGGCAAGTAAAATTATTTTTTGATGTAATGGTTCCACTTCACATAAGAGCCGTACATTTGCTTAAGTCTCGGGGTGTGGGATCAAGATGTCCGACTTCAAATTGGGGCACGGTGAGGGAGGGTGGGGGACGAGCAAACAGTGTTTATGTACGAGTAAGCAACTGCAACCGAACTCGGATATCAGAATTAAAAGAGAGACGGTCGAAATTTTGCAGATGCAGTTCTTAATCTAAGCTCATGAAAATCCTTTCTTTGTTGCGTATTGATTCTGCACGTAAACAGAGGAAAAGTGGTTAAGATTTTTATGTTTGCTTTCATGAATGGCGGGCAGATAGTCTAGTTTTTTTGTTGTGGCCCTAATTTTGTTGAAACACCGCAGCATGAGAAAGTTGCGACGAACTTTATAAAACCGGAAGTTGATTCTAAGCCGGAAGCTGATTGCTACTGACTCACCTCTCACGGCTTTCATCCTGCCGTTACTTTGGAAACAAAGTAAACTGAATCTTCCATCTGCGGGACAGACTTTATGACAGATAGGAACGCTCAGTGATCCCTTTCAATGTACGCATTACTACCCCTAAGTAAAACGTGCTTGGGCCCTGATCCCCTGGCTTAAGCATCGGTTTCCACAGTGACTATAAACGCAGCAATCCACCTCGATGTCCCAGCGTTCTGTACCAGTCTCGCACTTTTATAAATACAATCTCATACTACATGGAAGGTTATCACAGCGGTGGTTATGAACAGTTCTGCCTACTGACTTATGATGTGTCAGCCAACGTTTCGGAGGAATATGTCTCTTCCATCTTCAGGGTTCAGTAAGCGAATCAAGATACCAACATGAATCAGGGTTTTCTTTCTGCCTGCTTCATATTGGTTTCTTACTTGGCTTACTGTCCAACCTTGAAGATGGAGGCGACGAGTTCCTCCGAAACGTTGGTTGGCCTTTAACGGGCTACACGGGCTTGTATCCTAGAAGAAGGAACTCTTTATTCTTCTATGTTACCGATTTATGCTTAGGCATATATTTGTTTGTTTAGCGATGATGTTTGGTAGCTTGTGCAGTGCGCTCTACAGCCATATTACTGAAAACGACAGAGAGCGGAACCTGCTGTGTAGAAATAATTTTCAGTCCTTGCAAATGAAGGTTGGTTTGGACCTAACTGTAAATATAATTCTTACCGCTGGATCTGAGGTTATCACAGCGGTGATTGAAGATATGGTGTCGGGTAGTTCGGTAGCACCTACAGTACTATCTCAATCTTCATGGTCGAAGAGTAAGTCAAGCAAGAAATAGGCTTGAAATTCTACCTGACTACACGGCGGTACACCACAGAAAATAGTATTGTTCGTAAAGCACGGGTGGACATAGAATCTTTTTCTTTCGAAATCCCCGTTATTCGTGACAGTGAGAAGCAGGCACAACTCAGGGTAGCAGACAGATCACTGAGCCGCTGCTGGCCGGAACTTCTATGTGAGGGCGCCACTTTATCATGAACCTAACCAACAGCCAACTCGGACACAGGCTTCATCTCATGAACACTTAAAATGGAGTGGAGGTATAGCTCCACCATTCTTGGCTTCGGCAAAAGATGGAAACGGTTTAGCAACACCGCTATCAACTTCATACAAAATTTTATCCAATATTCTTCTCTCAAGGTTAAGTCCATATATAGATGAAATTATTGGGGATCATCAGTGTGGGTTTCGACGTAACAGATAAACTACAGATCAGATATTTTGCGTTCATCAGATATTCGAGAAAAATGGGAGTACAATAAGACAGTACATCAGCTATTCATAGACTTCAAGAAAGCCTATGATTCAGTTAGGAGGGAAGTACTATACAATATTCTGATAGAGTTTGGGGTACCCATGAAACAAGTTAGGCTGAATAAAATGTGTTTAAACGAAACGTATAGTAATGTCCGTGTAGGTAAACATTTGTCCGATAAATTTCCTATCCAGAATGGTCTAAGACAAGGAGATGCTTTATCGCCACTACTTTTCAACTTTGCTTTAGAATATGCCATTAGGAAGGTACAGGAAAACCAGTTGGGACTGAAATTAAATGGGACACATCAGCTGTTGCTCTATGTCGATGATGTGAATCTACTGGGTGATAATATAGACACCATAAAGAGAAAAACACAAACTTTAATTGACGCAAATAAGGAGGTTGGTCTAGAAGTAAACACAGAGAAAACAAAGTTTTCGTCACTAAATGCAGGGCAAAATCAGGAGATAAAAATAGGTAACAGATGTTTGACAATGTGGCACAGTTTAAAACGCATACACACACCCAACATCCATGTCTTGCGTGGGATTCGAAACCACGACCTCGGCTTCCGAGCGAGCGAAGACTGTACATGCCTTAGACCGCTCGGCTGCCGTGACCGTCACCAAATAATGTTAGGGTAATCAAATTAAGGAGGATGAAATGGGTGGGGAGTGTAGCATGCATGGATAGCATGAAGAATATATGCAAAATTTCAGTCTGAGGATTCCAGACACCTAGGCCTAGGTGGAATTAGTGCTTATGTCTAAGGTACCGTAAAGATGTAGGGAGGTAGGGCCTGGAGTGGGTTCATCTGGCTTACAATAGGACCTAGTGCTGGGCTCTTGCGAACACGATAATGACCATCTATAATAAAATTAATATATATATTTTTTTTAATTTTTGGACCTAACCCATCGTCCGGTTTTTGTTTAAAACACAAATTTCGGAGACTGCGGTCCGGAAGTAGGGACTAGCTCTACGAATGGGCCCAACTGAGTATGCCTTTACCTGAGGACGGAGACAGAATCTAATCTCCGAAACGTGGTTAAAGAGAACAGGACAATGGCTGATATCCAAAGACTCAACAATCTTAAGATAATGAGTAGATGAACGTCCACCAGTTTCACAAGAGAGATTATCCCCGTTAGGGTTAGACTGGGCGTCCTCTTGCAAGTATCCATTGCAGATCAACAGCACATGCACTGTATATTCTGATTTGTAGGTTTCTAGACAGCAAGCGAGAGGACGAAAGGTCCTGAAATGAATGGTAGCAAGAAAAACCTGAATTCAATCTCTGTGTTTCTCTTTATGGTATCTACGTTATCACCAAGTAGATTCACGTCATCAGCACAAGCCAACAGCTGATGTGTCCCGTTTAATTTCAGTCCCATCTGGTTTTCCTGGACCTTCCTAAGGGCACATCCTTAAAGTAAAATTGTAGACACATTCTAAGAGCAAAAATTTGACTGGAACCGTTACGGCAGCTAAAGTGAATAGTAATTTAGAATACGGCCTTGTCTGATGTGACGCTGTATATTTTGGACCAATGTGTTGGAGGGACGTACAGGGATCTACTTTTATGATCAGGGTACAAGCAGGATATTTCCTTGTTCTTTTACCCTGAAGATAGAATCGATATGATTCTCCGAAGTATCAGCAAAATTCAACCAGACTACACGGCGTCATATCTGTGAAGGTAGTAATACTCTTCTGTTACACTCGTAACATTGTGCGGACAGTCCGAAATTTGGGCTCCTTCCTTAAGAATGTTTTAATGTAACAAATGTCACCGCTCCTTAACAGGGCATTGAGGAGAATATTTGGACGGAAGAGAGATAAAGTAACAGGAGGTTGGAGAAAACTGCATACTGAGGTGCTTCATAACTTGTACTCTTATCCAAGTATAATTAGAATGATCAAGTCAAGGAGGATGAGGTGGGCAGGGCATGTAGCGCGAATGGGGAGAAGAGGAATGCATATATGATATTGGTGGGAAAACCAGAAGGAAAGAGACCACAGGGAAGACCAAGGCGTAGGTGGGTGGACAATATTAAAATGGATGTTAGAGATAGGATGGAATAGTATGGATTGGATTGATGTGGCTCAGGATAGGGGTTAGTGGAGGGCTCTTGTGAATACGGTAATGAACCTTCGGGTTCCATAAAGTGCTGGGAAATTCTTGAGTAGCTGCAGATTTGGGGGCTCCTCAAGACGGGCTCAACTCCATAAGTAAGTCGCCGCTCCTACTTCAGTGCAGAAGACTCTACATCCAGTTAAACAGACTGTACCAAATTCCTCATTGGCTGTGTGCGGTGCAGCCATGTTGGCTAATATTTGTGTGGATTGGGCATCGCTAACCACGCCCCTAGCGTCTTATTGGTAGAAATATGAGTGCCATTTTATTCCTGGTGAATGTGGAATGGATCAGGTCGACAAGTGGCGATCAGCGGTGATCAGTGCGCACTGCTGACTCTTGTGTCAGAGCAGAATGGGTTCAGGTCGTAGGGTTTTTTCTTGAGGGCGGGAAATATTTAGTGCAGTTCGTTCGTACGGGATACGAACCCAAGCGACCGAGATGTGCGCGTCCTGGTGACAGCGTGTGCGTGTGTACAACATCCAGCTGGACCCTCTGCTGCCTTCATGTGTAAGAGCCAGCCGTGCGTGTGTTCGGATAGTTCTCAAGACGGAATGTGTTTATAATTTGGACCACAAGATCAGACGAGACCCTCGCTTTCAGAGCACTGGCCGTAAAGACAATGGTTTCATATTACAGCCCCTTATCAATGTATAGACACCAGCAACAGGCCACTGCCTCCACTGGGGGCCCACCACAGTTTCACCATCCTGCGAGTTCCGCCGCCTCCTGGTACTCGCCGCCCGCGGGGTATCAGCCCTCTCATCACCACCAAGTGCCACCACCCCCCCTGCAACAATACCCAAACTGCGTTCAAGAGGAGCAGCAAAGCGCCGGCCCATGGCACCACCACCATCATCACATGTTCCAGCCGGAGTGGCCCCCAGATTTCGGAAATGGGCCCGGTATGTTGCCCGCTGCAGCGGTCCTCGAGGACCCGCAGTTACCGTCTCCGCCGATCACTGTGTCCAGCAGTGAACTGTCGAGTCCGGGCGCCGTGGCCGGGTCGCTCACTCCTCCGCAACAGGGGGTTCGCCCTGCTCGAAGCCCGTACGAATGGATGAAGAAGCCGTCGTACCAAAGCCAGTCTAACCCAGGTGAGAGTAACTTGGTTCTGCCCGGCTCCGTCCCACAGACCCGCGCCTGCCCTCACCTGGGTGATTCCAGGCGTCATGTTTATGTGGTTGAAAATATACTTAAAAGGGAAGGTCCTGGTTCGAATCCCAGTCTAAAGGCCTGACACCCAGACTGCTACTGGGCTAGAATTTCCTCAGTTCCTCCAGGAAAAAGACAGGATACGTTCGCTTTCTTCGGTGTACCATTCAGAAATCCCGTAACTCCGAGCTTCGTAACCTAGGCAGTAGAAGAGATTCATTTGTTATTATTGTTATTAGCGGGGAGAGGCTTAGTCCACTGGGCACTGCGGCCATTTCTGGCCTATTGTACCAGCCCCAGATGATAGGTGAGGGTGATTGTGGAGCAATTTGTGGAATGAAGATTGGCAGGGGAAACCAAAGTATTCGGAGAAAATTGCCCGTGCCTCTTTGTCCACCACAAATCCCACTTAACCTAACCCGGGCTCGAACCCAGCCCGCAGCGGTGGCAAGCCAGTGACTAACCGCTTGAACTACAGCGCGGCTTCCTTTTGAAGTAAACGCGAAAGGACGTAAACACTGCATTCATTATTTGGTTTGCCGGTGCCTAGTTAAGGACAAGACCGAACTGCAAATGCGGTCTGCCCGATGGGCTCTTGTAGACGTCTGCAGTATTTACAGGGAGAAGTTACGTATTTCCTCAGTAAGAAACTTGTGGTTCGAGTTAATTTCCCAAACTAAGCCTGTAGGTAAAGCTAAGTATAGTCCAATTTTCTCTTGTCAGTGCCCTGAGATTTCTGCAACGCGCTGCTCTTTCCTCAAATTGATTGTGGATACCGAGCTTCTTTTTTTGTATAGAAAATTTCGCAAATCGTTAACACCTACATGCGACATATTTTCAAAATGTATCCGCAGTTACACAATAGGGTTTTATCTTCTGTGTTGTAATACTGTGTATTATGTTGAAAGTCAATATTTCGGAAGAGCATGTCGCCTTCATCTTCAGGGTTTAAAAGCCAAAGAAGAAACCAGAATGAAGCGGACAGCAAGCAAAACTTATTTCACAGAGATGATACATAACGTTATAGCCCAGAAGAGAGAAGGCACGTCCTTGTTAGGCCAGTAGAGCGTAAGTTATGAAGCTACTTGTTACACAATTCTCTCCACCCTCCTGCACCCTGTTCCCAAATACCCGTGCCACACTGCTTGTGAGCATCTGTCAAAATACGTCACTGCTTCTTTTCTTTACAAGAATCAGAATGGATACTAAGAAGAAAACAAATTCTTGCTTCTACGGCCTTCTTGTTTGCCTTAATCATCTATCCTGAAGATGGACGCGATGCGTTTCTCCGAAACCTCTGGCTCTCTCCGCTTATACACTCTAACACTGTGGTAGCCCCAAATTCGGAATACGAAACCTCTTTAAGTTTGTGAAATAAGCTGGGAGTTGTAAGATTTGAGGCTTTCACGGCGGTGACTATGAAGAAAGCAGTCTTCTGGGATTTGGCACCGTGTATATGTGGTGTTAACCGACGTTTCGGAGGAACGTATCGCCTCCATCTTCAGGGTAGAAGAAAAAATATATAAGAAATCTGCAAGCAAAGAGACCGTGAGAACCGGTAAAAGCAGACTGTTTGGACTTACCGGTTCTCACGGTCTCTTTGCTTGCAGATTTCTTATATATTTTTTCTTCTACCCTGAAGATGGAGGTGATACGTTCCTCCGAAACGTCGGTTAACACCACATATACACGGTGCCAAATCCCAGAAGACTCCTTTCTTCAAGCTGGGAGTTGTGTGCATAGTGTGACGTTTGTGTCTTGTTTGTTTCCCGAAAAGTAAAACGTTGGAGGCCACAGAACTTCTGTTCCCAGCTTCGTATAAATTTGCTTATTTAAGGAATTACACCCCAGGCATCGCGAGACATGCGTAGGACAGTCATATGCATGGATACAGAGCAGAACGTAGAAGCGTAACAACAGATGTCAGTATAGGCTAGCACGAGTATTACTGAGTGACTTTCTTCTGCATTTCCCACGGCCAACAGGCCTATAGCATAGCAGGCTCGACGCTCACTTGAATGATGTAGTGATCAACACTGCAACCCTGGGTAGGAAATCAGGATTCGAATTTCCGTCGGGGTGCAACGGTTTTAGGCGCATTAGCAACCACGCGGAGCGCTTGGTAACTTAGCTCCGTCCGTCTGACCTTCTGTAGGCATAAAAAAATTGAGAACGGTTGAATGGATTGTTATGAAATCTGATATGAAGGGAAATGTAAGTGGGCCTGCAAGAATTTCTTGACATTTCAATTTTGGTTAAAATCCGACATATAACGAACGCTTCATACAAAGACCTGCATGCATGTCTCGAGCTCAACTCGGCCGATGTTTGTTGGAATGACAAAGGTTTCTAACGAAAGTTTAACTGACATGAAGCACGGAATTAGGTCCAATGCACTTTTTTTTTTAATATGACAGATTTTGGGACAATTAAACAAAGCCTATGCTACCCTCACGTTTATGGTTATTCGGTAATGAACATTGGTTTTCCGATTAGGTCTGGAGGCTATCGAAGTTTCCTATCCTGATTAGCAACTGAGTGAATCTTCCTCCCAGCTGAATTTTGTTCAGCATATGTAACATATAGACCTATATGTATAAATGACTGAAATCTAATCCATATAAATTAATCGGCCTATTATGAACGCTAAAGTTGGCCATATTTGACAGCGTAAAATTAGATAGACTTGAAAGGATTCTGAGGATTCTGTATACTGTACTTCTTTTGGCTTATTTTGGACTTCATCCATCGTCTGGTATGTAAAACAAAAAAACCCACGACGTTTCGGAGACTGGATCACTGGACAGTGATTGAGACTAGCTCTTTCTAACGGGCCCAACTGAACAGATTTATCCTTCCCTACCCACCTGAAGACGGAGGCAGATCCAATCTCCGAAACGTCGTGGTCTTTTACATACTAGACGATGGATGAAGTCCAAAATAAGCCAAAAGAAGTACAGCGTTAAATAAGCAAATTGCTGTACTGCTGTCTGGGTTGTGACTCCTTGCAGTCTGGTAGAAATCTAGGGTTGAAGAGCACGCCAAGCCACTGAATGTTCAGCCATTTCAGCAACACTGCAGTTAAAGAAAGGGAATAAAGTTTGGATTGATTCTGTCCTGTGTTTGGAAACGGATTCATGTTATTCTGTGTGAACTACAGGCCTGCTTAATGTGCAAGGGCAAATGTTACGGTGATGTAATGCGGCATGCAGTTCCCACGTCTCACCGTGGGCGAAAAATTATAGGGGCAGAATCCATCGGTAATTTTACAGTTCCCTTTGTTTTTATTTGCGCCTGACCGTATATAATTCTATGCTGCACCGTCAAGTAATGAAATTTTTGATGAAGTATGTAGCATGTGATTACTTATTTAGGCCTCCCGTCTTCACGGCATTTGAGCTCAGTCAACGAATCTGAACAGTCGTGTCCAATGGAAGATTTGTTGAAAATCTGGTTAATGGTTCACTACAGTAAGCCTGTCAGATGACAACAGAAATACAAGTTTCGTTTAATTATCCTGAAAATTGTAACAACTGAGACAATAATACATTTAAGTAAAATTTATATATTAATTTTGTCTGTAACTTTTATTCTAAACATTTCTTTCCGATAAATGTTTTAAGGGTTGGGCGCAGAAATGAATATCGCTGCCCAATTTTGACTTAAACTGGAATGTGTCAACTCCCCAATAACAAATTCCATTAGGATGCTTCTCGTGTTGCTGTATGCTGGGACAGACGCGGAGAAATTAACAGGTTAATTTTGTCTCAACATTTTTGCGAATATGCCAACGATATATATGTCTTATTGCGGGAGGAAAGGGGTTTATATACCCGTTTACTTTTTCCCGGGTTCCTCCCCCTTAAATCTATTTACTGTTTGATTTTGCGAGCATAGGAAAGCAGCTCTTCCAGGTCTCTTTTCCAGTTCTGACCACTCGGCATTTTGTTACACAAAACAGGCGGGACAAGTTTTGCGACATTTCTTTGTCACTAGCGAGCAACGATTCGAGCGGTAATGCATTCAGATGGTGACCAGCTGGAATCGGCTCTATCCTGCAAGAATAATCCCCCAAATTAGGCCACAACCGCATTCTCGTATGATCATACCGTTCGGCGGAATGTAGCATGAGGCGGTCCGTTCAGTGGACCGAGTGCCTCAACGGGAGAATTCTTCCTGATTTGAGCGCTGTGCATAATGACATCGCTTCAAAATATTTTATTATAGGTCCAGTGTTGCTGTAAGTTCCCGTCAACATATTCGAGCGCATCAGAGTGAGGCACTGATTTCAGGAAGTGGTTATTGTCTAGGCAGACTGCAGAGTTTTACAGTATGAATTTCCAGCTGAAGATTATTAGACGTCGACCCATGCATGCGGATGTTTAGGAAATTTCTTTGGCTCGGCTCATAATTAAGAGTTGCTGGTAATTTGGCACTGTATCTCATTAGCCTTATCTTGTACAGGCATGTCTCATTAGCCTTATCTTGTACAGGCATGTCTCATTAGCCTTATCTTGTACAGGCATGTCTCATTAGCCTTATCTAGTACAGGCACTCTCTCATTAGCCTTATCTAGTATAGGCACTGTCTCAGCCTTATCTAGTACAGGCACTGTCTCATTAGCCTTATGTAGTACAGGCACTGTCTCATTAGCCTTATCTAGTACAGGCACTGTCTCATTAGCCTTATGTAGTACGCCGTGGAACATTGGTATTGTACTTGTGGCTGGGTTTTACGAAGGACGATTATTCTATTACTGTTGACTAACATGTTGTATGCCAGATTTATTTGTCTATAATTCGGTGTGATTTGAGATTTCGAAAACTTTCCTCCTTTCAGAGCACAAGGTTCTCATTGAAACTGTAGTTCTGCTGACAGCCAGAAGTGTTTCTGTTTAATTACGGTCATAAAATGTATAATAAAAATGATTACGGGTTCCTAA